TGTTATTGAAAAGCAAGAGATCGTAAGAGAGAGTTGAGACTGTAAGGAGATCACACACGTGTGCTGTCAGGATAGAGAGAGAGAGAGAGAGAGAGAGAGAGAGAGAGAGAGAGAGGGCGAGCGAATGAACAAATGAATGAGGTGTGCGAAGATGGTAAAGAAGGAGGAAAGTGAGAGTGTGTGGGAGGAAAACGAAAAGAAAAAGTTAAAACGAAAAGAGTAGTCAAGACAGCGCGTAGTGGCGCGGGAGAGAGAGAAGCGAGCGAGAGGGATGGACGGATCGAGAGGGAGAAGCTGGAGCTGAGCTGAGGGAGCTGAAGTGACGGACGCTCGGATGTGCCTGGGAGCCGCGAATCTCACTGGCTGAGGCTCTTTTTGGCTTACAGAAACCGGCCAGCAGTGGCTAAAGGCTCGTGCAGTGCAACGGATTAGCGACTGCACCTGCAACTGCAATAAGCAGCTGCTGCATCAACTGCAAAATAACTCTCTCTCTCTCTCTCTCTTCTCGGTGGCGCGATGCCCACTACTGCTGCGGCTGGATCTGCTTTGGGAAGGGCGAGCAAATTGCTGAGTCGAGTCGGGATGGGGCCTGGCAAAGAAAGAGGAAAAAGGGAGAAGAGGCCGGATGTGTAGCAGCACGTGAAGCAACTCAAGGAGGAATGGAGAAGGGCCAGAATGAGGTTTAGTGGCCGGACGACGCCTGAGACAGCTCGTCCAGAGGGGAAAACTGGACTTGGAAAGCAAAGAATTGAGAAGAAGAGCACGGGGACTCTAGTTACAAATCACGGATGAATCCGGCGGTTGCCTCGTGATGCCGACTCAATCTGTCAATTCCTTGTTCGAGACGTCGTCCCATCCAGACTTTATATCCATCTTCGACATCGCCATTTCGTCATCAGTTGCTCTGCTATTAGGGATACCTGGTAATGGTACCGGCACCCGCGCTCTCCCGTCGGCATCCGAAAGGGCTTACGAAAACGGCCTTAACTGTAGCAGCACCAGCAGCACCAACGCGCAGTCGCATCGCGTCTATCAAAAGCAAGCAGACGCACAAAGCTTTCGGGCGCAAGAGAGAAGAAGCAGCAGTAAATCAGACCAAGATAGAGAAAAGGCAGCGTGACGGCGGCAAAGCGACTGCATGTAAGCGCCGTGCGAACAACAAATGGAATTAATCACGTATCGCTGCACCACCAACACGCTGCTGCTGCCCCGCCTACTGTATGTAGTGCTGGCTCTCATCAGCGCCCATCAGCCATTGGAATCTACTTGTACATGTTCTCTGCCATCCCCATCCCCACTGCGCTGCCCCTCGAGCCGGAAAGGGGAAGTTCCCCAAACACGAGTGAGACGATGTTGCGCTGCGTTGCTCCAGCCATTGTCGAGTTTATCGTCGAGCCAGACCAACCAACACCGCGGGATGTGCCCAATCGCCATTCGATGTTCTCTTGAAAAGTCCAGCATTTTGATTCTTTTTTTCCATCACCAACACTCCCGCGGCGCCTACGGCTGGGCATCGTCACCAACAAAGCAGCTTTGCCGACTGCGACTACGGCTACGAACTGCGGCTGCGACTGCGACTGCGACTACACGGAGAGCTATTGCTCCGTCTCCACAGCCCTTCAACTTCCGACACGCCTTGTTGACAACGCGCCCATCACCTCCATCATCTCCATCTTCGTCATCTTCGTCATCTATCCCACCAGCATCCCACCAGCATCCCAGCCATTCAGTCTTGCTCTGCTGCTTCCAATAAAGTGCCTAAAACCCCTCACTACTCCATCCAACGTTTATACAACGCACATCCACCATCATCATGGCTGCTGCGCTGCCGCAGTTCCCCCGCGTCGTCTTTACGATCCTTGAGCCCATGTCGCTGTAAGCCCACAATCCTTGTTCACTGCTTTCTCAATCCCAATCAAGCCCGATTAGCAATCAAGGCAACCAGCCATTCCAGATACAGATTATATTCTCCATCCAGTCATCTCGCATCCTTTACTTGTCCATTTCGAGCCACTGTCTTCTGTTTCTTGGATGCTTGCCTGCATCATCTACTGGGGGCTCAACTTTCCATTATCTCTGGTGATCTCCTTGATCAGTAGTACTTCGATCGTAATTGGCAACTACAGCTACCCACCTGTATACACGGCTAACCTCTTGTCTGAGTGGAAAACGACAACAGCGTGGCAGGCTTCCTTGGTGCCGTATATGATCCGGCATGGTTCGTTGCGCAGCAGATCCCCCAGGAAAAACCTCTCGTGGCCTCGGAGAATAGCATCGTGCTGGCCCACCAACTAGGCAACCTGTACCTGGGAATGTGCCTCGTGGGCTTGTCTTTGTTCTGGTCCACCTCCGAGGTCAAAGTCATCCGTAGCTATCTCATTGCCCTCCTGATTGCCGACGCTGGCCACGTTGGCTTCACATGGTACGGCATGGGTTCTGAGAGGTTCTTTGACGTGTCTGGGTGGAATGCCATGGCCTGGGGGAATTTAGGAGCCACCGTAAGTGTATCTTCGTCTTTGCTCTTCCTCTTCTTCTCTCCTTTGTCAACAACTCTTCGATCCGAGAAGAGCCGAGCAGAGTGACAGCTGTAGTTGTATTAGTGCACTGCATTTGTTGGCATTACCGCTAACCACGTGTCAAATCGCCATAGCTGTTTCTTGCCTTTACCCGCATTGCCTATCTCTCAGGCATCTTTGGCCCGGATAGTGCCGGCCCAGCTACCTTGAAGCCAAGCAAGAAGAACAAGGCCAACTGATGGGTTGACAAAGCTGCAATCCGATGCTGCCAGTCGATCCAAGCTTGTGGCTCCAATATCAGCCGCCAACTGCGGCAACCTTGTCAGGGACTCACCGCTTCTCCGAGCTTGAAAACGGAAAACATCAGCCCCAGCTTCGTTAAAGGATAGGGAGCTTGCCTGTTCGAGCGATTCACCTCGGTATGGAGTTCACCTCCAATGAGTACTGATCGGGCTTGGTATCTAAGCGCCTTGCTGTTTCTATTGGGTTCACCTTTTGGTTCTGTACAATACAGGAGCTTTGACTGCAAGTTGGAAAAATTATTGCGTGTCTATCTATGTAGAGCCGTGTAGCCTTTTGGATTGCTGCATGTCGCATGAAGCTATTCTTGTAAAACCGATTGGGAACCTGGTGTTTACCTCTGTATGACACCAAAGCGCATGCTCAATCGCGCTCAGCTCTACTTGTACATCTTGGCAACACTAAACCTTGTTTCACTAACAAGGAGTTTCATTAACAGCCTGGAGGCTCTATGTACTGTAGTCGGCTCTGCACGTGTGACCCAATGTGGCTAGCACATGTAAGAACGAGCACCTCCTTGTTGTGTCATTGAACTTTTGATGGTGCTTTGGAGAGACTTTTGACCGGATGACTCCGAACGTTCAGCATTGACACCTTGATCATTTGTGGCTTCAACTACCTCTAAATTCACCTACTCCTTACCAATCTCGATGCATTTTTAGAGATCTTCCTTGACTCTGCTCATCCAGCTCATGACGGCTGACTCTCCTTTGCCAATCGACCAGCAGTGAATGAGGGTGTTGCTGATTTATTCCAAGACTTTTAAGTTGGTATAGCTTAGTGTTAAATGTAGCCAAGCGGTGTCTGGTTCTTCATTTTCGTCGAGAGTGGCGATCAATGTATTGCATACACTTTCCAAAGTTCGGTATACTTCGATTATATGATCTAATTAAGACCAAGGAGCCGCTTTCTGATTACCCATAGCGGCAAAAGACTGAACATGCTGAACATGTGGGCGAGTTACATCTGTTCACAAGAATCTCAAGTCTAATTTCTCTACTCTCTAATGAGCTCCATCTTCCAAGCCGTCAAGCCGTTGCTTCTCAAGGCTTAGAATCAATTGCTAGATCTGATAATACACAGAGGGTATTTTGGACAATTCAAAGTCAATTTTGAAAGAATTCTAACATTTATATAAAGTACATGACTGTACCTCATCCCGCCGACTCAAGTCGTCTCTTACGCTGCCGAGTGACAGGAGGAGACGGAGGACTACGTGCTCTTTTCCGAGTAGAAGAAGACGCGGCATTGCGTGGTGTTTGCCGAGTAGAAGAAGATGCTAGAGGACTGCGAACTCGTTTGATCTGACGCCGAGGTCGCCGGTAATCTTCGTAACTAACCGATGTAAAGCTAGACGTCCCCTCAATGCCAATCTCGGCATCGTCCGTATTATAGTCAAGGGCCACCCCAGCATTATTCAATTGGCTGTCCTGGGTGATGTTCTGGGTCTCCTGGGTGGCATCTTGGGCAGCGTCCTGGGTGTCCCTGCCCGGCTCGATAAACGTATGGGCGTCGTAAAAGTTGAGAGGACTTGAGCCTTGGTCTTGCTGTTCTTCTCCAGCCCTGCTGAAGTTGTCACCCCTTTCCGTGCTTCCATCGTCGTCTATGTCCTCCTCTACGTCTTCATCTGCTGTGTTTTGGCGCCGCGCCCTCGCATTGGCACTAGCAATAAAGCGGTCGCGGTCCTCTTTTGCCCTCATCCTCAAATTTCTGAATGCTGTCCTACCTGTCAAATAAGCCTCCTCATCGTCTAGCGCATAAGCTTTAAGCAAAGTGGCATAGCAACCAGGTTGTTTACCGCGCTGTGTAGGGGCAATCAGATGGTGTGCGTATAGTCTGAGGTATGTATCAACTAGAGTTGCTGTGAATGCATAGGCTTTGCCATCGTATTCAGGTTTCTCATCCGGGAGATAATTCTGCAGGGCGTGCATTATATACGCCCCTTGCACACCGTTCATAGTAGTTTGTCTCTCCGCTACCTTCATTTTTCCTGCGTTGTTTTTGAATTCGAGAAAGAAATTGGGCACGATGGGTGTTTCTGCATTTTTTGTTGGTATTATTTGGTTGTTTAGACTTTGTCTTACAGTCGTGTCCACATCTTCGAGAAGAGCCCCTTCGAAGTAATCAGGCTTTAGTGTAACTGTAGTATCCCCCGTCCTTGAGATTAAGTTGGTAAACATGCAGTTGCCACTATTCGGGATGTCCGTGTCACCAACGAGAAGCGGAATTAGTCTGCGCACCAGGTCACCTTCGGTTGCACCCGGCAGTTTATCCAAGAAGTCTTCGTGAGCTGTCTCGTGGGCTGTCTTGTGGACCGTGGAAGGGAAAAGAGAGGGCCCTGGCTTTTTGAGAGCTTTACGAATCTCTTCAAGATTCTTCGGTTTAGGTGGGCGCATACCGTTGGAAAATCTATGCCGAGGAAAGTAGATGCAGTAGTCAAGACAATGCTGCTCGAAGTTGTCATCGTATGCCGATGTGCGTCTGCTTTTTTTACTTGTGGCAGACCTTCTTCCAGTCGGTCGCGTTTGCCGGGTGTTTGAGGATACGAGAGATGCTGTATCACGATTCAAGAGCCTTGGCGACGCCATCGAGCGAGAAACGTTCGTTGGCTCTGGATACTGAGCAAGGCGGTCAGCCTGTAGTTCTCAATAACAAAATAGTTCGCACACATACACCTTTGAGATCACTGAGGTCTGGACCTCCAGATGCCGCAAACTGGGCAGGCTTGGAAACACCAAGTCTCGCAAGCGCAGCAAGCTTTGCGCCACGAGGTTTTACAAAGTCTGCCGCAGGCTTAGAATGTGACGGGGGGAGCTTCTCGTTCCGCCGGTCGAGCTCTCGCAGGGCACGAGGCGTGAGCCAGATCTTTGATAAGCTGTCGTAGAATTCGGGAGGAAAATTCGTTGGCATGCGAGCCGTGCCGGTTGACTTTGACCTGTTGGAAATACGGTCTGGCAGGGATTCCTCTGCTCGACGCCGCTTTCCTTTCAACGTCTGAGCCATGGACGGCAATTATGATAGAGGAGTGCCGCTGCGTGGAACAGGCCGGATTATCAAGATGTAGGCGCGGCTTGAGCAGATGACCATCTCACGGTAGGATATCCATACTACCTGATATGGAGGTGCTGCAGGCCTGATGCATGGAGCATCATACGAGACTTGAATGCGCCTATCAAGATGGAAATCATCACACCCATAATGCGCGCGCTGGCCGTTGTTGGGCCTCGAAACGGTGATAGTATCGATTTTGATATGCAGTTGGTCGTGGAGTTGAAGGGAAAGGACGGGGTGCCCGGCCTGCTTCTCCCTTTGTAGGCTGAGGATTTGCGCCTGGCAGTCCTGTTATGGTTCCAAGTGCTACGTAGCCCCTACATGCAGCCTCTTATCCGACCCGTTTGCCCCCTGCTCTTTCTCACACCCTTTCATGCGAAGTAGAGAACTAGGCCATTCGGACTGGGCGTAGAGTTAACCAGAATTGTGCAAAATACTACATGCATCTACCAATTGGCTGGCAGTTTATTGCAGATGGAGTGTAGGTCAGCTGAGCTGCTGCAGGAATTATTCGTGTAAGTTACTTGTCATTGTTTAATATTCAATTGCATCGAAAGCTGTCTTGTGTTCTCCCGTTTAAGAAAAAAAAGCAGTGCAAATTTCACTTAGGACCGTATGGTACTTTTTGAGAATTTCCAGTAATCAAAAGTATTTCTCGCAAGTCGATTATACGTCAGACGTGCTGGTAAGCTTTCTTGTTTGCATCCATCAGACGGCTGATAACTAACAGGGGTGGAAATCAGCTAATGCCGTGCGAGACCGCCACAAGTCGCACAAATCATCTCCAATCCTCATGTACCTGTCAGATCGATCTCGGCGATTGCCTTGAAGGCTCACCGCGCGTTAGTCACCGAATTATAACGATATTTTATACATAGTATCAAGTAGAAAAAAAAGAAAACAAAAGAAGATAAGGCCGTGCACCGCTGCTTGATGCAGTTATGACTCTAGCCATGTCATGCGTTGGCCACCTGCGCTGAGCTATCGATTCCAAAAATCTAGGCGCGTAAGAGCATACGATTTCGAAGCGATATTTACAAGATGAGTGGGAACATACATCGAAGCTAACATTTACATGTAATTAGTATACAAATCTCGCGTATGCTGTCTTTACCTACCTAGGTAAGGTAGTGGCTTTGGTGCCTGGGCCAGCCCGCAGGTACAGCAGCTAGATCTTGGGATATCGTGGCATGCATCATCAGGAGCCAGCTATCCAATACCAATAGTGCATATATGACTGCCGAGATTCGGCTTGAGATCTGATCTCTCGCTTGTGCTTTCGTCAGATCAATCGCAATATCATCAGCTAAAGAATAGACGCGAATATTTCGGCCACAGGCTGTCAAAGCAAAGGCGATTGAAGCAAGTGCACCCTCATGCAAACCGCAGCCAACCAACAACAAGAAGTGGTTCTTTGAAGAAGAGGATGCAGAAGAAACGCCGTATCTTTTGAGAAAGGTTTAGCATCTCCATGACCCCCTTTCTAGATATTGGTGGAAAACTCCAGACTGCAACTAGGGGGTAAGTAGATGCAAATTGTTTTGGCATAAATCATTCCACCTTGTCCAGGTAAAGTAGGTATTGATTCTTTTAGTCGGCAGGCTTCTACCTGTAGATACTGAGGTACCTTGTTGGAGTAGGCGCACTGAACAGTATCGGGCAGTAATTCGTTGGCTTTCTACTATAAGATATGGTACAGTAGCACTCCCGGAGGCTTTACGTCAATGCTCGTCACCCAGCCTACAATCGGGAGTCCTAGAGTATACTTCGCTCCACATCAATCAGTAAACTATAATAAGATCGTCTCTCTCGTTTAATGGAAATAATAAGGACCCGAAAGTGCTTGGCCCTTGAATGAATTAATCTCTACTATGCTTCGAGGCAGGTTCGCGACGACGCCAACTGCAGACAATCGCAGCTTATTTTGTCACGCCGACAGAATGCCAGCACCGAAAATCACTTCAAAAGGAAAATCGATTGACAGCCAATTGTTTTGCCAGCTTGACTACGCCGTGATGACAACTATGTGTGCTTTGAACGCTTTCGCGGATGCCTAGTTTTGTATTTGCGAGACTTTTGCGTAAACAGGGTAGGGTTAGAGTACCTGGTCGTCTCTGCGTAGCTTCTGGGTCATTGTTGTAATTCTTTGTATTCGCTATGAATCAACTCGATAAGCGCGTAACCAGGATAGCCTGCCTTGTACGCATACATCAGGGTTACGGGGTCGAATAAATCCATTGTCAAAGTGTATTGCCACAGTAAGTGGGAGTTGGTCCAGGACAAGCTCAAAATCAAAACGCCGCTGGGAGACCCGTGCCCTTGGCTAAAAAAATCAACACGCACTTTGTTACACAAAAGCCAACAAAGGCTCGCGTTTTGGCCAGTTTCTAATAGGCTCATTCACTCATCTGTGCTGCTAAAAAGCACGCTCCACGCTCCGCTCCTTTTTGATGGCACCTCCGCCATTTGTTGCTCACAGCGGAAACTGTTTATCAGAATCATCACTCCATTCTCACATACAAATAAACCCAGAGGCCCGCCCCAGGCAAAATCGCCGGCTTAGCGTTGTCTTAGCGCAAATCAGGTCAAGATATCCCAGTCTCAGCCACTTTTCCTCTCGCCCAAACCCAATTTCTCCCTTTGAACTCGAGCGGCTGCGAGCAGGGTTAGGCTTGGGGTCCCGGCAGCTGCTTCAGGTCGCTACTGCGCACCTACAACCGCCTGTATTGAATTCGATTTCGACCATTGGCAGCAAAAACAAAACAAAAACAAACGTCTTCGCCTTCGCCCACTTCAACCGCTGAGCCCGGCAAAGGATTTGAATCACTGCCTAATACTCATCACTAGTATCTTTCTTCTGCCTCCTTCTATTTGATTATTCCCTTCTGATTGTCCCGCTCTGCCGTCTCCTCTTGTCCCACTTCAACAACACCGTATCCGCTCTCCTCCTTCGTGCAGAGCTAGCTCAGAAATGCAAACCAGGTCCAAGAGAGCGGCCAGAGCTGCTGTGCCGCTTCCAACTTCACCTCCACAACCCACAGTCAGACGAAATCCACCCAGAGGAACTGGGCGGCGAATTAAAGAGGCCGTTTTCAGAGCTCGAAACGCTGACGTTGGCGTTGATTCTGGCTCGGATTCTAATTCTGACCCTGACTCTGACTCTGAATCCAGCTCGGGGCCCAGCTCTCTTCTGAGCTCTCCCACAAAATCTCCTTCACGCATTCTTCTACCCGCTTCTTCGCCAGCATCCCCTGATCCTTATCTTGTCCCTTCATCTTCTCCGGGTTCAGCAACCGCAACGGCCGCTGCTCCTCAGCTTGCGCCTTCACTGCCAAGTCTCAACCCTTCTCCTGCACCACCACCAGGTCGTCAGATTCCAAAAGGCTTAACGACTATCCCACGCAAAGACTCCATCATCTGGGACCCGATACCACGGCGAGGAGCTCCTCGGAACATCAGTTTCAGTAGTCTGTTTTCCACCCCTAAGAGGGACCTGACTGACGACGAGGACTACGAGCAAACTCCAAGCTCACCGCCCAAATCAGCAGCTGAGCTGCAGGCAGAGAAGATGGCACAGCGCGAGATTGAGCAGACAGAGGTCGAGATGTGGCTAGAGGCTACTCCTGCCCTGGCCAGGGACGCAAAAAATGTCATCAGCCTGCTCCGGGAGACAAGCACACGACTTGCATACAAACCGGTGCTCCAGATGAAAATCAAAGCGTTTGAGATGTCTCGAAGCATATTCACGGGCCCTCAGCCCCCTTCCTTCCGTGCTGGCTCTCCCCCGGAAACCCGAATCCCTTTTCTCAACTGGGACTGGGTGAACAAGATAGAAGATGAAGACATGTTGGATGTTGCCAAGAAAGCGGTCCCGCTCGCCGTCAAGATGGCAAACATCGCTACTGCTCTCCTCCACATCAGAGCCATTCAGGAGGAAGCATACGACCCTGTTCCCTTTCTTGAGGCCACAGACAACCTCTTTCCGCAATCTTTTGCCGCTGACGAGAGCAAGCACTTTCTTACTCTCTCTTTGGAGATCCGCACTCAGAGAGCGATTGAAAGCATCGCCAAATCACCCCAGGGTACAGAACTTCGCGGGATGCTGGGCTTTGCCTTTTGCGTAATGAATACCAAAGATGGCCCGAATAATTACAATGCTCTCTTTGCTCACGGTCCATATAAACCTATGGCCGGCCTTCCTAAGGAGCAGCTGCTGGACGTGTGCTCGGAAAGGGTTAAAGATATATGGCAACTCATGTCCGAAGGCGGCGAGAGACGGATTAGAACTCCCGTTGACCTGCCTAGCGTCCGGGCCAAGTATCCTCTTCCTTATACGCTCGAGCTTCTCAAGAAATGGCTCTTCAATAGGTATGCATCAGTTTCACAGTTGTTGGAGAAGGCAGAGCAAGAGCATATGGCCAAGGAGAAGCAGATGCTCTTGGAGCAGTGGCGTTCCGAGGAGGAGCTTCGATTCCGCGAGGAACATCAAGCTCGAAATGAAGAAAGACGTCTCAGAGAAGAGGACCGGCGAGCTAGAGAGGAAGAGAATCTTCGGGCCAGACAAGAAGCCCTGGAAAAGGAGCGGAAGGTCTGGGAGAGGGAGAAGCTCCTCAGGGCACGGCAGTCTGACGAAGGAAGGTCTCGAGAAAGAAGAGGTTGGGACAAACAGTCGCCGCCGCCAGCAGATGAAGACAGTATGTTCATCTCCGACTCTCCTAGTGCTTCTCCCTGGAGCCTGGCTAGTTCCCAAGGGGAGTCGCAGCGGTCGCAGATTCGACGGGGAGAAGATGATGACCCGCCCAGAGAGTAAGACTAACATCACCCATTCTACCCTTTTCCCCCCAATTCTATCAAGTTTGCTTGAGCATTCTCGAATCTCTTTGATTGGAATAAACTTTGGCTCTTACTTGTACGTCGTGCTAACGTCATGTCACAGGGAATCGTTATTTCAACGTGGCGAGGTGGCCGGCCTACTTCGTAATGCATCTCTTGCAGGATCATCCTCAGACCATGCACGGCGAAAGCTTCCTGCTTCAAAGCCATCACGCACGCGACCCCTTCAAGGCAGCCGCCGTCAGACCACCAATGGCGACCATGGCGAAGAAGAAGGTGAAGAGGATCAAAGGAGAGACGACAACGATGATGATGATGAATTCGAAACGGATCAGCGACCACCTAAGAGGAGCAAGACAGTGAATACCCAGTCTGCTTCAAAGCCTGGACCAATCCAGCGACGAAAGGAGTTCAAAGAAGCCGTCGCTACTGCCGTCGCTCTTGGAGCTACCGCACCTCCAGCACCCGTGCTAGACTTTGCAGAGATCGAGAGGCTCAAGGTCCAGGCTCGCGTCAACGCAAAGCTAAACAACCCACGTCTCCTCAAGAAGCGCCAAACCTGGAGCGAGCGTGACTCCAACACGTTGATTGCACTCGTTGCCAGCCGCGCTGCCGGTTGGGCCGACATGGAAAAGGAAGACAGTCACCGTTTTGAGCTGCCACGCAACGCCCAGGCCTACCGCGACAGGGCTCGCAATATGAAGGTAGATTTCCTCATATCGGATGCGGTACTGCCTCGCGGGTTCGATTTAGTCACTTTTAGTAAGAAGGAAATCGACCGCGTGCAGAAGCTGGGCAAGAATCCTACCAGAACGGAGGCCGATGTCGATAGGAACGGCAGACCTACGAATACGGCATATGTGCCTCCAGAGGTGATCGAAGACGACGCAGAGGACGCAGAGGATAGTTGAAGAAATCATCGTTGCCAGAAGGGTTGGCCGCGGTTTGTGTTTCTGTTATGCATGCAAAGAGGATAACTACCTCACTTTTGATTTGAACTTTATATCAGGATTTTGCACAGGGATTGATTACTTTACCTGGCCAGCAAGGTATTGGGAAACGAATGCGAGTTTAGGAAAAGTGACACGCGTGTTTTAGGGAAGGGAAAGGCATCAGTTCTGCGTTATGGACCGAGATTTATCGTTGTGGACCGAGTTCTTTATTTGGGGGGTTGTTTTTTTCTTAAAGTTTAGGACGAGGGCATTTGGTCGATTCTGGGTCTAGATACCACGGGTTTGTTTGGCCGGCTGGCCTACTTTGCTTACTTTGATTTATTTAGTTTACTTGTCTTTTATTGCGAAGTGCTCGATACGGAATCGAGTCGACTGCGGTTATCTAGTTTACGTGTTTGAGTCTATACTGATGTTGTTCATATCTCAAATCACAATCAATGAGCCTCGAGTCTATGTGAAATATTCAGACGTCATCTTCACGTCCTATAAACGACGCCTCAAAGAGAGTAGAGACGCCGAAACATCAGTTAATACGAAACAGGACAAAGATCGAGAGAAAAATGGTCAGGTTTATATTCAATATAGAAAAAGGGGTTTCTGCAAAAAGGAAAAAGAAACTTTCTCTCTTTTCATCCCTATTATTCCTACATCTGTTCAAGCCAAGAAAATCTTCCGCGCATATCGTAGATTACCTATCCAGGGCATTGTGCCTTTGTGCTTTGTTCAACAACAAAATAATGAAACATGGACAAAGAATCAACAAATTGCACAACAAACAGGATCCCCATCATCGGGTATCGTTCATACTGCTTCTGCACCAGGCTGCGGAATGAAAAGAGAAGAAGAAGAAGAAGAAAACAACAAATCGTAGTCACCATTTCCGTGGTTCCCAAAAAAAACTGGTCTCGAGAGTCCAATCTTGGGAGACCTCGTACAGGAGAAAAAAAGTAATAGACATCAAAAAAGGATTGGGGGAATCAAAGTCATTTGCATATCAAAAGAGAAGAATGAAGAAAACAAAAGGAAAATATCCATCACGCCAGCTAAACCCAATTTTCCTCAACCGGGGACAGCAATGCTTTTTTTTTAGCCAGAGGCGAGAAGGAAACACGCTTGAGAGGCAGATCAACAGCAAGAGATGGAGCCCAGCAGCATGTAGGTAGATGGCAGTTGGCCTCGTCTATCATCCAATGCAGGCCCTGACATTGCAATATCTTCGTATTAAAAGTCTCTTCAATTGTTGTTGGTTCTTTTTGTTTTCGCCAATGCAAAGAAAAAGAGTCTGATATCGACAACGCCCCTTGCACAATCTCGGAAGCCAAAAGCTGTCTCACCAGCAGAACCGAGACATGGGAAGGGATGCTTGATGCTCGCGAGCTAACTGAAAGCGGAAATTAAGGCAGATGGGAACTAGGAGCATAGTAGTGCTTGTATATGAGAAGAAATCGCAACAAAGAGAGAGATCTGCACAGTCAGTGCTGGATTCGCTTGACAAGATTATGACAAAAAATGCAGTGTTCCGACCCAGCGCTGCCATTCGATACCACGTTGGCTCTATCGCGCATGGGGGAGCTCACGGCGTTTGAGTCTGTTTGTTCGCCAGCCTTCATACCACTGCTCCCTGCTCGCCTCACGCAGCTCAGCACGCCACTCACTGAAGACGGCCTCCTTCAGCCTGACAAAGTCACAGTGCTCCTCGTTGTATGGGTCGGCAAATCCCCAGGGGAACTGTCGTCCAATGACCTCGGGCTCGTAAAGATCGGGGCTGATGATAGAGAGGGGCAGGAATGGCGGTTCTTCTGCTTTAGCATCCTCTTGGGACTTGTGTCTGCGGATGGAGTTGGTAGAGAGTCTCTTTGCATGGCCAGGTGACGCGGGCGTCTTTTCGGCTTGCTCCGCCGACTCGTCTTCTTCCGCTTCGTCTTCATCATCCTCTTCCTCTTCGATGATGCTGCTGCTATCCTCATCCAGGCCCAGGGCTTCCAGGGGATCCAGGTTGGCTGACTTGATGCTGTCCCAGACAGCCTTGCGGAGGATACCCATGTGCTTGGTGGTGATGGTATCTGCTTTGGAAATAACAGGAATGACTGTTGTCTTGCGCTGGAGGGTCCGGAGGACTTGGAGATCAATTTCCTCGTCGAGGGCACCAGAAGCTTGAGCCTGGCCATTGCCATAGACATTCCGCAAAGCGTTCTTTTTCGCCGTCATGATGTTACGATCAAGGCGGGAAGGGTCCATGACATAGAAGGCTGCATGAATATGAGTGTCTTTGACGCCTGGAGAACGCACGACTTTCATTTCCTCTGTAAAAGTCTCCTCGAACTTGCTCTCCAAGAAGCCAGCCATTTCTCTCAGTTGCAGATCGACAACATTCTTCTCCAGACCCTCCGAATCCCAGAGAGTCAGGCCAATCCGCTCGCCATCAATTTCGGTTTCGAGATAGTGCGGAATAAAGTTACCAATGGGAGCGATTGGCATCTGGAAAGAGTCTTCTTCGTGCTTCTTGGATTGTTTCTTTGGTGGAAGTGCCAGGGCTGTCTTGAGGAATTCGAGAAAAGAGGTTTTGCCTGCATTTTGGCTTCCTAGGATAAGAATGCTGGTGGAATGATTAGTCTGCATCCTTTGGCTTGCGGTCCAAATACGCAAGAAATTATGCTTACTTGAATGGCGTAGGGTCCTTTCTTCTGCGGATCCTCCTGGGGTTATTGATGGTGCTCATAGCACTGCTGCTGGCATAGCTGTAGCGGCCGCGATTCGTCATACTCTCCGACCTGGCATAGGGATCAAAGCCGTTACTAGGAATGGGAGGGATCGGGACTTTGCTGGCCGCGGCACGCGTAGCCTCTGCTGAGGAGCGGCTGGACGACTCGCGAGTGTAGCCGCCTGGAATGATGGAGCTAACCCCAGAGGTGGTGGAATTGGCTTGCAGCTCAGGCGCAAAAGACTTGGATAGCTGCTCAGAGTTGTTGAAAAACTCGGGGAGCTTGGGGGCTGCCCGCGGAGTGGGCTGAGACGGGCGATCTAATTCGGCTTGGGTCTTTCTATTGCCCTTGCCTAGATCACCACTCTTTGTGCGTTTGAGCAACATTCCGAAACTAGTTGAACGACGCGGTGGAGAACTCATAATTTGGCCAGAGGCGGGTTATCTGATGAGCGCAAAGCCAAAGTAATGCGAATCGAATCGATTTGGTTGGCTTCCCGGTTATGATGAAAAGGGATATGCGCTTGTGTGTGTCGCGGTGATGAGACAAAAGTCTTGATCGGGTGGCGTTTTGTTCCTGAAACAACCAGGCTGGATCAGGTAAGATTCGCAAAAGATGGCCTGCTCACTCTAAAGGTCAGCAACACAGAAACAATGAGGCAAACGGAGTGGCTTGGTATGCCGCTGGATTTGGCGCCTCGGATTCTGCCACACTATAAATATGCGCCTAGCAAGTTTCCCAGAGGTGTGCATCCGAACAAATACGAGCCGCTATACCGTTGCTGTTTCAAATGAGAAATTCCCATACCAAAAGATACCAGTTGAAGAAGCTGCGGATGCAAGTCTAATGCACCAGCGACGTAGGCAAAGAGGCGGGGAGGCGGGGCTTGTGCAGCGGAGACGACTCCAATTCGATAGCCGGACGTCACTAAAGAATAGAAAAAGGAGGTGATTAGCATCGCATTCAGAAGCACAATTTCAGGGTTCTTTCTGGTCCCCGGGCGACGCGCGTTGGTGGTGTCAATCGCCTGCGGCCGGGAATGTGCGGGTATTTGGAGCAGCCCCATAAACAATTCTCTTGCGATTGTCGCCAAGCTCCAGCTCGAGCATCTCCGTCTCCACGATTCTGCTTGGGGAGCCTGCCCAGGGACCCTCATACTGATTCCGCCACGTTTGCTTTGTAGCACAGAGGTTTGAGAATGGGGAGTATTGGCACCGAAAGAGTTTCTTGTGATGCGCAAACAATACCGCCTGCGGCGCATTGCCAGAGTCGCTCAGAGGAAGCTGCGCATGAAGCAAGAGTAAAAAAAACCCCGATCGTCGAAGCTCATTTTCGATCATTGTAGCAAGAGAGTTTGTGGCGATTGTCGCCGACAGTAGCTATGGAGAGCTTGGCGATGGCAGGCCGAAGGAATAGAATTGGAAAAGAAACAACAAGAAATAAAGAGACTAAAGAGAGACGATGGAAGGGAAATGGCAATTGATTTACTCACAATATTGCTTCTGACAGATTCGTGATTTTTATGAGATGAAAGTTGTAATTTTTGTCGTTTTGTCTTTTTTTCTGGTCCAGCCGAGACGTGGGGAAGATGATCGTAGGAGATCGCAAGTTTGGGGTTCTTGTTCGGTTTTGATAGATTGAGAAAGGAAACTGGAAAAAAGAGAGGCGTCAGAAGCCGGGGTTTTCGCTGGAGCTCGACAACGCTTTGATCAGCTCCTCGTGAAGTTGCCCAAAGCTCGCGGTATCACCAGGGCCAGGGTCGCGGCTTACAGCTTTCGCACGGATGTCACAGCGGTAACGAGCGAGGAGGCAAAAGAACAAGGACTGTCGGCAGCGTCAAGCGCCGAAGAGTCCGGCGAATTGAATTGGTGGTGGCGAAGAAGAAGCCGTTGGCGATGACAGCAAGGGAAACTGGTTGAAGCGAGCGAGTGAAGTTTCGAAGCTCCCACGAGGAAGAGAGAGGGAAAAGAGCTTGCGGAAGCGAGGAGAGATGAGCGCGTTCTTGGCCTCGACATTGCCTCCCGGCACTGCTCCAGCTTCTGGGCTTCAGGGGAGCCACTCAGTAGCTTCGCAGCTGGCGCCAATCGAGGTTCAGGTTCGTGATGCTAGGCGACCCCCCCGGCCCCGTTTCGCCTCTCCACAGGCCGCATCCCATCTAACCAGCCCTGGCCAGCAATCATGTCATGGCGTTTGGAGGTCTCCCGCTGCTACGATGCTCCCCCTGGCGGGCTTGAAACACGACGCAACCTCCAGTTAGCAGTGGTCCTAGCGCTGTGGCAGTAGCACGAGTCGGGATGCGTAGCTGTCCAAGCTGTATCAGTCAACGCGATGCCTCCTCGAGATCTTGGCGGCAGACGACGGGACATTCATGATAGGGTTGAAACTGTGCGGCACCTGCGGCTGCTGATCCGTTTTGATCTTGATCCATCAGTGATTGCAGGAAAAAAGCTCCGCTGTGCCATCGCCAAACGGCACTTGGAGAAACACGGGTTGGGTCCTGAGGCATGAAGCATACGAACGACCAAATACGAGTACCTCAAGCAAGGAAATTGCAGCTCTTGCCTGATGCTTCGAGGTACTGCTGCTGCTATTGTCACTGCTGGAGGTACTTTCAGATCGGGACGTGAACGCTTTGAGAACGACATCAATCTTCTTTGCAGGCTTGGCTTGGCCCCAGATTGACGGCAAATTATTGCATGCATTGCAGTCAGAGCTTGCTCGCATAATGGCACTTTGCAGTATTTCGTACGCAAAGCAGGGGGGCAAGAACTCGCATCCTCCGCACCTCACATGCCCCCTGTCTAATGAGATTTTCCTATGTTGCTTATGAAACAAAACCAGGCCAACAAGGAACAGGCTAACGATGATTTGCCCCCCCAACGAGAAAAGAAAAGAACGAAAAGAAAAGAAATTGAGAGCGAAACACCAAACAAGATAGAAACACAGAGACGGCAGATTGTGTACAAGTTCATTGATCACAGCAGCTAGAGCCGCGCAGCCTCCAAACAAGAACCCTAGGCCGAGCTAAACAAACAAGAAAATCTCCAAGTCTACCATCTCAGGGTCCATCGCGGAGCTTTGCCCAAATCTTGGCGCCGACTCCAAACCTCGCTCCCCTTCCCATGCCAGATCCCTGCAAGTGTTTGAAATTGCAGGTTCCGCTTCCAGTTCGCCATGCGGCTTCGTCACACTATCCAGAAACGCCGCCAATCAACCAATGGAGGGGTCCTCCTCCCTTCTTCGCGTGGAAACGTGAAACTGCCCACCTAGAAGTTTTTCGACAAGGACCACAAAAACCCGCCGCCAAAGCCATTTGGCTACATGCACGAGGCTGACGCTAGCTTCCAATAGCACGAGAAATAATGTCCTGAAGAGTACAAGAATGTCTTGAATTACTCGTGCTCGACGAGCCTCCGTTCGAGAATTTGCAGCTGCGAAACAGCTTCACTACTGGCCATATCGCCAGCACCCATGTCAAGATGATTCAAAGCAACCGACTGTCGTCGCAAACATGAGTGGTATATCGTTCCATCTATACTCGTACATACATATACATACAGTACAATTTATCGTCGTCAACCCTGACCTGTACCTATAATTCGAATGCCTGCCGAACGCTCTTGTTTCCCTCTGCTTTTTCCGTCTATAAAGAAGCAATGCGGTCCAGCGCCTCTCTCTACCAAAATAGTCCAGAGCATGATGGAAAAGAAAAGGATGAATGGAGAATGAAATAGCAATAACAATAGCAGCCGCCCATCGACATTTTTACAATAGCCGCTTTCTCTCACCCTTCGAATATATCGGGCGTCTCCTCCAAGCCGTACTGCGTCATCTTCTTCACGCGAGCCTCCATCTCATCCTCCATGCCGCCACCCAGGCCGAGTAGCTGGCGCAGCTTGAAGAAATAAAACGCAATGTCCGTCACAGTCATGACCGACTTGAATATGATATGTCGCCATACGTTGTTCATCCGCTGTATCCAGGGAAGATTGCGGTCCTCGTAAAGACTGCGACTTGCCCACTCGCCCATCATCTTGATGCGGTTGACGGGCGAGCCCAGGAACTGATTGTTGCCCTGGACGATGCGCATGTTGCGGCCAATGAAGATGAGCTCCTTGGGCCACTTGTCTTCGTCCGCGAGAATGTCTCGGATTCCCTGCTTCATCTTTCGCTGCATGACATAGTGTTTCTCCGCCCTGGTCAGGCCCTTCAACTCCTTCAAGTCTTTCTGCATGACATTTTCGCCGCCTTCGTACGGCTTCATCAGCGTAGCGCTGGCAAACAAATCTGCCGCCTTGATGCCCCATTCCCCAGTGACGTCAGCTATGGCCTTGTTGTCGAAAGTCATGAGGGCCTTCCAGAATCTTGCATATTGATGGCGGAACGTCGGCGTCATGTACACATAGAGGCCATGGTCAATCAAAACTAGTTCGGAACGGCCGTTAGGAAGTCGTCGAATGAAGATGTTTCCCGGGTGAGGGTCGCAGTGAACAACGCCCCATTTGTAGATTTGAGCAGAAAAGAGATCGACCATGGTGGTCATGACCTCCTTGGTGCTCAGGCCAAGGCCTCCTCTCCCATGCAAGCCCTTCCACTCCTGGCGCTCCGGCTTAATCTTCTCTCTGTGGGCTTCTGTACGCAGTTGGCGTCGGGCAAGGTCCATATCGATGGGAGGTAAGGGGGAACCTGCCCCTGGGCTGCCTTTTCCACGCCCACCCAGCCATCTCGATGTCATGGTCGTCTTATCCCATAGCCTGATACCCTCTATCCACTCAGTTGTCAAGACTCGCTTTGTGGTAAGATCGGAATACACGATGGGGATGTAGACTCGTCCCTTCAAACGGCTCTCGGAGTTGACCAGCTGGCGCATCGTTTGCGAATTCTTGGCCTCGCTCAAAAAATCTGTCTCAAGCTCTATGCGCTCAGAGATGAAAGGCACTAGGGTGTAGAGGGGAAGGTCGAATTGCTTCGAAAGTATCCATGTCACAGTCCTTTTGACACGGACAGCATTAGTACTTCATCATATAGTCAAGGGGGGGTAGCACAGCAACATACTTGAAAGTCCAGAGATCCGAGGCAATTTGCTTTGCAATCTCTGGTTTCTGAATCTTGACAGCCACTTCTCTGCCATCCGGGAGCCTGGCCCAGTGAACTTGTGCCACACTTGCACTCGCGCGAGCCTTTCTCTCCATGACGCCATAGCCCTCTTTGCCGGTGAAGCTGACTCCAAATACTTCCTCTACGCTCTTGCCAAAATCCTTTCGGATGACGGCCTCGACAGCTTTCCAGTCGTCCTGCGGCGCATCATCAAACATCCTGGCAAACATTCTCTGGAATTCAGGCGGCAGAACCGCGCTCTGCATGGCAATTGCTTGGCCGATCTTGAGGTATAGTCCACCGTTTGTCCGCAGCAGATCGCAAAGCCTTTCGGCATTACGCAGATGAAGGTCAGCCACGGAGCCTCCCGTCCATGGCTCCGGTCGGAAATTGATCTTATAGTCCAGGGCAGCAAGCATTGCCGTGGCAAACGTGCGAAGTGATCGGCCCAGGCTCGAGGCGTATACCTGTGAATCGACGGTATAGATGCCGCCGCCCACGGCTGCCGTTATGAGCAATCGACGCCCCCATTTCCGGCTGCGTTTGTACTGCTTGGCAGCTCGCGGTGCTCCAAGGTCGGCGGGGGAAGGCGGCCGCAGTGGTTGGAATGGCCCTGAGCTCTGGATACGCCGTACGAAGACTTGGTTGCGCAGCAGAGCCTGTCTCGAGAGGCCCAAGCCGCTGCTGCGACAGAGCATGCCGGGCATTTTACAAGCGTTCAATTGACTCTACCGCGGCGTCATTCGGGAGGAGGCGGAGGAGGTCATATAGAGAAGCGGAGTTTGAAAAGTGTCGTCAAGATCTGCTGAGTGAGATGGTGGCGGTGGTTTGAAGGATTTCCCGCCGCGGCATTTTGTGGCGCCTCGGATCCGCCATCGGATCGGGGCCGGTATTGGGGCAGGTCCGAGGTTTGTCCTGATAACAAGTATTACAATCAGCGTGAGCGTGAGCTAATGATCAACAATTTATGTTGAATTCTTTGTCTGTTTTGGCTCCATTTGCATGCTTTTTGGTTTACGAGGAACATAAGTACTACGGATTTGCTATCGTCTATTAACTTAGTGTCATCCTTGCTAGTGAATTTTACAGCGAGAGGGTTTAGTTTATGCGAACTCAATCAGTGGACAGCACAAAAAGACATGCTGATTCTGCGTTTATACGATGCTGAAAGTAATTGTAACATCTTCAAAAATAATCTGATTCCATTGAGACAAAAAAAAAAGCCTTGTTGATGCTTGAAGGGCTGCCCTAATTTCTACATCGCAAACAAAATGATTAGTGGTTCAGGGTAGGCTCCAGCAGGTGACGACATTTCAAACTGATGCGGTAATGATAAGATAAGATGCATGGCCCGCTTCACTGCAGCTCTTCCTTGGAGCTAGCACTAGCGGTATCGAAGACACTGCATCGGATCGACTGATTCAGCTGCAGGTGCACTCTTCTGGCCATGTATACGACTTCAAACCAACGATGCGCGAATGATCAGACGATTTCTACATGGAGAGCGTCTTTTGCCGCCACTTGGATAGCTAACACCATGAGTCTATGACGATGAGTCGTAGGATGAGGCTGGCGATGATACGGAGAAGCGGGTAGAAGAGTACCTAGCTGAAACAGCAAGCTGCGTCTCCTTGGCCAAGATCAATTATGCAAGCTCTTAGACAACGCCTCTCGAGCTATTAATAGTATTGGTAAGTTCAACTACCGAGATATGGTATCTGTGATCTGTTGACATGCACACTTGTACTTGTATCTACAGTACTATACGAAACACTTAGCGGTTGACATTGGCGACAGCGAAAGCTGATGTTGCCATCAAATCGATTCTAGCCATTTGCCGGGCCCGCTTAGCCTCGCTTTCTCACCTTAGCGCCAGAGCACGACACGGAGCTGATCCATCCGAGCAAGTAAACCCGCACAAAGCCCAAGAAAGCTTGGAGAGGGGCCATTGTTTCGTAACCGCTGCATCATTGGAGTACTGGCGAAACCTCGAGTGCGTGATCGCTGGGGAGGAATCTTGCTCTACTGCTCTGTGTGGTGGTTGACGCTTGCGAGTTGCTACAGATGCCGTGAGAGAAAGGGAGGCATTGTTGGCAACGGCGTTTGCTACGCCAATTCTCGTGATAACGGCCCAATAACGCTCGTCTATGATGGCAAATGCCCCCGGTGTAAAAACGACGGCGTCCGGAGCAGATTAGGCCAAGCTCGGAGCGCATGCCGGAGCAAAAGCTTCTCAGCGCACGCCAAAGGGCCAGCGCTGCTCATTTCCACGGCCAACCGACCTGCTCGAAACGGGCAAGCTGGAGAAGAGGCGGCTGTCTTTGCTCAAAGGCCCCCCCTCTCCCCTTTCTCCTACAGACGGGATGCCCAATCTGCTCATGGCCGTACTCGTACCTAAGTGCTGGCATTAGCCGATGACTTGCAGCGCATCGTTTCGATAGTGCGGCCCCAACGAAAGCCACCAGACGACGTCTCCCAGCATGGCAAAAATCTGCGCGGCGCTGATGATGATGGGCCTCTGTGTATCGCAAAATGCGGGTCAGAGGTGCTACGCAACGACAACACCAGCAATTGATCGCAGCACGAGGCAATGAATGAGGCACAGGCCATTTTTAGAACCCATTGAGGTAACGATAACGAGCTTGAGCGGGTTTGTGATACCCGACGTTTAATATGGAGCGTCCAAGAATCAAGTATGTGCCTGGAGAGGCCTGCAAATTACAGGGGACCAGGAACGCGTAATATTACTGCTACAGCAAATATTCATGCGACGAAGGGATTCTGTGCGCCCAGCATAGCAATCGTATAAGCACAAATTTGAAAAAAAAAAGAAAAGACAAAAAAGAAGGAAATTCTCATCATTGAGGAGCTTCTGGTTATACGGGATCATGTGCCTCGTATCACAACTGGGCGCATTCAAGATTTGAGCCTTCCAAACTCAAATCTCATTTCCGTCGATGCATGCCGCCTGGGTTTATCGATTCTGGCCCGTGGCGAGTCGGTACCTGTGCCTGTATCCGTGCCTGTGACATTTACGTGTATTGCGAGTGTACCGCGTCTGCTAAATTGCGTGCTTCGCTACATCCCATTCGCCCGCCCTGCGCCCAGGAGGGTCAGCGCTATGCTCGTCCAAGGCCTAGCAGCCCGCGAACGGCCACTGTGGACTTGCTCCTCAGTCCCAGTTCGGGGCTTCGTGTGGGGGTCTCTGGTTGGCTGAGATGCGCTAGACTGCGCTATGAGACAGGTACCTTAGCGCTGCATCCATCGACAACGTTTAGTCTCCAACGCGCCTGTGAGAGAGCGAGACAGCAGTGCAGCGGTTCTCTCCACCCGCCTCCAGGATCATCACCAAATTTCCATCTTTCCCCCCTTCCAAAACGCTCTTTGCTCTGCTCTATTGTTTTTCTTTTTTGGGCTGTTGTTTGCCGCAGACCTTTAAATTTCACCCAGACGGCGGGCCCACCTGGAGCAAACAACAATATCTGGGCACTCGTTTGTTTTTCTTGCTCTCCACAGCTCGTTTCGTTGCTGCGACTGCCGCCGGCCCTGTTTCACTCCTTCACGTAGGGCGGCTTTCTTTGCTTCTCTGTTTACAATCCGTCGAAATCGACATCGCCGCCCTTCGATATCGCCCGAACTTGCTCTGGATCATGTGGAGGATAGCGACCATAGCATCTCGGTAACGCATTCGGGCGCCATTCATTCGTTCGACCAGCTCGCGCGCACAATACAATACGAGTCCCCATATGCGACAATTCTCCGTCCGTACCTGGTAACCACCAAGGATTAACAGGGGATTTCTAAACGACGACGACAACGACAACGACCGCACCTATTCTAATATTCCACGCTACACGCTCTTTTGGATTCCCTACATCAACTTGACTTAACAACAAACTCTCCATCGCTCAATTCGATTCACCGCCTTCTTTCTTCTCGCTGGCTCTCGAAGCTTGATTCGCCCTTGTTCCGCGTCGCCTAGTCGACGTCTGCTGCTGCTGGGCACTTCCTGTCCACCGTCAGCATGCTGCGACCGGCGACGCCCTTGTCAGTACTGCTTGGGATTGCCTTTGCTCTGCTGCTCCTGTCTGTGATCTCGGCGCCCATCATTTCGGCCATTCCCCTCGGCAGCTTCGACAATGTCCAGTTTGGCGTCTTTGGCTTTTGCAGGCCCTCGGGCTGCAGCAGCGCTGGCATCGGCTACGATATTGGTGAGAACCAACCCTTTGTCCCTCCTCTTACCTCTTCTCTGCGCTGCCGGTTCCACCACCAGCACGCTCTACTAGATATAATTGCTAACCATGGCATCCGGCATTATAGATAGCGTCATCCCCAATCGTAAGGCTCAGGATTTCGACCTGCCCAGCGGCGTTCGCCATACGCTCTCTATGATCCTGATTCTTCACCCTGTGGCCGCATTCCTCACGCTCGTCATGTTCTGTATGGCCGTTGCTGCGCACTTCCGCGCTGCTTCTCACTCGTCAAAGTATCTGCTCGCTTTTCTCATCTTCAACCTCATCACCTTCCTCGTCTGCATTGCCGCTTTTGTCATCGATGTCTTGCTCTTCATTCCTCACCTGGCATGGGGCACCTACATTACTATCGCTGCCACGGCCTTGGTTTTCTTCAGCCTCCTCGTCTCCTGCGCTATGCGACGCACCCTGATCAGCCGAAAAGATCAAAGGAGGAGGATTGCAGAGAATGCAGAGATGAATGCTCAGAATTACTACAACCGAGAGGAGCAGGAGCCCAAATCTACCTTTGTCATGACAACCCAGCCCACCGTGCCGACCATGATTGGCGGCGGAAGTGGCACGCAAGACACTCTGCCTGCATTTGCCACGTACGAGACTCCACGGGACGACCAGGTCAGCGACGAGCACATTCCTCTGACGCAACGAACTACGTCTGAGAGGTCGAACAATGGGATGCAGCCCACGGTCCCTGATATGGCCGCAGTTCCAGGCAGTGACATTGGCGGCCCATATAACGGGCCACAGAGGTCTCAATCGACGGACCCATATGGTAACTATCCCAATAATGCCTACGGAGCCGCGGCTGGACAGCCTTATGACCGTATGAACCGCGGCCCCACCAGACAGGCAACCGACCCCTCTAATGGATATCGCGGTGGTCGCGGTGGCCGTGGCGGCTACGGGGCCCCCATGAGAGGACGCGGCGGTGCTTATGGCCCTCCCGGCCGAGGTGGATACGGTCCTCGTGGTGGTCGCGGAGGAGGAGGAGGAGGAGGAGGAGGATATGGATCGCAACCTCGTCCATACTATAACATGCCCAGAGGCGGAGGCACGCGCAGCCCCCCGCCCATGAACTACTCAAACGACAACGTTAGCCAATACAACAGGCTGCCTCAACAGCAGCTGGGCTACGTTGACGAACGAGGCCCTTATGCTGGGGCTCAACCGGCACTGTCTGACCCTTCCATAAATTATCCAGCACCGACTCGCAGCGCCAGTGCCAGCGATAACAGCAGTAGCAACAAATTCATGCCGTATCGTCCGGACCTCGAATTGCCCAGAGCAGAATCTCCACCGCCGCTCCCTGAACCGACTGACTCTGCTGTTTCCTCATCTGGACAGGCGGTTGAGATGGACGCAACACCAGCTGCTGCATCAAGCAACAGCGGTGATCAGTATGGTAACCTCAGAGATAGCGATACGGACGTTGCTGGGATGGTGAATCTCCAGCAGGGCAAGAAGCCTTCATCCCCACGTAGAGAGACGTTTGCGAGCGACGGAAGCAGATATTCTCAAGACGAGTATGTGTCATCTCTTGAAGCTCTTGACGTTACAATGGATTCACTAACGAGCCTTAGGCAACACATGGCGCCTCGTGCCGCATGGAATCAAGCAACAGGAAGAAGCTCGCCCCAGGTGGCGCCTCTGGCACCTCTCATAACAGCTCGCCGAGGACCTACGCCTGATCTCTCTGGCACCACAGCCCCGGTATCCAACGCCAAGGGCGCTGGCAACTACTACGAAGATGTTGACCCCCGATTTGACCAGACGGCACATACTCCTCCGGGTCGCCGGACACCACCGCCACCAATACGACTCCAACCAGCTACAGAAGTCGACTACGAAGAGATGCGAGCTGCTGCTGGCGGAACACGCAGCCCCGCAGAGTCAGAGCATTCCAACTTTACGTCCATCTCGCAGCGTGGAATTAACCCGCAATGGAACCCACCCCCAATGCCGACGCGCCGGCCAGTGCAGCAGCAGCGTCAGGACCTAATCTTAGATAATCCCGACTTTAGGCTTCCTGGGGGTCGATCTACGGCCGCAGCAACACGGAAATTACCAGGCATGACCCCCGACAGCGCGTATCCAGGCCGCTAGGTGTAGTTCTGGCATACCTCTTTGGTCCATGACCTGTTCTTTTCCTCGTCAACAGTTTGACTCTCTCTCTCTCTCTCTCTCTCTCTTTTCCCACTTTCCACATTCTCTTCCTTCACATAGTTTAAATCAGCCTTCTGGTTTTAATGTCGATCCGTTTCTTCTTCAACCTACGACAGCAACTTTTTGCTTTGATCTGAGTTCCATAGCTTGTCATACTACTGCATGGCGCTTGCGCCTCAGGATATACATTGCTTCCGACATGGGTTTTCATTTTCCCACGTGTCTTACTTCTATATTATGCACTGCGATAGCTCCCTCTCTCCAAAGAGCGATCAACGAGTGTATTGTTCTTCTTTTTTACGATATTGCGACGAATGATACCTTTAATGGGATGTGGAGGATTCGACGCATGAGATTAATAGATCGCACTTTTGTGAACGACTTGGCTATCTTTGTCGCGGGAGCTTTGTTTTTCTTTTATAACCCCTTTTTTTCTTTTCATTGTTTACAAAGTCTGACAATTCGGGAACCGCATCTTGATCATACCCAGGGAGGAATACTAGGAATGAATTGAAAAGTATCAAGACTTTATTGAGCCTTTGTTTCTTGTCCTTTTTTTCATAAAACACAATTGGCAAGGAATATGTTATATAGTAAACGCAGCTATTAGGATAGCGAACAGATGAAGACAATAAAGTGAACAAACATGCTCGTTTGAACAAATGCTGTGCTACCTCAAAGAAACTGGACATGTAAGGAAACAACATCACAGGTTCGGAGACCCGAATTGCATTTAAAGTCCACGTAGTAATAGACATAGTCCGCCCAAGGTGCATACTTTTAATCTAAAAAATCGGCAATTGCAAGACTACGACTACTGTCATATCGACCTTTATCATAGCCACAGAGAACAGCTAGCCATCGTCAACTTCACCCACTACCAATATAATCTGTGGATCGAGAGGGGAAGCCAGCCAAGCTTTGTCTTTCTTCTCTCTTTCTTTTCTCCCCTTTTAATCGGGTTGCTTCTGAGTATATGCATTTTTAAGCCCCCTAAGCGAAAATCTTATCAGCGCGGTCCGATAGCTACTGGATCCCTTGATTTTTGTTTGGAAGTCAAAGTGAAGTCACTGACGATAGCTTCACAGCAAACATACATCGGATGAATTAGCTTGACCGTCAACATTCGTACCAGCCATGTACGGAGCTCAGAGCAGCAGTAGAATCCGACCTTTTTACGATTAGCTTTCACATAGCCGCTCTGATCGAATCTTAACAGCCTCCTAGAGGCCGCACTTCACTTTAGCCTCACTTCTTGTTTGGAAGCGCCACCCCTCCCCCCGTTTTTCCATTGCTCTGCATTTTTTCTTCTTCACGATGTTTTCCACTGTCTTCTTTGCTGTTCTTTGGACCATCATTTGGTTACTTAAGCTTGTTTCCTTGGACATTAAGACGGTAAGAAGCCATTTGATCTCATCTTTTTGCCCGTGTTGGTATTTTCCCCTATTTTCCCTTCTTTCCCATCCTATCGCCCACGATATCACCTGGGGAAGGAGCTTCCCAACCCGGATTTGCCCCAACGATTTTCCCATTTTGTTTCTGCCACTTCTCTTGTGTTCGCGTCTCTCCGCCTTCGTTTTCTCCTTCTCCCCCCCTCCACTCCTTCTTTCTCTTCGTCCTCCATCGTTACCTTTTTTCGTTTATTTCTGCACACTGCCAGCTTCTTCTTGCCCTTCACCTCCCTGGATCGCGACTGTTGATTCCTTGGGAAAACTTTCAGTGTCGCAGAGCCGCATCTTGGAGACGCCACTTTTGGCATGCGCGTGCCCGTTTGACGTACCAAGTTTTCTGGTCACTGCTTGGATCTGACTGTCCTCTTTGGCCTCGACTTTGAATTGTAATATCTGGCTCCCTTCCTTTCGATTTCCCTCCCTTCCTTTCCTATGTTTGGTGTTCTTAGTTTCCAAATGATGCGTATAAGGCCCATTTCTGTCTCTTTCTATATCTCTTTCTTCTGTATTTAACTCGCTTGATTCGCTTTATAGCTGACACGAACCTTCCTGCAGTTTGTTATTCTTATCGCGGTTCATATTCTTTCTCGCCAGGTCGCAACCGTCCGATTAAGAAGAAAGACAGGAACCACTCTGTATCCAACCATGGACGAAGAATCTTCTGCCCCAAATTTGCCTTTCCGATCTCCTGCAACACCTGTCTCGGCGCCCTTGCAAACAACCTATACAACAGCCGGGACTATCTACAACCCCAGCTCTTCTCAGCGGCTCCAGCCTCCTGCTCGTCGTGGTCGTTTGCTCAAGGCGACATCTGAATTTGATAACCTCAACTTCGTCAACCCTCCTCTCCCTAGGCATCAGCCTGATGCGTTGCATAGACTTTACATGAGTGAAAGCTTTGCTCAGACACAGCCTCTTCCGGATCGACCAGTCTCCTACGAGCCTCTGCAGCAGAACTATGATCGCGCTGTTAGCCCGGTGAGCGCTCAAGATCAAGCGCCCGGAATGTCGTGGTCCACGGGCTTGCAATCGCCCGCTGCTTTGTTTGACGTTAAGGGCAAAGGCATCGCGAGCGACGCAAACTCTAGTGACGATGAGGACGGCATCATAACCGGCGCCCTTATGAATATGCCTGTCAAATCTCTCCAAAACCTCGCCTCGTACCCGAATCCAAACCAAAAGCAAGCTCAGAAAGCACTTCTTCGAGGGATCAAGCCAAGAGGGAACAGCACATTGAGCGTGCCGTCTAGACAGGATACACCATTTTCTCAAGGTGAACATTTACCGCAATATGCTAGATTGCGACACCATACTGTCTCGGATCCTGCCGCCTCTCGCTTCCCAGCGTCTCGGAAGAGTGCTCGAGTAGCAATATCCGAAACCGCGGCAAATGCCGATTATAAGAGTGCCACTGCATCATCATCTCGATTTTCGACTCCATCTATCCACAGCGATAACTCGGATCTTTATGTTTCGACATCCATGGGCCTTGCCTCAAGCGCTGGTGCCCCTAAGCCATTGACTGCGGGACCGCCTGGCCTACGCCAATATCGCCCCTCGACATTCGAGTCGATGTTCAAGGCGCTCAACACTATGCCGACGGATTCTCAAGATAGCATCGCCCATGCCCAAAAAGGGGGGAACAATCCCTCATTTGACCCGCTTTACAAGTTCACTGAGACTCCAACGACTACCCAAGATTACATTGAACAAGATGAAGAGTTTATTCCATCCTTTGTGTTGTCGTCTTCCAAGTGCCTCGATGCCACGCCAACTGCTCATCAAAACGCAATCGACAAAGTCCCTGAATATTCAGCTCTTCCTGGAGAGTCTCTGCAATATTACCATGACTATTCCGACTTTACGGATTCTCTTGATGCTAATGAGCAGCAGTACTCCAGCGTGCCATCCAAGTGGCCCCACCAAGCCAGTGGCAATGGTGTTGGGGATGGAGAAGGATCGTACTATTCCAACGCTCAAAGGGAGGCTTACTTCAACTCGATCGACTCTTCTGCTCCACAGGCCACTGCATCATCTTCTCTTTTCAAAACTTGGTCTAGTTACGACAATGAAACACTCTCTGAGCCCATGTTTCCTCAGTGCATGGGACATCCAGCCTGCTTGACGGAAGCTGAGATACGAGAGCGAACTCGACAGTTGCATATCAAATGGTACGCGGCAACTGGCTTGCTTGGAGACGCTTATCCACTCCCAAAGCCTATCGTCGAGCCCACCTATCTACCGAGACCGAAGAATGCCTATGGTGCAGTTGGCGACGGACGCCCCTCGAAGACTAGCTCTGCGTCTGAAGAAAGTGACGAGGCATCCGTGGACACTATGCCGTCGGAGTCTTTTAAGAACAAGATTTACAGTGATCTCGCACTCTTGGGAGTTGTTCTGAACAGAGCTACACCGTGAAGAGGAGAGAAGAACGAGAAGTAGAATACTTACACATAAAAAAAAAAAACCACTAGATGAGGGATATTTATAGCTACTCTGATAACGGGAAGCACGAGAGCCAGCTTAAGACTTAGGAGGTAATGGCAGGTGAACGGTTGGATGAGTGAAACAGGAATAGAATATCGGCTTGCGTAGACGAGATAAAAGGCGCCTGCTGGGGACTTGATTAGCCTAGATACATATCAGAGAGATCCTAGAACAAGAATTATTAAGGCAGCTGCCTTAATAATTAGTAGTAATATATCACAGAGCTGTCGCAATATTTGGGATTCGCTCTCCGCTTGTTTCTAATTTATGGCGATGGCTGGGCTAGCCGAGGGGAGGAGTCGGAAAGCTGCCGACAGGTCAATCGCGATGCGCCAATACGTCGGCTACTGGCGTGTGTTGCTTCTAAATTCTGCATAGCCCCTCCAAGTAGATAGATTGCTGCATTATTATATCTGAGTCTATTTGAATACGACCCAAGTTTGCTTTGGAACTTTCGCTGGCTGAATATGAATATATATGTATATATATATTTATATATAAAGAAACACAATTATCATTCACGCAACCGTGATATTCTTTAACAAAAAATAAAGGCTAATATCGCATTTTACAGAGCACTGCGTGAACCAGGCTGCCCGGAAGTTCGGGAAAAATAGTAAAACCTGGTCAGCAGCAGGCCAATGAGAGCTGCGTAGCTTGATTGATTCCAAAGGTGCGCCCGATTATGTTATGCGGTTGCATCGAGCCTAAGATAAGATATATGGCCTGAGTGTCAAAATAGGGAATAAAAAATGTAAGTTATAAGAACGGGGGTTATGGAGAATTTTATTGTGTAATATTTGCTTCTAGTGCATTAGATTGTGTGATGAACATGGATCATGGAGGTGAATGGTGCCCATGCCAAAAAAAAAATATGGACGATATAAAGAAAACACGACTTCCCGCTTTGTGGCAAGGGAGCTAAAGTGGTACGAAACACACACCCACAAACCGACCAAAAGGGAGCATCTCTCCCTTTTTCTCTCTCTCCGCGTAGTGGTAGTGGTAGAGGCATCATGGCGGCCGCTGCTGGCGTCATGGCGATCCTGGAGTCGACTTATAACAGCCTGGATCTGGAAGCTATTCTGGAGTTGTATGCGGACGACGCCAGATTCTCGGCCCATTGTGAGTTTATTGCCCCCCCGCTTATTGTCTGCCTTGTCTTACGCAAGACCAGCGGCGGGCTAAAAGCAGTTGATGCATTTCGACGTATTACGAAAGATTACAGGCTGACCATGTTTTCTATTTTTTTTTTAAAAAAAAGTATTTGGGCTGGTGGGAGTGGACAAGTCTTGGATTCGAGCATTCTATTCCGACTTGATTGAGTACAACGAGAATGTGGAATTCGTTACCCGGTGCGTGACTGGGACGCCTGACTTGACCGTTTGGGAGTGCGACGTGAAGTGGACGGCGAGACTGCCGTCGACGGCGCTGGGAACCGTGAGGGGAGACAAGGTGGTGATGAGGGGCGTGTCGTTGCTGAGCTGGCGGGAAGGGTATATTGTGGAACAGAAGGATTATTTCCACATTGCGCAGAAGGGCAGCTGATGGAGGAAAGAGATGTGAAGGATTTCAAGGCTTGGTATGAAGAGGAGAGAATACCCATCTGTGAGAAGGAGAGGCTGGAGGGAAAGGGATGGAGGACCGGATTCACGTCTTTCGGAGAAGCTGTAAATGGCATCTCTGGGGCTATTATGGGCGAAATCTATCTAAGGACTGCCCTATACATGCAGACAGATTTGGTCTGTTCTAATATACTGTTTTCTTTCAAAGCTCTTCTACACGAGCTTCTACTGCCTGCTGGTACCTCCATTGTTGCGTGAATCCTCGCCACCAAAGTGAATGGCGAGGACATTGAATCCTTGTTATGAGTGCTACAGGGGCAATTGTTTTCCACTGCTATCAAATCATATCCGTGAAACACGACTTGTAGCACAAGGCTGTGCTTTCCTGTCTGTGATGAGTGTCCTGTGGGGTTTTCTATACGGAAATTGCTGCACGCTGTTGCAGACAGTCACGTATTATCAGCGCAGCTGATTTGTCTAATGTGAATGCACAAAGTGGATGAGCATTAGCTTCGGCTAAGATACTTGCGCTGCAAAAAAAAAAAAAGCTAGGTCACTATAATCACTAGCCACAGCTGGAAATTACAATTTTCAATTGGCTAGCTGAACTAATGAACTTTGATTGGCTAGAATATTTGGCCCAGGAGGAATAAGCACTATAGTGACTTTGTGTTTATAAAGACTGTATATTAACTTCATAACCATATACCATCTCGAGATTGATATACTCCAATGACACAGTATTTTCAGCGTCACTAAAAAGTTTATTTGACTTGTCTCAGTCATAGAATGAATACTCTTCAAATTAAAATCTCGTGATCTTAGCTGCCGTCGGGTCTAACAAAAGCTCTTCGCTATTACTAGCAATTCCATTAAATTTAACAATGACGTCAGGTTTAGAAACGTTCTTTCTCTTTGTAGACTACGCCATTAGGCTCACCGTGGAAGACCACCACAATAGGCTTTATTCGATGGATCTCGTCGGCAAGGAAAACTAGCACCAGCAAGGTATATCGCTGCTTTAACTTGGACTAAGAGCTGGCCATCAGCAGCATGAGCTTCAGTTACGTAGGTAAATTAAATGTATGGCCATTGAGATCCAGTGAAAAATAGCTTAGCTGAAGTTCATGCTTATTCACTTCGTGTATTCATATTAGACCAAATCAGCTGCTTATCCCTTCCTTATACTTGTCGAAAGAGACGGGTTTTGGCGAGAGCTGGTGTAACAAGTTATTTACAGATTGTTATGTAAGCTTCCCAGCTTGCTCTCAGCGCTAATCTCTCTGTGGACTCTTGAAATGGACTAGGGCGCAAATGGCTGTGGTTGATGTCAGTGCTTCGCTTTTGTGCGGCCGAAAATTCCTCGTGACGGCGATCTGGTAGCAGCCATTACTTCATACTAAAAATTAACCTGGAAATTAACAACAAAGACACGCTACCGGACACAGGAGGTCATTCTAGCCTTGTTTTCGTGTCCTCACGACAGCCTCTCTCCCTCTCCTTTCGCTGCTCCTAATTCACGGCGCTGGGCTTTTTTGTGCCTTTTGTATTGACTGATCTTTTTGTTGCCGTGGGGAAAATACACCAAACAACAATTTTCTGGCCTAAGCCGATACGATCTTGACACCCAACCGACACGAGACTCTACGAAAACACGCTTCGACGGGCATTGCGACCGCATCCACAACCGGAAAATAAATCAACACGAACAGTGAGAAGGAATAAGCAGGACAAGATGGTCTACGTGCGGCAGCACAACCTCCCGGCCTTGAAAGAGTACAAGTACTCTGCCGTGGATCGGTCGCTCGTGTCGAAATATATCCTCAAGCCTTTCTACACCAACTTTGTCATCCATTGCTTTCCAATGAGCATGGCGCCGAATCTCATCACCTTGACGGGATTCTCGTTTGTCGTCCTCAACTTCTTGACCATGCTGTGGTATAACCCCACACTGGATCAGGACTGCCCCAGCTGGGTGTACTACAGCTGGGCCATTGGACTGTTGCTCTACCAGACTTTTGACGCTGTAGACGGTGCCCAAGCGTAAGTCCTTAAGCTTTCCTTTTTCTCCACGCGCTGTTTCATGTGAATTGAGGAGCTTGGAGCTCGAATGGCATCAAGGGAGCTAACTTTGAGGCGAATTTCTGCAGTCGACGAACCAAACAGTCCGGACCCCTCGGCGAACTCTTTGATCACGGTGTCGATGCCCTGAACACGACTCTGGAGGTGCTCATTTTTGCCGCTTCCCAGAACATGGGCCAAGGCTGGAAGACGGTAGCTACTTTGTTTGCTTGTAAGGCCCTCCTCAGTTTTTGCTCCTCCCCCGCTTCCCCTCATCGTCCCACCCGCTTCTTATATGGGGAACCATGCAGGCACGGAAGACGAGGCGAAGAAAAAGAATAACCAGGAATGCTAATTGGAACAACTAGCTCTTCTCACTTTCTATGTTCAGACCTGGGACGAATATCACACCAAAACTCTGACTCTTGGCATCGTCAATGGACCCGTTGAGGGCGTGCTCATTGTTGCCTCTGTCTTTGCCCTGACGGGCTTCATGGGAGGCGCTCACATCTGGCAGCAGAGTGCTCTGGGCGCCATTGGTGTTCCCGCATCGCTAGGCATTCCCCAATTCATCTACGACCTCACATTCACCGAGTGGTACATGGTCCAGGGAACAATTGTCCTGGTGCTCAACACTGTGGAGTCGTCTGTCAACGTTATTCGTGCTCGACGCGCTCGCGGCGACCGATCCCGAGGCGCCCTTCTTGGCCTTGGACCCTTCTTCGCCGTCTGGGCCCTGATCGTTGCCTACCTCTATCTGCAGCCAAACATCCTCCACCACCACCTGATTCCCTTTGCCCTGTTCGCTGGCCTCGTCAACGCTTACAGCGTCGGGCAGATGATTACCGCACACCTCACCAAGATGCGCTTCCCCTACTGGAACATCTTGGGCGTGCTGATTGGCTTTGGCGTTGCCGATTCAATTGGCCCGGTCTTGCTGAACAACTATGGCTTTGGCTGGCCCAGCTCTCTTGGCGACGGTGTGTACCAGACTGCCTTTGTTTTCCTGATGCTCGGCACTGCTCTTGGAGTCTACGGAAGCTTTGTCGTGGATGTCATTGTTACCATCTGTGACTACCTCGACATCTGGTGCTTGACCATTAAGCACCCTCACCACGAGGCGGCTGTCGTGAAGCCCAATGGCATCAAGAGCCACTAAGAGAAGGCACTGTATTGTGGGAAAACAGTTACATATCCAAGCACATTCGCTACTTGGATCTGTTGTATAATGTGGTGCGATCTTCTTTCAAGAGGAAAGAGAAGAAGAAGAAGAAGAAGAAGAGAAAAATAGCTCATGCGTTGATAACGACATGGGCGAGTCAACAATAGGGAAGGGTAGAGAAGAGCCAAAAAAAAAAAGTCAATACTTTGTAACGCGATATGATGATGGATTTGGATGTTAAACAGACGAGAACCTAGATGGGATGACAGACGATAGCCATTTCCTTTCAGCACGAAGTTAGCTATTATGTGATATTAGGGCATCCGCCTGAGTTTATATAGAATCTTTTTGGGCGTTTTGCGGATAACTGTTATTCGTTAGATGCCATTTTAGATAGAGCAATTGATAGTACCTAGAAAAGATTCCGGAGAAAAGAAGCACTTTATCGCTTTATCATTTCATCAGCGGCCTAGTAATTAGCAGATACTACCTGTACGTTGAAGCCACTGCTAAGCATGGAGATTATGTAGGTAGGTATACAGGTAGGTATACATATATACCTCGGACTTTCGATCGGCATATGCTTAGAAGAATAGCATTCTAAAGATGATATAGGCTCATTTGTCATTTCCTCTTTACCTATTACTCTTCGAATTTATAGCTGGGTTAGAGTCAGCCAAGTGGAGGGATCCGGACTATATCAGGCCTTTAGCGGGACCTTGATCCTGGCAAGCACTAGGAGATTCAGCTCCTCCGTTCTTTCCTTATGCGCGAAGAAGATGCAATCCTAAACACAAGTGTTGTCTCCTCCTCTCCATTTCTCCAACTCCAGCATGATCGACGCCGTTTTCACCAAAAAAAAAAAAAAAGGAAACGAAAGAGAGAAAACTGGGATTCCAGCAAAAATACATGTCTCCGATACTGGGAATCGAACCCAGGGCTGCTCGGCACTCGAATAATGAGAGCGAGCGATGTTAGCCACTACACCATATCGGATATCTGGTATTGATAGATGCGAGCTTAGAGTCCTTGATACGGCCTTCAAATTTTCTTTTAGTGAGTTCCCCAGTCCTCTTATTCACAATTTTCGCTTCGCGGATTTTCGGCTTATTTGACTAAACTTCAACCGTCGGGTTAAACCAACTTGCTTTGGCTAACACCGCGAGGCAGTCTTACGGAGTCCACTTCCTCCAAGAGGTCAAGAAGCCGACCATGCAAGTCAATCTATGCAGGATCGTATTGGCCGGAATATCCCTACAAATTCAACTCGCCCTGCAAAGGCGGATAGGATAGTATCACCTTACAAGGCGCCCTACACGGCTGGGCCATCCATGTCATGCCTTTCCTGTTGAAAACAAGCAGACAACCGATCCATGTAATGCCGTTCCTGGTGCTGATCTGCCTGCTAGAAGCTAGGCCCCGCTCTGTTCAAGACTTGGTCTGTCCCAGCTGCGCGGAGTGCGGGAGCTTAGAATAGAGACTATTAGCCAATGCTTACCATAGCCAACATTCTGCCTACCAGCAGGTCTCCTCACTCAATCAACTGTAATCTAGGACATGAAAGAGTCACAAGGGCCCCTCCTCGAAGGCTTCCTTCAGCCCTACGGTTTCCGGAGTCCGGGACGATGGATCTCAGGGCAACAGCTTGTTTTATGGTTCTATCGCTACTATTAATATGATGATCCTACCATTGCTACGAGCTATAGTCGCACAGGAGCCACGGCCGAGGCGTACCTATAAGTCGGCATGTTTACCCTTTGGAGCCTTGGGAGGCAAGGAACTTTGGCTTGCTGCATGTGGTGAGAGCGATGCCCTCAGCGATCATCAGCACGTGGAGACTGCCCTGCGCCAACTTATAAACGGATAGGCTACTGCTCACCTTGAGAGGGCGCAAGGGGCGGCGTTTTAGGAGGTTTGGGATCGGTGATTCGATGGAAATTGTATTTCCCGTCGTATGCGGCCAATATGTACGGAAATTGGCACCATCCGAAAGTAAGCTTGAGCTACAGTATGGCGCCGGCTTCTATCCCACTGGCTCTACCCATAGACCTGCGAGGAAGGATTTGACCTGGTCGGCGATTACTGAGTGTTTGGGTGTCTTTGGAATCTGGGTGTTGGGTCTTGACTTCTGATACTGATTTATCCCACCCCTTGGCCTTCTGCTGTCTCTCCACGCCACTATTGTCTTCTTCTTCTTCTTCTTTGCCAGAACCTTATCCAGAGTGGCATGTCATTGCTCTGGGAACCTAGGCAAAGAAAACAGTTTCCAGCTAGAACCTTCCGGCCATGTTCTGTTTCCAGAAACGAGCGGAACCTTCGAAAATCAAAAGTCTCAAAGAGTTCTAATCGAATCATCAAGTCAGCAAGCACCACAAGAGCTGCAACCCTTATGTCGGATCCAGCCCTGCTAGGCTCAACTGCCGTATTCTGAGGCCGTCTCTCAAAGCGCTAGGGGATCCCCTGTACCACGCCCCTCTTCGCCGCCAACACAGCGCATGGCTCACGCCTTCTATCGCTCGATAGCTACCTGGCCATTTGGAGCTGCCGCCGTTCTTGGTATTCTTAGCGGCATCAGCGGCTGAGCCGGGCTGAAGAGAAACTTGGAATCAAGGCAGAGAAGCAGCAAACAATGGCGGTCTGGCCGCTGGACAGTTAGAACCAAAGCGGCGCTGGGTATTGGCGCCACAAACGCGACGCCCGAGAGAGGCCATTTGCCTAGTAACAAACACTGTGCTGCCCACCCATGAGGCAATAGATAGTATGGATGGGGGTCTCAGGTGGCTGCTACCGCGCGGTAATCCCTAAGCAATGGGAAAAAATAGGGACTTGTCTCCCCACGGCTTCACCTGGATGCGTGCTAGCATCTTCGCGGCATAAGCCCCTCAGGCCTCAAGAAGCTGCCGAGTCTCCGGCTACGACGTCTGATTCGCCGGTGGGAGCACTAGGCAGCGTAGCCGCAGCTGTCTCTGGTCTTCTGCCGTCTTCGCTCCTGAGTTTTCTGTCGTTCTGAGTCGGGAATTGTCGCTTGGCTGAGACTCACTGACTTGCAGTCAGTCTTATTAATGTTACTCGCGTGATAGTGCCATTGGGAAAGGACCCGGACAACGCGAACGTAGACCCAAGCCGCCAAATCGGAAAAAACAACGCCCACTCTCTCTCTTATTTCCAATTTCTCACTTACAGCACCACCCACCACCCATAGCCCCCAGGGTATTATATACGAGTCGAGTGGACAAAGGCAAAGCCCAACTCAAAAACTCGCCTCAGCCCCCCCCGTCCCCCATTCCGGGCGAAGACCATATTCCGTACATAACTCCGTACACGCCTAGGACTAAAGGAAAAAAAAGAAGGCCAGGCGGCTGCTCCATTATTACCTACCCAACTCAGGTCATTCTCGTCGCTGCATCATTCCCCAGAAGAAAGAACAACACCATGGATTTCGCAGCCCAGTACGCCTTTGCCGGCCCTCATCAGGCGTTCTCGGCCTCTTTTATGCCTCTGACGCCTTCGCACTCCCAATCAAATGGCTCGGACGATTTCAGCAATACCTCCCCGCCTGTAAGTTTTTGTGAACCCCCAGCATCCCCCACCTCGTCTCCCGAAAGCGCAGATTGTGTGCCTTAGCGCTCCCTTACTTGAGCATTACGAGAGTGAAGACTAATCACCACACGTCTGGCTGTGAATGATTAATTGCCGTGCAAAAGCTTGACTGATGCTGACACAATCGAACTTTGTTTGATTTCTACAGGACAACTTTGCAGACCACTTCAATACCTTTGATTATACGGGGTCCTTTGGCAACCATCATCAGTCGGCCTTCCACCAGAGCCCGCCGTCGCCGCCCGTCTTCGGCCAGCATCCGAGAGCTGCCGTGCAACAGCAGCAGCATCAAGACCAACAGCAGCACGTCTCGGACCACTTGGCGCAGTCTCCGTCAACAAATGGCAGCATCAATGGCAGCAGCAGCAGCATGCGACTGGATGGCGCATCGGGAACCAAGATCGAGGCCAACTCCGACGACTTAGGCCGCGGCGGCAGCGAAGACGAGGATTCGTTGACTCCTGCGCAGTCGAGGAGAAAAGCCCAGAACCGTGCCGCGTAGGTGCTCCCCCATTGCTTTATCGTTCCAAAGTCCCTTATCTTTGCCTTGTCTGCTTTGCTGTGCTGCGATTCCCCGGAATGGTCTCCTTGAGTCGTATCGGAACTACCAAAGTAGATTGATCTGCTTCATGGATGATGTATTCCGGGGCGTGTAGCTAACTCTAAATCCTTTTCCTACCTTCCTAATTTGCCATTATCTTTCTTCGTGGGTACAAAACCGGGCTTGCAGAGCAATGCCGCAATAGTCGGCGAGTCCAAGATTTTGTTTTTTAAATTTATTTCGCTCTTTTATTCTTTTCCCGCTCTTTACATTAAGCAGGAGTCCTTTCTATAGCTTATACTGATATTACTTTGATTTTTACAGCCAACGAGCATTCCGCGAACGAAAAGAAAGACATGTCAAGGATCTCGAGTCCAAGCTGGCCAACCTTGAGGCCGCTCAGAAAGAAGCTGCTACCGAAAACGAGCGACTTCGACGAGACCTCCAGCGGATGTCGACCGAGAATGAGATTCTCCGGGCTACGTCAGCCATGAATCAGAACAATGGCTCTCATTCCCCCGAGCCTCTGACAACAGGGCCGATGACATATACGCCTACCGACTTTTACACCAATGTGCTCCAGGGCCACAACAACAAGTTCCCCTCACACCGGATTGTTACCTCTGACGACGGCCACCGGCTGCTCGCCGCAGGAGCCGCCTGGGACTTTATCCTGGCCCACCCTTCGTACAAGCGAGGCCTGGTTGACGTCAGCCAAGTAGCCGAGCGAATGAAGCGTCTGGCCAAATGCGACGGACAAGGGCCTGTCTTCTCTGAGGGAGACATTATCCACGCTATTGAACAGAGCGTTGCTAGTGGCTCCGACGACCTGTTGTAAAAAAAGGAAAGAAAGGAAAAATACGAGGGAAAGAAAAAGACCGAAAAGAGAGACAAACAGTGAGAAAGGTGATGAAGCGGGAACCCGGAGCCAGACCCCGAGCCGGAGCGGGAGCAAATCATATACCTGAGACTTGCAGCAGAGGATGAACTGTGTGTGTGTGTGTGCTTGGGCCGGGGAACAGGAGAAGAGAGGGGAAGACAAGGGAGAGATTGTGTGCTTGGGAGCCTGACTTATTTTGCTTTTGGTTTCATTGGGGCGAAAGAGAGAGCGAGAGCGAATGGTATCATGACATTGTGCTTGTTTTGTTTTTAATGCTGCATTACGACTTGGCGTCTATCTGTGGGGTTGCTTTGGGCCTCAATGCACTGCTTTGGGATTTTTTATCGTCTTCATTGGTTCAGGCACTCACAGTCACAATCACAATCAAGATTACATTTCCAACCCGAATGGTTAATATGTGTGTGTGGTACAAGCCTCAAGCATCGGCGACTCGGAGCGTGTCCGGGGTGGGACGATCTGCCCCGGATCCTGCTGCTACGCACCACCTAATCAAGTTTATGCGAATGGCTGTCCTGCTGCTGTGGGCGCTGAGTGGTAGGTGTTCACTCCACAGTCCTGTATGAGGCACTGCATTGAGGCACTGCATTGAGGCACTGCATTGCATGATTTGTATGCTCTTGTCTTGGTGTCTCTCTCTCTCTCTTTATTGCATGATACGAATCACGTTTTGTACAAGTATATATGTACAAAAGGCCGCAGAGTGCAGCATGTAAAGCTACCATGCAGGCCTGGATCCTTTGTTTCTCTATCTGTCTCCTCTTCATCCTTCAGACTCGTACGTACGAGATGCGAGAGTACACTAATCATCCAACCAGGTTTCACTTACAGCAAAGCAAAGCAAAGCACGGCAATGCAGCAGCAGCAGCAAACGCGCGTTTGCCACGTCTCCTGCCCAGCCTGCTTTTTTTTTTTTTTTTTGTCTTTTTTGACAACCCAATTTCCCCCTCATTCTGAAGGTGGCGGAACTATTGGTCTCAGGCGCAGAAAAAAAAAAAAAACAAGGAAAATGGGCGAGAAAAAAAAAGACAAAAGGCAGACAAAGCAGGGGGGGTTGGTAATTAAGAGCAAACAAAAAGAAACCATGGGAGAAGATAGTCGATTTTGAAGTATTGGCAGTAGCACAAGCCCAAGAACACCTTCAGCCGCACCTGAAAGTACCCACTTTTGTGTCATTTTCCTCTATTGACGTTCAGTCTTGCGGATGGAGTGGTCCGAAGAGTGGGAGAGTGTGTTTACGGACAGTCAGACAATCAGACAGCATTGGAGTATTGGAGCAGAAGGGCATTGGAGCAGAAGGGCTTGGAGCAGAAAAGCATATGGGTGACGAGGCAGTAACAGTGCTACTGTGCCGTATCAGTTGTCCCCAATAAGATTGCTTCTTTGTATCATGGGTGGCATGTAAGCTCTGGTCCGGGGGTGGTTTTTTGCCCCGTCCTCACGCATGTGCCTGTTTGGTTGCATCTCATGTAGGAAGCGATATTCAGTTGCATCCGCGTTATCTAGCTGCATCCCAAATAGTAACTCATTGTGTATTTACGGCCTGCATTTCGCCTCTGCATTTGCATTTGCATTTGCATCTGCGTCTGCTTTGCAGTTCAATCAATTCTCAAGAATCACCTGCTTTTTCTTGCAAATCCTACACAGAAACGAGAAACATGCCCTTTCCTGCATAACTAACAGCGGGCTTTGCTCGTGACACGTGTTCATGCCTTGCTTCCTCTGCCTCGCTAAAGCAATTGATTCTCGTTGAACGCAAAATATCAAGAGCCTAGGCCTAAAAAACCCAAGTAGAGAAGAAGTTACGTTGCCTCTCTACGAAGTGTAATGGCCTGTATGTTCATGCAATGCTCGAATGGCCCAATTCCAGCCAGGATTACATGCCCCCATTGTCGCTTTGGCCCAGTAGCAAGCAGCCAGGTCGCTAGGTCGTATTGCAGAGGGGGGCGAAATTGATGAAAACAAATTACAAATTGGTGTGTGGTGATGGCCTATCCTCGCGAAAGAGCAATGGAGGAGTAATACTTCAAATGGACTGCCTCTCTGGATGGATGAAGGGGGGCCCTATCAAACTACCTTGTTTCTCTGCCAGCTTCTGCTCCCCTCTCTCCCTTGACTGACTGATAGTCTGGCGGCTTGCGGCTATAGTATGCATAGGCAGAGACATAGAGAAGACAAGAGAAGCCAAAGGAGATAAAAAAAAAGCCACAAAATACGACTGGGACGGCACAAGCAGAGCAGCTTAGACCCAGTCGTTTATACAGCCTTGTTTTTCAAACCAATTGAGGCTCGTAGCTGGCTCTGGATGGCTCCGCCTTCAGCCGACACCAGGTCATTCTTGTCTCAAGCTAACAGAAGAAATAAGAGGAAAAAGCAAAGAGTACATGTTGGCTTATTCCGAAAGTAGTACAGAGCAGCGAGCAGTAATACTTATTGGCCACCTACTAGTGCTACAGTGGAGGTAGGTAGTAGCAGTGTATGGCGAAAAGGTGTGGAAGAAGACACCGAATTAGATGGGAGGGCGTATGGTAGAGACCCTGACCTAACCAAGGCTACCTATATAAGACGGTGGCCCCCGAGCAAATCGCCCATCCGTCTATTCCCTTTTGAATCCATCTCCTTCTTTCATTTCTCTCTCTCCGTTCTTCAACTCTAGCCTGAGTCTCTCAGCGTTGCCCTCCCTTGATAGAGCCCATTCACTTTGTCATAGACTGCTCACCGAGATCACCGCCCACTACTATTTAGGTAGCAACTAATCAACACCAACGGCCAGCCATCATGATGAAAACAATCTATGAGGTTGACGAGGAAAATCACCACGGCGGGCCTGACCCTCCCGTACCTCTTCTTCTCTATGTCCCGTCTAACAATGAATCTTCCTATTATATTCGATCCTTGAAACATCCCGTTCCTATTTTGAACCCTCATAATACTCATATCAATGCCGCCAAGTTCAATCCTGGACCTGACATCTTCTATCCTGCCTGGCGGCCTCTTCCCGGTGGCTTCAGATTGTCCGTCCCTGTCCGTCCCCTCGGTGTCTTGGTGAAGCTTACTCAAGACGGCTCTCTCATCAATGTGGCCTGCCCGAACTTGACTCTTCCAGACCTGCCTGGGGCCGCAAGAAAAAAAGCGCTGGACTCCACAGAGATTCTGGAGCAGGTATTTTCCCATATCGACGAGGTCACTCTCCTCACCTCTGTCCAGCGAGTGAGCAAGGACTGGAAGGAAGTCGTTGACGGATCGGTTTTCTTGCAGCGGAAGCTCTTCTTCCTCCCCGATGAGACGCGGCCGCTCGAGCCCCATCCGCAGGCGAGACGCGAGAAGGGCTCAGGCTCAGGCAATGTATATCCCGTATTGAATTCGCTGCTGGTCAGGCATTTCCGCAGCAGTTTCTTCCCCGTCGGCGGCAAGTTCTACGGCTACACGCGCCGGTCTGAATCTTTCTACGAGCAGCGATGGACTTCCAAGCACAACAAGCTCAAGCTGAAGAGGAAACTGGACACAGGCTACAACAAGTACGAATCTGTCAGGCCCGACATAACTAAAGCTGAAGCTCTCCAGATAGCCCTGGATAGAGATCGCTTCACGCGGGCCGGCGCAAGTTGGCGCAAGATGCTCGTCTCGCAGCCCCCCATTCAAGACTTCATCGCCATGGAGTTCACGCCCAACGACAATGATGGTTCAAAGTCCCAACAAAAGCTCAAATTCTACATCCTCGACGCACATCATCCGGACAAAGGCCTTCGAATGGGCCAGCTGTACGACTTTGTGCAAGACAAAGTCGGAAACCACCCGCTGGACTCGCTGTGGTATCGCGTCGTCTGGTTTGAGCCGCGCGCTCCCTTTGCGTCAGACCTCAGCGAAGACGGCTGCGGAATCATGTTTGACGAGATGGGCACGAAATGCGTGGTTGAGATGTTTCACCGGGAGGATGAGGCCAAGAGGTTTTCTCCTACCTTGCCATCTTCTTTTCCTTCTTCCATTGCTGCGAGAGCGGGACCTTTGTCTTCTTCTATTGCTGTGCGGGAGGGGCCTTTGTCTTCTTCTCGCTCGTATCCCTCTGCTTCTAGATCCAGACACAATCCGCCAAGCTCAAAAGCTTTTGATGCCATCTTCAAATGCGCTGAGTATAGGCCTGTGGATTGCAGGCCGGCCCAGGAGGTGGTGGACTATGGCAGCGTGACGCACCGGAAACTTATACAGCTGGAAGATTAGGAAACCTTCCTTCTTTTCTTGTATAAACAAGAAACTGCATTTGGGTTGGTTAGTGGTTCTCCCTGTTTTCTTGTTTCCATACGCTGTTCATACTGACGTGTGGTAGAAATAATTGCCCCAAGAGCCCTTGGGCACAGCACTTAGGCGGTTGCATTTTCTCGCCGTCCCCATGGCTAATGCGGGTGGGTGGGTGGCCAACATGGGGATCGGCTTAGATTGTTTTCTAGATTTTCCTAGAGTCGTCTTTTCCTTTCTCATTTCTCTTTGGGTTTATCTTCTGGGCGCTTGTCGGCTACCGGGGCTTTTCGTTTCCTCTTTTCCCTTCTTAATACCGTTCTCCAAGACCGTCCTTAATCCACGGTTTTCTTCTTCTTCTTGTTCCGGACTGTTCTCGATACCATTTCTTTGACTCTGTTTGTTCTCGATACCTTGCTGTCTTTTATTTCGCTGGCGAGTACTAATTTCTCTGACTCTATTGAGATCCGCAACTCTGTGGGAGACTTCTATAATAATGGGACAAATGGTTGTGTGTACGCTAGCTATGTTAGTTCTTTCGGTATATGCAAATTACCTTTGCTTTTTCTTTACCCGTACTTATGCTTCCTCATTTTAACACGTGTGGTATTTTCGGTGTCCTAATGCGATTCTCCAGATACCAGCCGTAAAATATTCGTTAGCAATATGCTATATTATTGAGTAGAAGTGGTGTGGTAGGATGTTCTAGTCGCCTTTCTCGGATGGAGTTCCGCCCAAGCTCTGATGCTTTGAAGCATACCTTCGGTCTAGAGAAGATTTCTTTGGCATATTCGGCCAATTCTGCAATAAAATCGCCAATCTGGAAGTAATGTGGCTGTCCGATAATCCTTGTGCCGGCCGAGTCGCGTTTGACGTCTGATGGCCAACAGCTGGCATATCCTCTATCAAATATAGTTAGATCGACGTCACCCGCAAACTTTCCATCTGTCAGTATTATATTATATTCATATTGAACACACACACACAGTCATCCTTTGGGATCTTTTTGCCTTGATCTTCAACAGCAAAGCATCTACCGCTCCCTTGAAGGATAGCAGCTGTTGGATCTACGACCAAAAATGCGAGGTTCACCATGGCTCTCGACTGCCTATAGCTGTTTTTGGCTATTGCATAGGCCTATAAACTCCCGTCTCGTGGTATTTTGGTATCAGTGTTAGCCCTATGCCTGCTGTTGAGTTACTGTTCTGCTGAAGTTAGGGGCTGTCCCTCCCCCCTGAACAGCAGCCCTTTGTTCATTTCCTTCCTTTACAGTCTTTCAATTCATCCAAACCGCATACAATTGATCAATAATTCTCTTTAAAGTGTTCTAAACAATCCAAAGATACCCCCAATTCCTTTTAGGCACTCCGCATTGGCGTTCCTAATGCGTGCAACCTGGATATTATCGACCAGCCTCGACAAAAAGAACGATGGTCGGCAGTTTTCTGCCACACGTGATTACCGCCGCACGGGATCGCAAATTCTCTTGATATTCTGGGCAACATTTTCTTTCCAAACCACTCGCTTCACTTCAAGACATGATATATCCCATCTACCATCCACGCCCGTCAACGTGTCTGCCATCAAAGGTTAACGAGAACGGTGAGGCCTTTGAGCATCAGAACAAGTTTTCAAGCCTCTATTTGCATTGATACTTTTGTTTTGTCTTCTTTGTCTCTTGTCCTCTCATTTTCGACTTCATGTAGTCTTTGTTGCTGGTTGTTCAGAAGCCTTGTCGTGCTAGCAGAACGGTGTAACCAGATGAGTACCTTTCCAATCATTCTAGAGGTCCATTTCAAATGGACTGACTCCATGAATAGTCGGATTCTATCGCTGTCGCTATTGGGCATCTCTTTGAAGACTTGCAAGTGCAGAACTCTGCCTTCCCAAGCCCTGCTATTCACAGCACGTCCCCAGTGGCCATGTGGAAAGACATCAAATGTTTTTGAGACTCGCAAAGCCATTTGCGGAAGATCAAATCACTCGCGAATATCGACCTTGAGACTGATAGAACTACTCGCCACCTAACTAGAGTTATTGACGCTAGAGCTTCAGCCCATCAGGTCTCGAGAACTACAAACGACCGACGCTGGCTGCTTGATGGGCTCTTGCTCTCTTAGCAGGTGAGTACCAAAGGCAAATAGAATGAACGAGCAACTTCTGACATGTTATCTTAGGGAATATTTTTATTGTGCTGCCAAATGCACCTAGCTTCACCATCATTGTGCCTTGGCCTTTTCCCCTCGCCGCTGTGAGCTTGAGATCTGGTTGTTGGTCATACAGTGCTTCTTTGGGCGAACCACAGCCTTGAAAGCCAAACAGTGTTTTCAGCATCTGCTGGTAAGCTTGTTTTGTCAATGAATGCTGCTCGTGGAATATCAACATTGATAATGGTCATCTCTGCGTCCTGAACAATGGCAATCTGTCACGCACCACGGTTCTCTCTATAGAGGTAGTCTCTTCCAGTTCTATGTTTTGACGCTGCTTTTGGTAAGTTTCAGTCACCATTTATCACAATGCCATATTCTTCTTCTTGGTCTATCACTGAAATTAGGTTACCGCTCCCTTGGTACTGAGATGGTCGGTGTGCTCAGGCAAGTGATTTCCCTTGGCATCCAACACTAAGCAGCTACATTGAGTTGGCCAGCACCGAAACAAATGAAAGTCTATTGGCGTTGAAAAAGAAAAAGCTAGGTAACCGGAATAATACCTTTGCAGAGGTTGGTTATTCGTAAGTCATGACACACTCGCAGCTCTACTGACGCTCTGGTAGTAAGTAGTACGCTCTCTTAAACCACTAGATCCCTTCAAGCTCTCAAGCTCTATTGCTTGTATACAGGTCACTTTTCCCCTGCCTCCCCTGAATAGAGTTGCTGACCTATTGCAATTGCGTGTTCTATCAGCTATTAGCTTCTGTTGTGATAAGCAGGTCTGATTTCAGATGTAACCGCAATACGTATCAAGGTTAGCCTTATCCTTTCTATCAGCATGCTACTCACTCTAACGCACAATTTATAGCATCATAAGTTCCAAGATCATGTCTTTTGACATCAAACTGCCAAATAACGGGAATTCCAGGCAAGAAGCAGAATCCCTAAGTATCAACATGAGTTCATACGGTCCAACTTCATATATACCACATTCCATCTGATTCATGACGGTATTGACTCTCAGAGCAGAGGCCTCGGCGAACGATCGCCGACTACTACAGCCGCTGCCGACCAGCAGCAAAGAGAAAAAGCACCGACAGACCGAGAAGAAGATTGCTACCGAGCAAGAGAACAAGCCAGACCACAGACACCGCGCCACTGGAGTTGAGCTCAAAGATTTGTATGCATGAATCGTGCATGAATCGAACAAGAATCGAACAAGAATCGAACAAGAATCGAACAAGAATCGAACAAGAATCGAACAAGAATCGAACAAGAATCGAACAAGAATCGAACAAGAATCGAACAAGAATCGAACAAGAATCGAACCATAAATGCCGAGCGATTGAGGCCAACACGTGAGAATTGAGATATAAGAATCCGATGCGAGCGTCGAGCCACCAGAATCGTATACGAGCGGCGCCACAAGAGCCAAGATGCGAGAACCGAGCAACGACTACCAAGCGCAGGCATCGAGCCTATAGAGACCGAGCTATAAGAACCGAACTACGAGCACCTCGAGGGGCAACGAGCGGGCGGCCGATCGATCGGATAATATACATACACATATACTATACGGGGATGAAGGGGAGGGTGGAGGCAAGGCTTAGCGAAGGTATCGAGCTGCAAGCACCGAAGTATGAGGATCGAATCATTAGCAACAGTCAGCAAGAGTTGCGTAAGAGCTGATCCACGAACGGCGAGCCTCAAGAGTCGTATACGAACCACGCAACAAGAGGCGTGCAAGAGCAAAGACACAAGAGACAAACCGAGCGCGTCGAGCTACAAGAAGCGTAAACGAGTCAAAGAATCGAACCGCAAGAGAACCGAATTGCGAGCAACAACCAACGAGCACCTCGTGGGGCAACGAGCGGGCGGCCGACCGATCGATATAAATATAATATACTATATGGTGCTGAGGATATGGAGGAACCTTAAGGGGGCTGGCTATTCAGTCAATTTATCTCATGAAAGAATGAAAGTGCAACAGACGCAGTTGTTCAAGAAGAAACTCCAGGAGATGAAAAAGAGGACGGTACAGCATCTCAATCGAGAGTCTTGGAGAGAAAATAATTGCTTGGCTTTTAGCCAGCTGTTCAAAAGAACACGAGCAGCAGATTGATCACCGATTTAAGGATGGATTATGAAACAGACGAATTGAGCCGAACAGATATCTCTGGTATCTTACCAGCTTGTCAACAACCTCAAAAAATGAACACGCATGAGTAACAATCTCCACGCCCCTTTCCCTTTCCAATCAGAATACAGTTGGTCACCGCAAAGCCCACAACGAACGATCAGTTCGCAGAAACACACAAACATATGACGATGCAACCGATACCTACTTGAATCGGGAGCTGAAGTACTCTCCGTAGGGAGCAAAGCTCCGCAACCTTCAATCCGTATGGTTACATCAAACAAGCCACCGGTGGACAATGGCCTAACCCTCTCCTGTTTTTAGTCTCTTTCTGTGCCGGAGCTAGTGCGCCGGAATGCGATCCACACCAATAGAGGCTCTCGGCAATACTGAAAGAAGATCAAACGGCTGTTAGATCTATATGGGCTTAGCTTCGTGCCTTATCACCAGTCACCTGCGAAGTTGAGCAAAAAGATTACTATAGTAATGCCAGGATGCATATACCAAATTCCTTTCTGCTTTGGGCAAGCCGCATTCGCGTCACTGTCACCGGCTGACAATTGCCGCAAGGTTATCCTGAAAAAGGCTAGAAGTTCAAATTGACTATACCATTTCGAAAACTTTTCTGGTCGATCGCCCATCGACACCAACGTGTCCCTCGACAGGCAAGTTCTCATCGATACGCATTTTCGCATACGGTTTATCTACTGTAAGGCTTCAGAAAGAAGCTCTAAGGCCTGTAAACGCTGTCTGTTTTGACTTTGAGTTGGGGAGAGCCGGGTAAGATTGTCCTTTGGACTCCTTGCGTCGCTTGAACCAGCTGAGAGAGAATATGTATTCGTTCAGAGAGTGAATACTCTGTGGTTGACAAGAGCGGGAACCGGCTGATTTACCCCGGCCATGGTTAAAGAAAGCACCGTCCGTCCGTCGCACTCGCACAGACACCCTGGGACTTCAAGAGTTCCATTGTCGCCGACTGGGTAGTTTGACAACTGCTTTCTACGCCGGCGTTTTGTCAATTGAGGCACTGAGCACTTTCCACATAGAAGATGTTCTACTGATGCAGGGCATGCATCCCAAAGGACCGAGAGAGCCATACTCGGTAAGGGATCAGCATTTCATTATACTCGCCGTGAACAAAGTAAGTCAAGTCTCTCTTTCTTCGACCCTTTCACTTCACATAATCCCCGCAAGAATAAGAAAGCTGTCCGTTGTAAAATCATGAGATGCCCCCGACCGCTAGAATGGGTATGGCAATTGTTTCTACTTAGTTACCTACTGCTAGTTCATACCTAGCCCTCCCACATTCCGGCCATTGTCATCATGACTAATTACTAATTCCTGTAGGATTCGGCAAACTTCGTAGTCAGATTGCTATCTGTCAAAACTGATACCAGATCTGGCCCCGTTTAAGCCTTTGACCTCCTATCCTCTTTGATCAAGTCCGCAGCCTTCTCTGCGACAACATAGACCATGGTCTGGATGTTGCCCGCGGTTTGGATAGGAAAGACACTAGCATCAACAACTCTCAATCCCTTAGTGCCATACACCCTCAGCCTGTCATCTACGACACCGCCCTGGTTTCTTGGCTTCATCGCTAAACTACATGCGGGATGGAAGTCACTAACTTGACTCTGTTTGACAATTTCTCTAGCATTCTCGAGAGTATCACCCTTGACCTGTGGGATACGAGCGCCGTTTGGTTTAAAAAGGTCCTTGAACGGCGATGTCCGGAGAAGGAGTTCCACAAACTGAATATGGCGTGCAGAGATTTCCAAATCAAGCGGATTCGAGTTGAAGCCGGGATCCCAGGCTGGGAGCTTGTCAACATCTGCGCTAGTGATATGGACACTGCCGCGGGAAAAGGGATGGTTCAGCATTGTCATGACGGTCAGATAGTTCTCTGGGCTTGTCGGTAAGAGATAATCCGCCATGCTGGCTGGGTTGTCAAGGACGGTATGCACTTGTCCGGGGAACAAAAAGTACTCCACAGCCGGCTCGTTGGGTCCTTCAAGGAGCTCACGGAGGAGTTTGCCATCCCGAGTCTGTGCGTGCTGATCGTGCGAGGCGAACAAAGCCTTCCTTGCATCTTCAGAGTAGACACCTTCTCCATCAGCGAGGGAGGAGTATGCGACGCTAATGATCGACTGGCCTAGGGGACCCTTGCCTCCATCCTGAAACATCTGTATAAGTGCGTTGAGAACGTTTGGGTCACGGAGCACGTCACTCGATGGAACGTCGGGATTAACTTCAAATCCCTGGGTTGAGATGGGGTGATCTTGCAGATTCTCTCCGACATTTGGGTTCTCAACGAGAACGGGAATGTTCAGGCGTTCAAGAAGCGACCTGTCACCAACACCAGACAGCTCAAGAATTTGGGGTGACATGAGAGCTCCCGCCGACAGGATGATTTCACCACCACTCAGTGTCTGCTCGGTGCCCTCTTTTGTCCTGACGAGCACACCGGTTGCAACAGGCTCAGCTCCTGACGTATCAAAGACAATCTTCTTGACAACTGTCTCTGTGAGAACCGTCAGGTTTGGTCTACTCGCAATCTCAGGAGTGTAGTGCGCGTTGGCGGCATAGCTTCGCGTGTGAGTGGCGGGATCAATGTTGGCACCCTGCTGGAATGCGCCCAGGGCCTTGCCGTGTCTTGGGTCGGCTTTCATCTCCAGGCCAAGTTTAGCGAAAGTCTCCATCCAGACCGTATTTGACTTTCCGAAGCCTTCGCCGTAGGAAATTTGGATCGGTCCATCGCCAATGATTGAATCGTCGTGGTACTTGAGGCCAACAGCGTCTTTGGCACTTTGAGGGGGGACATGAAACGTCGCGAACTTGCGCAAGTACGGCGATAGAGAATCATAATCCCAGCCCTTGTTTCCCAATTTGCCCCAAGCGTCCAGGCTGCCCTTAGGAGGGTAGAGCAACATCATGAAATTGAGTGCTGATGATCCTCCCAGCTGCTTGCCACGAGCCTGGTTGATAATCCGGTTGTTCAGCCCAGACTGGAAAGCTTGGCGTTAGTGAAAAATAACAACAACAGACAACTAAGGAGCCATAACGTATTCACTCACCTGAGGTGTTGAGCTAAAGTTCCAATCATATTCCGGCTTGCCATACATGCCAACAACAAGACCTGGAGTCAGAGCGAGCGGATTTTGAGAGTGGTCTTGACCCGCCTCAAGCACTAGTACCTTGACGTTCGCATCTTCACTCAAACGATTTGCGACTGTCAAGCCAGCAGTGCCACCTCCTACAATAATGTAGTCGAAATTCTCTGGAGCGGAACCCATATTTGGTTTCTAGATAACAAACGACTGCAAAACGATATGAAAGTTGCCTGATAGTTCGAAAGACCTCTAATAAGGTTGATGCTCCCAGGGGACTCAACTGGGGAACTCTCGCTTCTTAAAATGTGTCCCAAAGGCCTTGAAAACGAACTGGGATATTCATCAAGGCTGTTGGGTGCTTTTGCGAGCACTCGCACGAACACTAGTCTCCATCACCCTATGTGGAGAGAGATCAGAGTCACTAACTCATGATGCGGAATACTCTTACATGCATGTGGTTGAGCAATCCATTAAGAACCTTGCCTACTCAACACGGTGAAACAAGGAGCTGCAGAGTGGCCAATTTGAACGGGGCTGCAACGTGCTTTGCGCACGAATAAATTGCTCACGGCACATGTACGCAATACCCAATTTGAGGCGGGTTGGTTGCATTTCAGTATTGCCGCGGAAAAAGATCCTGGTTCACCGTTGGCCGGGAAGAAGATATCCTTGTTCGTGCTTCTGAATGCAGCATCGGACCCGTATTTGCTGCAACATCAAATGCGAGTAGGATCCCGCATACCAGGGATCCAGTCTGGTCCAGTTCAAGCACGGGTTACGGAGTGTAGAGCCCATCGGTTGGTATTCTCCGCTGAGAACACAGTTTCTGGACTGCTTCAAGCTGGTGGTGGTCAAGAAAGCTACTCACCGATACCACTAGCGGGATGCCACTTGCGGGATGCCATCGGTTTATACAATCTAACCGGCGGCACTTCGTTCCCGCTTTTGCAAGCATCTGCATCATTTGTCACTTTTGCCGGGCATGTCAAACATGTGGCGGGAAAGAAAAAGACAAAAAGCCCCCCACCCAATTATGCGGGCATTTGTACGGATTCGGTTCTTGCAGAAATGAAGAGCCGGGGAGGGCTGTCAGATACGGGAACGCAAAAAGTCGCAGCCTAAAGGGCCGCTTACTGTGCGAGTGGTAGCAGTACAGCTTTGAGTACAACTCTGAGTACGGAGTACTGTTACAACTGCTTCTCGTGGTGTAGTAGCATCGAAGCCCTTTTGAGCACCGCAAACTTCGCTTCCCCCACCCGGACCTGGCCCGAGTTGAAAGGGGTTGCAGTGCAGCCAACTGCTTCCGGCTCTCTCATGATCCGTACTCAACTTATAAACACTCCTTCGATCCTTGCAGGGAGGAGATGTAAGCCAAGGCTGACCCTTGGTTGCCGATCCTGCTTATGCCTTCCACAAGGGATGGGCTCTGCTTTAACCGCCTTCCTGTGTCGAGCAACCTCTTGGCCAATGCTTAACTACTATATTACGTCGCTTACTCAATTTTTTGTCGCCGTTGAGATTGAGTAGTGTTTAAATGGATGGTGGTTGAAGAAGAAAAAACGGCAGCAGCAAGTACGGCAGCAGCAATAACAGCAACAGCAACGGCAACATGGCGCTGCAGGCGGTAACGTTTCCGATAATGACGATAGTCAAGAACCACTTGATCGTCAACTGCGTCTTCGTCTTTATAGCCCTCTTCGTAGTTGGCCTTCGACTATTTGCCCGGTTCATGTCTGGCGCAAAGCTTTGGTGGGATGATTATTTGATCCTCTTTTCGGTGCCCCAGGGCATTGGGATGCTCGTTATTCAAGGACTTTGTAGGCTTCTGCTCTGCCGAAACGGCCTCGAATCCCTGATGACACAACTATTGACTGGCATGAACAGATGCGCCTATGGGGGTTGGCCGTCCTATCACCGAGACGTTACCGAATCTTGTCATCATCTTGCAACTGACGCTCTCGTATGCGCTGATATACACATTGTGTATTAGCACCGTGAAACTCAGCGTTCTCTTTTTCTATCTCCGAGTTTTCCCAAACAAGCATATGCGAATTGCAACAAAGACTGTGATTGCATTCATCTCCGTGTGGGCATTGGCCAACATTCTCATGTTTCTCCTGCTCTGTCATCCTTTTGCGGCGAGTTATAATCCTGCCATTCCAGGAGGCAAATGCGGAAATCAAGTCTCGGCATTCATTGCGGTCGGCGTCTACAATATCATTAGCGACTTTGTTGTTCTCACCCTTCCACTGCGCACGATCTGGACGTTGAACACGAAAAAGCAGATGAAGCTGTCGCTATCGGCGATTTTCTTGATTGGCCTATTGTATGTGATCCATTCTTAATCTCTTTCTTTCTTCTCCTTTTGAAGTGGCTGGCATGGAGGGTTAACCGCACATATGACAGGGTGTCCGCCGTCGCCGTCGCCCGAATTATCACATTGACACACCTGGAACTGGCGAATATAACAGGCACCATGGTGTGGGTGGACTTCCTTTCGACGCTCGAAGTCAACCTTGGTATCATCTGCGTGTCATTGCCCATGCTGGGCCCCCTTATTGCGAGATGGAACAAAACGCGAGGCGCAAGCAAGTTAGGCAATTATAACCAGTCTGAGCGATCAGGGCAGTCAGGCTCGAAGCTTTCCAGCCGGAAAAAACAACCAGGTCCCGACACAATCGCCTTGCACTCAATATATGACCATGGCGAAGATACAAACCATGCCGCAACAGTGTTCGCCCCAGAGGAACAAAGTCCAAATGCAAGCGAGACGAACCTAAGTCCTCAAAAAGCGTCTTCCGCCCTGGACCGCCCTGGAGCAAACCGTATTGTCGTCGAAAGCAGGTGGGAGATTAAGCGCTCTTGAGATAGTCTTTTCATCAATTACTTCGTTTATCGGATGCCAATATGCTCCGACGTAGCACGATGGCTGTGACGAAGTTTCGATATTCAACTTGATGACGAACATCCACTGCCTAGCATTTGAAAGCTGCGAGCAACAAGGAATTTCATTTGTCTTTTTCTTCTTCTTTGGATTGGGATATAATAGATGACAGGTGCCTCACAAATATATACCCGGGGCTTGAACTGGTCATATTTGACGATTTTTCTTTTTACGGGTTTTCGGAATCTTCTGGTGTCTGGTGAATAGGCCATCGAAAATCGACCCGCTGTCACCGGCGACTATTCAACCTCCTAAAGGAGGTTTATCATATTTTAATAGGCCATGTGCTGCTTGACATTTTGGTGTGCTTTCTCCTGTCAAAACCTTTTCGACAAGGGGTCCGGCCAAATTTATTGTTCCAATCGTGCCAAGATCAACGTCTCCCTGTGAAAAGGCGTTACCCTCAGACCTCTCAGGATCACGGAATGAACGTGAAAAGTGAAGAACTTGGTCTGAGTAAGTCGGTTATACCAGCAGCTTATCGTTGATACTACGCTTGATACGGCTAGATTCTATTCGTCGCTAGCACTCGGTTTGGTATTGTTTGTTCGTTGCCAGGTCTCAAAACATGATATGAGGATTCTGTTTAGCAGTACTGAGGATCGGACGGGGCTTTCAACATCAAAGTTCTCTCGACTGGCAATCCGGAGCTCGTTTCGCCATGAAACAGATGCCGCCTGGTGCTCTTAGCTGCTTTCAAGCCGGAGACAGCGCGGAAGCACATGGATCATGAGCAGCAAATACGGCTGTCCCCCATAGCTCATGTACCGGGGCCACCTGAGTATGTTATCAATAGAGTATATCCAAGCAATGAATACCGACAAGCCTTTAATGATTGATATCGTCGACCATTCAAAGCTGCGCTGGGGCGCAGTCGTCTCCTATGGTGGAGCCTTGGACGGATATGACTGACTTATGGCCTCCTGCCGATGAGAAATCCCGCCATGCTTGGTCCCGAAAAAGGACAGTCTCTTTCATAGAGGCTACGTCCAGCGAAGAACTTCATGCTGCTCAAACTGTCGCTGCTTATACAAAGCTCATGGTTTTCTGCTACTTGGTTCAGCCAAACCGGCTAATGATGAGCTACAAACTCTTTGTTTGTTTATTGGTGACTTTGAACTAGTACGTGGGTTATACATGCCCAATGCAGAGATGCATTGAGAGCCATATACTAGCATGATGAACTAGTATTCCCAGGAACATATTACACCTATCTTGTTGAGTGGTCGTTAGTGTCAACAAAGGGTTCCTTTTCTTCCCGCCACTTTTATTGCCCCAATTCCAATTCCAATCGAAACCTCTCCTGATACGAGGACCATCTTTGCCGAGCTATTGCCTTTGAGACAACAAGGTTGAATTCCTTCCCAGCGAGAAATGAGAGACGAAAACGCGCTTGCAACAACAAGCCACAGAAGGTGTCAGCCGAATATGGTCTCAGTCCCCCGTGCTCTCAGCCGCATCTTGGCACCTATCATAGAGTTTAATGATAGTTCTTGGCAATAGCTCATCCTTCGACTTCGCGATATTTTGGGATGGCATTGGCCTCTCAGACGGTTCAGAGTGGATAATCGTGGCCGAGCAAGGTGTCTCAATGCAAAGCCGAACTCGTGCGCTAATTTTTTTTTTTTTTTTTTTTTTTTAGCTTGGGATGTGTTTGTATCAATTTTCAGACCGCATGCCGGGGTACAGAATGAAAGCGAGATATCACCCTTGCAGCAGCGCCATGAGTCAGGAAGCTGAGCGTCTATTCGCACCTGTCTGTTGTGGCGGAAGCAACCTCTTTCTGAGTTCTGATCAATCACTACGCATCTCAACGGCTGATTTCCATCACCTAGGTGTCCCGGGATTCGAATGGATTGCCAATACTGCCAATAGTTGGCCACTACCCGCGGGTGAAGCGCACTTGAGATCCCCTCCTTGCATACTTGTACGCTATTGAAAGCGCGGTGTTCTGCTAGTACCGCACTTTTGAGCTGAGCTGTCCCTTGACGGAATGTCTTTCCGCTGCATCAAGTCATTGGCGGCCACGGCGGTAGCGTAGAACGACGCGGCAACTCCATGCATGACACAGCCTGACTTCTGTCGCGGATCAATTTTCAGTCCATAACGCAGGAGTCAATCGGGCTTTCGATCGTGCCCCCAGTAAGCAGCCACATCTCGGAGCCCTCTGCGGGGAGGATCATCCGGCATAAGCTAAAAGTGACTATTTCAGCCGAGTCGAACTTTGATGAGTTTTAGGGCATTGCAAGTGGAGCCACTCCGTTGAAGGCTGCTGTTGGCCCTGTTGGTTGCGAAAAGCGCAATGAACAAGCTTGAACAAGCTGAGGTTGTGAAAGGACAAAGAAGTTGGGCAGTAACTTCTTCCAGGGGAAGCGGTAATCGCTCCACTCAGCCATTCTAGAAGGATGTGGTTCTTTCAGTCGCACAAATTTATCTCTTGCGTACTCTGGATCCAGTGCAGATTGCCCTGCGCAATGTATTGCATGAGATGCAAAGAACATGTGATATCCGCAGCATGAAACACAATATGAACTGGATTCTGGCAAGCCAATCAACCAGAGATCAAGGGTCATGCATGGCTGCTTTGCTCAATTGAGCTGGGTAAGTTGTCTCGATTAGGCTCAAGCCAGCTCGACCGGGGTGTCCAGGCACAGCCGATCTCCCGTTCATACACGAGTAATGTATCCGTACTCACGTGGGAGAATATTGCTTCGTCCATCGTGTCAACTCACCGCGTCAACTCGCAACAACTGCCACTGATCCCCCCTCTTGGTTCATCTTTTTTTTTTTTTTTTTTTTTTTTTTTTTTTACTTTTCAGGAGCTGAATTCGAGACATGCATGCGGCCATTTCGACTATAACAGCAGGTGCTTTTTTGGCGGGATCCTAGTTGATGGAGGCATGACTTGTTGCTTTTTGTTCCTTTCTTTTCTTTTGCTGTTAGCGCCTCTGATTCGTGGGGCGTGGTGGATGCAAGGGAGATGTACTTTGGAAGATGCTTACCCACACTGCCATACCACAACGTACTCGTATGGTAGCAGTGGGTTTCACAGCTTTTCTCCTAGGCCACGACAAGCCAGGTTTAACCGGCTCTTGCTAGAGCCAGCACTAGTAAATCCGTCGGTAGCGGCTGAACGAGCACCAGCAGCTCTAGTGACCTCGACGCAACAATCATGAGTGGTTCCATCGCTCATGGTAGGGCGGCCATCTGCCTTTGATTGGTAGGCATGGTGCCCTGGTGTTGCACACAGCGGCTGAGATGGCGTTCCAGAAAGAGACGAAGCGTTTTGATGGGCTTTGTATCCGATTCGCCCAGCCTGCAGCTGCTGGATCCTCGGCAATTTGGAGAGAATGGCTGTGCCATCACTTCGACCACGCTGATCGCCCATGCTTAAGCCGAAGCCAGGGGCTGTGGCGAGGACGTAATAGAAGAAAAATATGCATATACAAAGTCTAGAGGTGCGATTAAGCTTCCCTTGCGTTGTGAGGCTGAAACACCTGGTTCTTTTGCTTGGGTCTGCTGTTGGCGCTAGAACTCGTCGATGCTACCGACGGAGAGAGACATATTGGAATCGGCGACCTGCAGAGGTGGTTGGTAATGAGCGGCAGGAAGCGAGATCCTGTTGGTGGTGAGTTCCCAGCTTTCCGTTACGATATCCCGAGGTCCCTGTTCTTGGTATCTCTGTGGGTGCCACGTTCATGGCGAGCAGGATAGCACCTTCGTGCGCGCGTCTAGATCCGTATACATGAAAGCGTATAGATTTCTTGCCCTTCATCATCTTCCTTCTTCTTTTCTAGGATTTTCTCTATTCTATAGGGAAAGAAGAAGATATAACTAGGCGCCTAGTAACAGCAGTACCGTGAACAATCTCACTACAGCACAGCTGAGATTGTCCTTCTTCGTCGGTGTTACGGTAATACGGACCACTGCCTCGCCGTCATGGAGTTGGTCCCAGTTAAACGACGAGACTATTAGTGCGGTGGCGCACTGATGCTTGCGGCGACCAACAGAGTCTCGGCCCTAAAAGGACGGGAAAGATGGAGGTTTGATGCATCACACGTGCGGTGGCCCGCTCAGAGAGATTCAATCACGTAGGCTAAAAGACAAGGTATCAAGGTCCGAACCTCACTGATCGAAGCGCGGCGCCAGCGTTCGTTCTAGCCGGGGCTGGGTGGGTACATTGATCTCTCGATTTGCCGGCGATCAAGACTCTGGCCCAGCTAGCCGTGCCCTCGGGTGGCCTACGGCCCAGTCTTTTTTCTTCCACCAATTGACCGAAGCAGCGCGCTATCGTCGGAAGTCCTGTGCCTGGCGAGCTAGTCGAGCTCGGGCTTCGTCCCAAAGACGCTTCCATGGATCTATGGGTGCAGGTGGCGGCGCCGGCTCCATTACGCCCAAGCCTGCGGGCACGCCTTACTGGCTTTCCCCTCTCTTGAATGAGATTGATGATGCAGGTCTTATTTGTCAATTTCGCTAGGTGGAGAGGCAGCCGCTTCTTCTCGTTGTTCACTGTCCGGGCGTGGTGTACTATACTGTAGGTATGGAACAGGGATTTGTTTCCTTGCATCAAGTCTCCCATGGGCTGCGAAATGCATGCAGCCGCGAAGGAATATTAACGGCATGCTTCTGGTTGCAGCTCGTTTCTTTTTATATTCTCCTGGGAACACTAAAGCGGCGGCTATATGCATGCTCGTGCATCTCGAAATCATTGAAGGAGACCGTATAAAGACTGAACGGCCTCTCTTCCAACATCGTTGGGTCGGAGCTCAGATTCTTCTTAGTTTCTCTTTTCATTTGAAAGCTAGAAAGACCATTACCTGATCATCATGGCGCTCTTCTCTTTCCTTCGCTATAGGCGACCGAAGAAGGTTGACCCCGAGACATATCGTCAGGCTCGGAAATCTTTGGAAGAGAGTGAAGGATCTGTCAGGTCTGGCCTCTCCGGCGCTTCATCCGGTATTCCAGATGCCTTGAGCTTTGATAGAATCATTAATGGCGGAACCTGCCCGGTAAGAGCATAAAATCCCCTCTTTTCCGAATGACAATCTCTCCTAATGCTTGTTAAAGCCCATGGCTCTCCGCGATTTCATGAACTACCTCATATATGTCGAGCACGCTGCCGAGAACCTGCAGTTTTATCTCTGGTATAAGGATTACGAAAAACGCTTCGGCGAGGCAAACGTTAGCGACATCAGCCTGTCTCCCGAGTGGACTCAGGTTATGGAAGACGAAGCCATGGCCAAGGTTCGCAGAGAGCAAGCCGAAAAAATGAAGAAGGAGCCTGCAGCCGCCGTTGCAATCTTCAAGGGAACCGATTTTGAAAAGAACGCCGAAAGCAAGAGGTGCAACCCCTTCAATACGCCACCTCGTTCTGCAAATGGCATCTCGGACAACGATTCGGCTTGGGATGGCGCGACAATTAATGCCCCCAACAACATGCTCTCCGTATCCCACGGCACTTCACGCACACAAGTTGCGGAGGCGTTCCAGGCAGCCGGTGCTATGGCTCCTTGTAAGTTTCAGATGATCCAATCGCCCATGCCCGAGATGTAGGGCGTCTGCTGATGACTCCTGTGTTCCCATATAGTCACTATTCAGCCCTTCCACGAGGAAGTCACTCGAATAATCACCAGCTACATCATGGATGGCGGCTCACGGCAGCTTAACCTGTCCGACTGGGAGCAGAAGGTGGCCGTTCAAGCGTTGACATATACCACTCACCCCTCTGCTTTCCGGCTTCTGTTCAAGATTGTTGACTCGGCACTTCGAATGCAGTCACATCCCAACTTCATTCGCTGGTCGATCTGCAATGGCAATCTCCCTCGTGTTTGGTTTGCCCGCTCTCTTGGCGTTGCTCTCATACTGGCGGGCTTCGTCGCCGCCATACTCGTAACGCTCAGCGATGCTGGCCGAGGATACCGAGTTCTCCCGCTCATTGCCTGGGTCTTGGGAATAAGCACATTAGTTGCCGCGTGGAAGGGCATGTGCGTTGTCTTGCACGGCCTGCATCACCGCCATATTCGTCCCTGGGAGCTATTTGTACAAGAGAATACCGAGGAAATGAAGACGCGCAGCATGGAATCTTTTGGCTCTGACAACAGCTACGAAGACGAGCCATGGGTGGTCAAGTATCAGCAGAGAAACGTCCTTCGTAAAATCTTTGATCGCGAGATATGGATTCAAGAGCCTGCTTTGAGGCAAATCCAGGATACAATATTCTATCAGGCCCTGTGTGCAGGCTTTGTGTTTGGTCTTGTTTTTATGGCGATATTTCTCGCCGTTCCTGGTGGACATTTGTTTTAGAGAATTTGTTTAATATTTGTTTAATATGTTATTAAAACACAAACAAAAGACAGACTGGTTTGGGGTTGTGATTGTCTCGTTTTGTCACACGAGCTTAGACCTCGTAATCATTATCGCTCTAGTACCATGGTACCATTTCTCATTTTCAAAATTTTTATAATTGCGCTCATTTGAAACGCCGCACCTGTTGCCCCTTGTTGTCCTTTTGTTATCCCTTGCTGTTCCATGCTGATGCTATGAAATCGTAAATGCTGTACTCCGTAAATGTTGCTTCATAAACGTGATGCTCGACTGGCTTTTGCTATTAATAAATTCACTTTGCTGTTGTGCTGTAAGTTTTCAAGCATTGTGCAATGCTGCGTGCCCGACGTTAATTATGCCAAGAGCTGGCCAGAACCTCTTATTTTTTCCAACTGCATCATAAATAAGCATGGAAGTGCTCGTACAGCATCATTATCATGAGCAATCATTGCATCAGTCATGATAAAATCGCTAATTGCAAGATAGGCGTCTCTGAAATGCGCCCACAGTTCTCTCAAGGCTTGGATGTTTATAAACCGAGGCCAGAATGGCTCGTTATCCATCACCGCATTTACAAGCTGTGTGGTGACAGCTTCAGGGGTTTTTGGAAACGATGCGCAGTCAGCAAAATCAATCAGCCAGAACTGCACATGGCCCCGGGCATCTCTCCCAAGGACAAATTCCACGCCTCGAGCATCAACACCGCAGCTCCAATGAAGTATTGCGAGAGTTGCACCCATGGAAGCGGCGAGATAAGAAACTTCGACGCGCTCTGCGAGCAAGTGATCCAGATATGCTGGGCGATCGTGCATATTAGTATTCCATGGATCAGACAGCGGCTTAGTGTCTCCGAGGTAGACCTTTGCGAGAAAGTGTTTGGATTGGCCGGTGCTGAGAGCCTGGCACTGCGCGCTACGGGTCAAATAACGCTTGATGAGATATTTGGTATGATGCTCATTCAGGGGACGGATATACTCCATGAAATACCCGCTTGCGTCGGCTGGAAAACCTTTGAGGTGCTTGAGGGTTTCAGAGCACGGCGAGGACGAGATGTTGGGATAGAAACCTGAGACTTCAGGGACAAAGGGAAGATCAATGTCGAGGCCGCATATGGCCAACTCCTTGGACATTGCTTTGAATATCGAATCAACTTTCTTGTGTATTTTGTATTCTCTAAACAGCCTCTTGGTGTCTCGTGATAGCTTTGTAACGCGAAACGGTGGCATGTTGGCTACATAGATCCACGACTTGTCTGTCTGGGCGAGCATTTGAGCCTGTGGCGGATGTTGGAATTAGCAAGTAGGAATAAATAGACAACGAAAGAAGAGGTGGAATACAGGTGTCAAAGAAAAGACTGACATGTGCCCAAAAAGCAGCAATACTTGAACAGAGACACCTTGACACGAGCGTCGTTTTCTTGACCTTGGGCTTTTTATCCACCTGAGTGAAGACGATCTCTCGTATGCGATCCATGGCAATAGACATAAGTGCAAATGAATGAAGATGTTTGAATGGAGAGGAAAATTGACGGTGGATTAAGCTGGGATCATACGAGAGGTGTGCCACATGGAGAGGCATCAGAGACGGCATATATAAGAGGCTCCTCCTGGCAACGGCAACGGCCGATACTGGAGATGATGGACATGGTTAATATACCGACACTGCCGTGTGGGCAACGCCATTTTTGCATCATCACTCTCACAGCCCTACACACTCTTTGACAATACGTTAGTCTGTGCTAGCTCGGTATGCAAGGCGCATCTCTTACCTGAATCTTCACGTAAAGAGGGGACGAAACTCGGTGCCATCCCAGCACTTGTTGCTGGAGAGGGGCAGCGGCTCGCCCGGCGGGTTGCCCTGGTCAATAGGCTTGCGAGGTGGATCACGGGAAGGAAAAGGCAGATATATGAAGCAGCCTTCCCACAGTCGATTGGCTTTTAGTCTGCCTGCCGTTGGATGGCTGGGCTGGGCTGGGCTGGAGGAACGATTGTTCGTAGCGTGTTGCTGTGTGACGCTGCTCTCCCTGAAGCCAAGCCATTTGAGGGGCGATATGATCCCTCATTGGAGCATTGAGAGGTGTCTCTTGTCGAGACCAGCAGTTTCTTAGCTGCAAGACAGCCATGCTCCATGGGAGGACCTGGAAGACGAAGCAGTATGTGTGTAATGGACAGGGGACGGCAGTTGTGCAAGAGAGCTATTGGCGGGGTTGGCGGTTTAGCTTGCAGTGGAGTGAGGTGAGGGGCTGCATTCTTTAGTGCCGAGCTCGCAGAGCGATAGCAATCAGTAACGGCGTGTTGTGAGTAGCACTGAAAAGGCAAACAGGGCCCGTGATTGGATTGAAGGCAGCGAAGAGAAGAACGGAGAAGAAATCGACATTTGGCGATGTGGAGCTTTGGAAAATTGGATGAAGCTTGTGTCTGCACCTTGTGGTAAGCGAAGGAAGGAGACAAGAGGAGACAAGAGAGAAGAGAGCAAGAGACATCGGCGCGAAGAAGGAGCTCGCCACCGGTGAGAGATACTTGGGTACTTGGTGCACACCACCGTCGGAAGTCTGCATCTTGCATGCGAGCGTGAGGTAATGCTGCTCCGTATACAGCAGGGAGCTCCAATGTATGATGGAGTATTGATGGCTCAATCTGAAGAGAGGCAAAAGGAATATGTTTGAGTTGGCCTAGCCCGCCAGCATAATCTCGCCAAAAGCATCCTGTTTAAGATTTTGTTGCTTCTTGAACCGATCATAGCCATGACATGACAAAGCTTGCGTCAAGCTAAGGTTTGGCGAGATGGACCAGGAACCAGAAGCGATAGAGTTTGTTTTGGACGCCATCATGTTGACTTTTGACTTTTGATTCGATGTACTCGCTCAGCCTCATTTCTCTCTCTCTCTCTCTCCCTCTCTCTCTCTCCCTCTCTCTCTCTTCCTATGTATTCTCTCTGGATACTTGGAAAGAGTCAAAGAGGGCGCAATCGACAGAGACGCCAGGCATCATCTCTCTTGCGTTGTGACGGTTTCAATGACAATAACAATGCTCACCCAATTCGCGTCACGAGCCCTCTTCGCTTCCCGATTGCGTGGTCTAGAAGCCGGTCTCCATCAGCTTGGTACTAACAGCTCACAACACCAGAGATGAAGCAGTAGCTCTGTTGTTGTGTGCCGCGCCACCAAGATGCTAAAACTTGGACGGCCAGTGTTTCGCTCGCCCGCTATCTCACACGCTTGATGAGCCGGCGCTGTTAAGCGGACGAAGCCGATTGGGTAACACAGAACGTTGCAACTAGTGGGCTTGCAGGAGGCTTGCAGGAGGCTTGCAGGGTAGTGGGCTTGATAAAGTCGGTTTGAGTCCACCAAGCACAGGATTGCGGCACAACAGCACCTGCATGCATGTGGCTGCAGATTGGAACACACATGTCGACTGGGAAGATACCCTGGGGAGCTCGTCATTGCCTGCGGAGTTGCATATTCTTGTCTTTATGCCATCTCGTATCATTTAGCGGCTCTAACAGTGAACGAGAATGTCGAAAAGACGACGGAGTTGTATAAGTCGTCTGGACCGTCCGAAGCCCTCGATCCGAGTCAAAGTACCCACAGAGCTCCGTCGGCCGCCGGCATATCCACCCAAAAGTCCGGAACGAAGCGCCGGCATACACTCATGTTGATTAGGAAGCCCAGACTTCATTGCTCGGGCACTGCCTGGACGCCCGGCTGCCGGACACGATGGATGTGAGGCAGCAAAGATGTGTGGGTTGGCCTCTCGCTACCGCTGTTAGGAGCTCACCTCTCATCACCAATCTGGCAGGCAGCCTATCAGCTGCGATGGATTTGGAATAATATCCAGCCAGTCCAATCGTATCATGGTCAGCTGAGCAGCCGCATCTTCCATCCTAACCGTGGGCGAATAAGAGACTCGACAAACCCCTTAGGCTCAGCCACCCAGTGGTGTTGGATTATGGACGATAGCCGACAAAGCAATCCGGCGCCGGAAACCCCAAGCAGCTATCAGGCATTTCCATGCCTGAGGTACAATTTTGGTCCATTGATGTGGCCAAGCTTATCGGTGATTTTAGTATTAGGACATGATGGCACAACTACCGGCGGTATGGCATGACTGCCGCGTCGGCCAATGCACAGCAAACTACTTGGGGAATATTCCAGAGGACGGTTGAGATAGCCAGCTGTTTGAAATCAAATTCGAACATTCTTGGTAGATGAGTAGTTTCATGATGCTGATAAAATCTTAGTGGTAAGGCCCAAAACGTGGTGCTAGAGCACACCAACTGACAATGTTCGTCTATGCAGCCAGCCTGCAGCGTGGAAGCCACTTACAGCGATGGATGGATATAAGACCAATCAAGATGGCTTATGCAAGTACCTATAGCCAACGGCCCTCTGGCAAAAAGCGCGGGGTTCAGCGCCATAGTCCCGGCTACCACAAACAGAGAGCAGAGCCCCTCAGCGCTCCGAATCTAGGACTCCGTGAGGGGAAGCGTGGGTGACAAGGGAGGCATCAGACACATGCGGAAGGGTCCCATATCGGGGCTCCGCTTTGCCGGTTTCAGTCGGCGATTCTGGCCAAATTCGGGGGAAGCGCGCCGTTCGCCCGGAAGCCGATGCGATAGAGCTGCAGACAATAGAGCTGTTAATTTTTTTTTTGTTTCCAAGCCTTATATCTCTCCGTCTCCTTTTTCTCTCGCACTTTGGTGTCCCGTAAAGGTAGACGTGAAAGACGTGCGATGAGACAGGATGATGCTTATGCACGTAATATCATCCGTGTCTCATTTCTATTCTCTCTCACAACCTTTCTCTGTATCTCTTCTTGTGCGTCAAGTGCTCCGTATTACCAAAGTATTACTGCTCTGTTCAGTCTTCTGTAAGTAAATTGCGTGCATGACCCCGGCGTGCGGCAGCCCAATCGCGTGCATGGGGTAAGGGAGATGCAACGGCACGACGTCATCTGCGTCAAGCATCGTAAGAGTGGTAACTGACTCAGCAATTTCGCCTTTCGTAACTCCCTTTTGCCAAACATTGACAAGCAGAAAACCACGAAACAAACAAACAAAAAAACAAAAAAAGAATTAGCCGGGGCAAAGGAGAGCAACAAGGGCAAAATGCGGACAACCCGGCCCGAGGGCTGCCTCGGTCAGCAGTGGAGTCGACGGCTCGTTATTAGAAATCGGAAATCTGCAGCCACTTGCTTCCCAGACCGGTAATATCGATAAGCTACGGGCCCTTTGGGGCCCTTGGGGCCATTACCCCAGGTAATCGACAGCGCTTTCAATTAGCGAGAGCGAGAACCTAGCGCTGAGAAAGTGCTCCAACTCCAGCGCAAAAAAACAGGGGCCTCTCCGCGCTTTTTGGCAATCTGCATCGAATCAATGCGACAGGCCGAGTACGAATACTTGCTCGGTGCGACCCCCCGTAGTGATTATCGTAGCGGTACCTGCCTGTAAGCAGCGACAGCAGTGCGCCCCCAGGTAGGCGGTACAAGGACCGGACAGTTCTGTTGAGGGACCACAGGTAACGTTGGAACCACTAAGCCGGCGCGACCTCAACTGGTTGCGGCGTACCAGTTTGTGCGGCGTAGATTCAGTACTTTGAGTTTGCGGGATTCCCCTAAATGAACGAGGCCGTCGCCTGTGCGGTCATCTTTTCGATTTGATTTGCATCTTCAACTTCTTTGTCTGAGCGCACCTCAAAGACGCCCGGCGGAGGAGCTGAAAGGAAAAAAAGGACCAGACAAAAGGCGACAATGACGCCCTTTGTAGCAACCGACGAGCCTGTCGCGGCAGCCCCGCCAAACCACCATCACCAATTGCAGCGGCAGCGCAATCAAGAGCACCGAGACGATGTCGACGAGGAGCCGCCCAGGCGCGCAGCAAAGCGGTCGCGCACCATGACCTCGACGGAGGAGATTGACAGCACCATCACGCGGCCCGGAAGCGTCAAGATCAATGTCCAGGGCGCCTTTATCGTCGATCCGGATGCCGCAACGCCGGCGCAGAATGGCAGCGACAACGGCAGAGTCAGTCCATCGCATCACGAGACGAGTGATATCCGCCTGCCAAACCACACAGGCATCGTCAGCCACATCGCAGTAGATGTAAGTCGCAGTTTTTGCTTCATTCAATGGCGGTCCTTGTCTTTTTGAATCAATTCATGGTGTCTTTCTGCCTGTTGCTTGCTCTCAATGCCTGTCTTTGCGGCCGCCGTCTGACTTTTTTTCTTTCTTCTTCTCTGGGTAGATTGGCGGCTCTCTTGTCAAACTCGTCTATTTTTCGCGCGAAGTCGACTCGACAGATCCCGGTGGCCGCCTCAACTTCCAATACTTCGAGACCGATCGAATTGACGACTGCATTGAGTTTATGAAGCTACTGCGGGACAAGCACAAGGCGCTGAACGGGTCGCGGTCGCAACAGCTATGCGTCATGGCTACTGGCGGCGGCGCCTACAAATTCTATGACACAATCCGAGACGCATTGGAGGTTGAGGTATTGCGAGAAGACGAGATGGAATGCTTAATAGCTGGTAAGAGAGAGAAAGATCCAAGAGGAAAAGGAAAAGGGCAATTGGAAGCTAACCTTCTTTTTTTTGTGTCATGAACCAGGTCTCGACTTCTTCATCACCGAAATCCCCCGCGAAGTCTTCACCTACTCCGAAACAGACCCCATGCATTTCGTCAGCCCCCGCGAGATCATCTACCCGTATCTGCTCGTCAACATTGGCTCCGGAGTTTCAATGCTCAAGGTCACTGGCCCTCGATCGTTCCAGCGTGTCGGCGGCACGTCTCTCGGTGGTGGTACCCTCTGGGGCCTCCTCTCCCTCTTGACGGGGGCTCGGTCGTTTGACGATATGTTGGCCGAGGCTGAATATGGCGACAACACCAAAGTTGACATGATGGTTGGCGACATCTATGGCGCCGATTATGGCAAAATCGGCCTCAAGAGCACAGCCATTGCGTCTTCCTTTGGAAAGGTATTCCGCATGAAGCTGCAAGCCGAGGCCGCGGAAGCAAAAGTGGCCGACGGCCCAGTGCACGATGGAGAGAGCCACAATGGGCAAGAGGAAAGCAGCTCTCCCTTTTCCTCGGCCGACATATCAAGGTCGCTGCTGTACGCCGTGTCCAACAACATTGGCCAAATCGCCTATCTGCAGTCCCAGATCCACAACCTCTCTGACATTTACTTTGGCGGCTCCTTTATCAGGGGACATCGCCAGACCATGAACACGCTCAGCTACGCCATCAAATTCTGGAGCAAAGGCGAGAAGCAGGCATATTTCCTGCGCCATGAGGGATACCTAGGCGCCGTGGGGGCTTTCCTTAAGAGACAACCCGCCAACTGGGGCCGCAGGGGAAGCCTCGAAGGCCTCGACGACGTCCAAGAATGGCGAAAGGGTATGAAGACAGAATCAGAAGTGAAAACAAACTGAAAAAAGAAAAAGTTTAAAAAAAAAGAAAAAAAAAGACAAGAAAAGAGAAACACACGCAGGGTAAACGTTTCTTGGCCGTGAACGGCAGAAACAAAACGTGGAGGGACGAGAAAGAAGGCATTCAGTTTTGAAGAGTTTTAGCCTGTCACACATTTTCAGGAGCTCGAATTTTCGCCGCAGGCGTGCATGATATAGACTTTGGGGCATTGCATTCTCCAGCAGGATTTGTTATAATTTTCTTCCTTTTTCTTCCTTTGCTGTTCTTTTCGCCTTTTATTTGTTCACTTCTTCCTTCAAGCTGCTGCGGCCGAGTGCCGCCAAGAATATGCGTTTTGCTGAGACACTTAGATAAGCTCACAGCCTGTATAATATGGAGTTTCAAAGGGTACATTTGATAGAAATACGCCATAGTCGCAACTGGTAATCCGAATTGAAGAAACAATAATTCACACTTCAGTCTCAGTATCTGTGCCGTGCTATAAATGGAAAGAAAAGCCGCGCGTATTCGTTTCGTATTCGCATTTAAGAGAAGAGAGAGGGCTGCTGTTTCGTGCTCCTCCATCGCACCCACTCGGGTTCAAGAAGAGCCGCAGTAGATGGTTTCTGTGCATAACCAGTTTCCTGTGATTGTCCCAATATTGTACAAATAACGCCCAAGCACTCATCAATTAGTGCAAATCATCATCAAAACCATGTAATGCAGTAGTAGTTGTACATAATCGGCAATATTGAACGTCGCAGCGTCGATATATATCAAAGTGTCGCCGTCTTGATAATGCCTTTTTGCTATAGAATAGCAACATCTTGGCATCAAATTTGCGTGATAAAACGTCCGAAATCAAGTCGTCACTTCTCTCCCGAGTCTTTCTGATTTCCATCATCTCCGTCCTTGTTTGAGACTTTATCCATCCCCAACTTCGCCATCAGATTGTCAATCATCTGTTCAAATTCTTTCTCGTCTTCCGGACTGACTTCACCCCCTGGTCTCTGCAGGGCAGCCTTCGTCCTCGTCCTCAGCTCATCAACAGAGCTTAAATCAAACGCCCACGATAGCCCTCCCGTTAGGAGCACCGCAAAGCTTGAAACGTTGAGCGTTGCCAGTCCAAGAGCGTGAAGTCCCAGTAAAGCGCCTTCGGAACTGTTGCCATCCTCGGGCCCAGGGCGGTTGGATGTGTAAAACCTTGGGAAAGAATCGCGCTGGCGACGCACCACAGACCGGCGAGATACCCCAACAGATGCCGCGGTAAAGGCAGCACCTAGGAAAAAGAGGCTAAATTGCTTCAGAGGGCGTGACCAGGAGGCGGAGTATGCATTGATGTCTGGTTGACGGCGAATTGACTGAGGTGGTGACGATGCTGAACCTTCTTGAGACATGGCTTGTGGTTGTGCTCGAAACATGGTGGTTATTCAGGCTTAAAAAGGCATATCAGAGTTTTTAGCTTGCCTTATCAGTTCCTGTGATTATTGCGAGTGTGCTCAGTTTGTTTTCATTTTCAAGAGACTGGTCATTGCCGACGACTGTAGTTTTGCTAGCATGAGGATGAAAAATAGCGGGTGTTCGAGGTTAATTTTGATAAAAGCAATGGCCGCATTTTAGTGCATTTTTACCACTTTTTTCGGTATGCATCAATCGAATCCCCGCCCGCAGACAGTGCGACAAGCCGAACTGGATGCTCTACTCTCGAAACGACTGCACAAGTTCAAAACAGAACAAGCATATTTGCGGTGTGCCTGCGATCCGCTTCGGTGGTCCCCAGATATTGGTCCAAAGTCATCCACTGTTTCGAAGAAGCGGTTGCTCCGTCTCATATTCCATGTTGATTGACTGGCCCATCCATTCACAGGATCAACAGGCGCTGCCCGCTTACCCATCTCACGTCCCGCATGCCCTCAGTATAGCTTCACCGGTAACGCTGAACTGAAAGCCACCTGTCCAAATGCCAAAGGCTAAATCCTCAAAGCCATCGGCCTCGGCTCCTCAAGCTGCGCCTCAAGTGGCACCGTCATGGCCCATGTTCAAGCCCCCTCTGCCAGTTGTTCAGCTATATCCAGAGCTGCATCCCGCAACGTCAAATATTGTTCTAGTCTCATCTTTTTTCCCTCGTTCTCTCTGTCGCGATTATGTGGCATATCTCAAGACGTTGCCACTGCAGACAACCCCTTCAAAGCCGAAGAAAGGGGAAGCAGTCCGTGTAAATGATAGATTCCAGATCAACGATCCAGGCTTCGCCCGCAGGTTGTGGGACACTACCGGGCTAAAGGAGCTGATTCTGGAAGATGAATCGATCAATAGCCTTTGGTGAGTCTATGTATGTCTTCAAGATGAGGCAGCACACAGATGAACTAATTCATCTCAACATTCGTATAGGGGCGGCGAGCCCATCGGTCTCAATCCCAATATCCGCATATACCGCTACTCCAAAGGTCAATATTTTGACTGTCACTGTACGAAGTTACTTCACCTCCAACGATATTCTAATGGGACAGACACTTACTAGTAGGCTAACGATGACCATTGCCTTGATTCCCAGATGACGACTCGAATTATCTGATGCTTGACTCTGTATCTGTCAAAACGACCTGGACGCTCCTCTTGTATCTAACTTCTGCCGCAGAGGGATGCATTGGTGGAGAGACAGTATTCTATCCTCATGATCGCAAATCAGCGGCTGAAGAAATCGCGGTGTCGCTCGAAACCGGAATGTTGCTTTTGCATAAGCATGGCGACGATTGTCTACTGGTAAGTCAGCTTGCTTGCCTATCAATTGCAATCATACTAAACTCAAGTCAAAACTGTTATAGCACGAAGGAAGAGAAGTCCAAGAAGGAGAAAAGTGGGTGCTCAGAACCGATCTATGTGTCAGGCGATGAAGGATGGAGGAACACTGCCTTGATCCACGCACATAAAGCTTGTAGGAACGTCTCCCTTGGAGCGAGGGAGTGGGATGATCATGCACACAATGGCAGGATAACGATATCACTGGATATCAATGAAAGCGACATTGCCGGGATTGCTATGAGTTATGAAATGCAAACTCAAGTTCAAACTATGCCATTGCTAAAGTAAGAAATGAGGACAACATGCTAGATGAAATGAGGAAATAGCAGAGAGGAGTCTGTCAGGATCAATTAACGAACTAAAAATTGGTAAAATAAATCGAGGCCGCCATAGCAAGCCTGAATCAACACACTAAACAAATTAAAAAGGAAACCTTGAGCCAGAAATTAGTTGTCAAAGTCTTCAAATAGAAACATCGCCTCCATGCCCTGTGGCAGTTCTCCTTCCTCTCTCTCTTCTTCCGAAGTAACGACAACCTTCTCGTCAGCTCCATCATTCAATGCGCTCTTTGGGAGTGTAGCTTGGGAATCGATGAGTCCGAATGCATCTACTGAGGCGTCATGGACAATGGGAAGCGTAGGAACAGGCATAAAGCGATGAGCCGCAGCGAGTATCGAGCGTTTTGGATCGCACTTCCCGTCTGATGCGACTTGAATCATGACCCAAGGGAAGATCCAAGGGAAACTAATCAGAGGCATTGACTTTGTTTCGAGCTTCCGGGCTGGAATGATACTGCTAGCCTCATTCGTTGCTCCACGGCGATGCTCAAACAGTGCAATGGCGATCTCTTGTTCCGTGATTTTGTACATGGCTGCCACGAATCTGTCAATTTTGTCCTCGTCGCGACCACCAGCGGCCTCAAAGCACAAGGCACGGAATCTGTCTTTGATGGCGTCGAATTCTCTACCCAGTTCTTCCTGTCGCTTGTAGTCACTTCCGACCGCTGGTTTCGACATAGCCCATGATGTGTACAACTCAAACTCGTTGTCGAGATTGTGGTGCGACAATACACGGCGTACCGCAGCGTCATACTGGCCTTTGATCTGCCTGGCGCTCTTGAGCATTGCCGTATCAAGCTGGAATCGGTTGAGAATACGCTTATCGAAAGCATTTTCCCAGTCAGGTCGGAACTCGATGGACTGCTTGATCACCCTATCATATATCAACCCCAGGGCATGTTGCGATGTATATCTTTGCCTCTTCTCCATGAAATGCGGCCAATCCTGAGGGTTATGCATGGCGTGATTGCATTCCGCGGGCTCACCAGTCTTTGGATAGTCGACAGCTTTGGAGTGAAGCTCAGCCAGTCTTCGACCTACGAATCATTGGATCCATTAGTATGCACAGAAATAGGGGGAGCAGAAGTCTCAATAGACGTTTCCTCCACTTACAAACAGGTGATCCAGGTCCAAAACGGTCGGCCAACGCCAAGTGAGACGTTGCGATTAGCGGAAGCACGTCATTCTTCATGTAATTTACGAAAAAGTCTCGCAAATCGTCAACATTGACATCTCGATCAAGTTGCTGCGGCGGTGGGCTAGTATAATTCATGGCCGGGTGATTCCACTTCTCGGGGATCAGGGTGGGTTCCCAAATGACGAAGAAATCATCTCCATCGAGGTCTCCGCCAGACAGCATGTTGGGTACCGGACGATCTCCAGTCGAAGGAAAGACGACGACGTCTTTAAGGTGGCGCAGCTCAGGAATATCAACCGCTTCAACTACCCGAATATCGCCTGGGTGCAATGACGGATTTCGCCCAACAACACAGATGCCCTCAATCACTTTGGTTGTATTGTATACTTTTGAGTCAGACACCTGTAAAAATATTTGGGGAAGTTTGTTGATATCTTTATCAGAGGTGCCTTCGGTCGCATTTGAGTGGCCTCTCAAAGTACCCGTCTCGTCTACACAGCCCAGTACAAATGCACTCTGCTCGATGGCGATTCTAGCCTTTTCTTTGAGTAGCTTCAGAGACCAAGACCGCCAAAGATTCAGTAAGTTAACCACAAACGGCTCTTGACAATCATTAGTCTTGAAGCCGGCCTGCAAAAATTCGGCCAAGACCAGCGTAGACTGGTTCTCGTCCACGCACTTTTTCAGCATGCCAATCGCCACTCTGTTATCCTTGGCGGCTTCTTCGTAGAGAGAAATCTGTTTCTCCAAAATATCCATGAAAGCCTTCTTCGGCACACCAAGAGACTCTAGAATAGTGATTGTTTGCCGGTTCAGTGTAGCAGAGGTGTATTTAGCGCACTTGATAATCTCCAAGTTTTTGGCGTCGGCTTTGAACTTCTCTTGGGACTGTCGGATGTAAACCTCGCTTCTTTTGGCCTGGGGCCAGACTACTAGTACACCTTTGCACCCACCCATGCGAAATTGAAATGCAGATGGATCGTTGTATACTTCCAAGGTGAGCTCTTCAACAATCATCCGAGCCATGAATCCAGATATCATGCCGACTCCATCGGTAAAGCAGTAGCCATTCCGCTCGATATCTGGAATGGGTCGCACATCTGGGATGGGGACACCCTTCATCTCTCGTGTTGTAGAGAAACATTGACCCAGCCGAGCTGCGTACTTGGCCACGATTCTGATATGACTAACTTGGCCCATCCACTGACGGATATCTTCACATGAAACATGATCAGTTGGGCAGAAGAAATATGCGCCAGACTGTCTGAGCTGTGAGCTGCCGAAAGCCAAGAATTCGTATCGCCGATCGCCAATCTGGATGCCTTCGTACAGGGTCCTGAGCAACTTCTTCCATATCTCTTCTTTGTTGTGGGAGTTCATGGTCATACGGCCGCTCTCCGCCTCATCCACAAACTGCACTCTTAAAAAGCGGTCTTGAGATTGGTTAAAATATCGGAGTACCCTATTCGAGGTCTCAACAGCGGGCGAGCTCAGTAGAAGAGAAGTAGGGGTAACAGTGGCCTTTCGCGCCAACACGCAGTAGTGTGGGATTCTTGTCGCTGGTCTATAGGATGCCACGGTCCGCTTTGCAAATATATCCATAGGATTATGCACAACCTCCTCTTGATCCACAAGGAATTCCAGCCGGTGCTTCGCATCCAGTGGATGCAGTGCAGCTAGCTTTTCCAAGAACTCCAAGGACACCGTATGCTCGTTGAGTACGCGGCGGGTAATGCATACTTCCAGTTGATACCGAACGCCAAAGTCTAGATGGACAAAGGGCGTGTTGGATGGCAGCAAGCTGGCCAAGGCATGCTGCTCTCCCTCAACGCTGTGATGGTCAAGGTAGTCCCACATTGTCGTCGTGGAATTACCAACGAGGAATTGATCACAGACTTGTAGCGTGGTATTCAGATCTTCCAGCGCTAATTTCAGATGTTGGATTGCCAGCTTGCCAGGTCCGTTCGTGGCATTCACAACAACCCGGAAAGCCGTCCAACGACCGACATCTAGAAAAGCTGGTCTGAACGAAACGGGATTGGCAGAGACGGGGAAATTCAACGAGCTTGTATCGTCCTCCATAATGTCTGTGGCTCTCTTCCAAGAATCTTGAGCACGCCAGTTGGTGCGACGTGAGGCAAAAGCAGCCCGCTCCAATTCATCGAATTTCCAGAAATACTGAGGCGGGATGGGAAAAGGTAAAATAAAGGCCTCTTGTCCCTTTTCTGTGATATAAACAGCAGTCTGCATCTGAGACAATTCAGCGAGAAGCTTGAGCTGCTTGGTGTGATAATGGCCATCATCTTGTTTGACGGCAAGAGGAAAGTAAATAATCAGGCGCTTTGCCAACACATCCAGTTCAAGGCTGAAGTCGTTTGTACCGTTGGACGAAGTGACTGATTTGCGAATATTGATCGCAGCAGGGCCGATCATGGAGCCTAAGCCCAACGAGCTAAGTCTCGCCGTAATCTTTGTGGGATATTGCACGTCGGGATCGATACGGCTTTTGAACCATCTCTCCCGGCGAGACTCGGCACAAAGCCGGAGTCGAAGTCCCTCTGGGTACTTCGCAGTGTCAGAATGCTGTACTACGACTGAACCAGCTTCCCAGAACGCAGTGCTAGGCACAGGCTCAAAGTTCACGACAGCAGATGCTGAGATCTGAGTTTTGCCAGTAGCCTCCGTGATGTTGCAAAATGTAATGGTACCATAGTTGGAAAACCATTGCAGCAAGTTTTCAGAAGTCACGTTGGGCGGCAAGCCGTCTACTTTGACGGATACACCGGCGCAATTCTTCCAGTTGGACGCAAGTGGTTTGCCCCCTTGCCGTGGGCGTGGACTTCCGTCTGCTCGTGGCGGCATGATGGTTTGTTTGCCTCCAATTTTCTATGAGGGATCGTTAGAGAATTTGATCGAGAACCTGATAGCGAGTTTGAATGGAGATGACAATGAAGTCAGTTGCAACCATACCGTGTGACTCGTAGTGATTTTTATTCTTCTAAAGCGCGAGCCGGTTAGATGTCTTTGCGTGACGAACAAAGGGTCGAAAAGGATGAAAGAAAAAAGAAGTTTGGACACGCGAGAAGAGACGGAAATAAACAAAGAGAGAGGAAAACTTTAATGCAAGGCGAGCAGATGAAAGGCTTCTTGCAGCTGCGAGGTGGAGAAGAGACGAAAGTGCAAGGACGGACTGGACGAGAGGAAACATGAACACAAAGGCGGAAAGGCTAGTTGCATCATGGGAGGCTGCATCACGGCATAGGCCAAAGAGAGGATGCAAGCTGCAGGCTGCGTAACTGCATAGACACTCACCTCGGGTTTGGAGAAGTCTTTGTTGGACTAATCCGTCTGGTACGGATCTCGACCAACAAAAGAGATGCGAAGGGTGGGTGGTGGAGAGTGGAGAGGAGAGAGAGAAGTTGGATCAGTGGCGGAGGAGAAGAGAAAAGAGCGGGAGGCAGAGAGAAGTGCAGGCACTTTGACCAAGCAGAAGGAAATGTGCTGAAGCAGCAGCCGAGAGGTTTGGTTCTGGCAGGTGTCACGCCTGGTTGCATAGCCGACTGTGCATGGCAGCTCCCAGAATGGCAAACTACTTACCAATTTCAAAATCAAGATACTAAGTAGACGGCTATGTCTTGCCTAATGGAGCATTACAGTGTACAGTAGACGATCCAATTTATTGCACCTTCTATAGTCTATATCCTTAATGACTGGACCTTTCGTCATCATTGTGCGAGATGGCGGTCAGAATCTTCTTCCTTCCTTCCTCCTCCTCCTTTTCCTTCCTACCTTGTGATCCTACGTTTTCTAGTACTTGCCTCAGTCGACGTAATAGTACAAGCTGTCTGCCTCCTCTTCTCCTTCTTGTAACAACGGCGAATGACGACAAAAGGGAGATACACTCGCTTAGTCTTTGGCAGCAGAATGATCGTCTTGCCGCTCCCACGGCACATCCATGATCTTGCCTGGGTTCAGAATCCAGCGTGGATCGAGCGACTTCTTGATGGTGGCCATGACTCCTACAGTCTCAGAGCCAACTTCCCACAGCAAGCTCTCTTTCTTTCCCCATCCAACTCCATGTTCTCCCGTACAGGTACCGTCCATCTCGATGGCGAGACGAACCATGTTCTTGACGCAAGCCTCCACCTTGGCTCGCTCGCTCTCATTGTTCTTGTTGTACATGATACTCTCGTGGAAGTTTCCATCGCCAATGTGGCCGAGGATGCTGGCAAATAAGCCCAGCTCGTCCATTTCCTTCTTGCTGACTTCGATGATGTCTGCAAGTCGACTAAGCGGCACGGCTACATCAGTGCTCCCTATGGTTGAAATGGAACATTAGCTTGATTGTGAAATGTAGATAAATAGGTGTGTTAAGATAGGCACTTGGGTGGTTGATGGGTAGCTTTCGACACTAAGGGGAGAGAGAGCACAACGCAGGGTCAACTCACAAACATCTTCGCCTTCTTTTCTCAGCGAGAGCATCGACCAGAGTGACTCTTTTCTTGCGGACCACAGTAACTTTTGCTCTTGTTCGTCTTTTGCAAATTCAAAGTTGCCGCCTTTGTGGTTTGCCGTAATTTTCTCCACCAGTTCAATCTGCTCTTTGACGCTGCCCTTGGTGCCGGCGAACTTCAAGAACAGCGTCGGTTTCTCAACCCAGACTCGAGGTGCGGTGAATTTGCTCAGATTGACGACTCGCATTTGCACCTCGTCCATGATCTCGAGACACTGCATGGGGATGGCGGCTTGCATGATGCTGGCGGCGGCGGATGCGGCGTGGCGGATGCTTGGGAATGTCACAACTGCTACGGACGTCTCTTCCGGAAGGACTGCGAGTTTCAGCGTTGCTATGAGGATCAAAAAAAAAGTCAACATGAAATCACACAAAGTGGGCTGAGTGATTTTGTCACTCACCTTCTGTAACAATACCAAGAGTGCCCTCGGAGCCAACAAAGAGGCTGTTGAGATTGTACCCTGCAGATGACTTGCGAGGTCGCCTGCGAGTTTTGATGATTTGTCCATCCGACAAGACAACGGTCAAGTTAATCACCCAGTCCTTCATGGTGCCATATCGAACAGCATTGGTTCCGGAGCAGTTGGTGCCAATCATACCCCCAATCCTGGCAGTAGGGCCTATGAATCAACAAGAGCAAAAGTCAGTGCCTTGAATTTTGGCAAAAATCGAGGTCGACGGAGTTGTTTGAACGAACCAGGATCAACTGGGAAAAACAGTCCCGTGCCTAGCTTGACGAGCTCATCGTTCAAGTCTCGCCATGCCACGCTGGGCTGCACAATCACGTCCATGTCGTCCTTATTGACCTGGATGATGTTGTTCATGTAGGCGAAATCAATGCTGACGCCTCCATAGGGCGCCGAGAAGTTGCCCTCCAGGCTGGTGCCTCCAGAAAACGGAATGACGGGGACGCGGTGGCGATGACAGACTCGAACTATGGTAGCAACATGCTCAGTGGTGCGAGGATAGGCCACGGCAACGGGCAGCTCGTCGGGATTGACCGTTGACCATTCGGAATAGCCGTGGGCAAGCAAGTCTTCAGGGTCTGTTGATATTATGTCCTTTTGATTCCCAAGTTCCCATACTATATCTGAGATGGCCTGTTGGGAGTAAATGAGCTGTTAGAATATTTGACTGTCTGGTCTCTTTGGCCTGGGTCTCAACTCGCCTCTTGCATTTCAGAACGATTAGCGAATCCCACTTCTCCATCGTCATTGTCTGCCAGCGAAACATGCTCTTTTCTTCCATCTTTTTTGTTTTCACCGTCTTTGGTGTCGTCGTCGTCTTGATTGCTTTGGCCTTTGTTCTTGCCTTTGCCCCTTGTGTCTCGGCTCAGCAGAGGCACAAGGCTTGAGAGGCCCCAGCCACTTATAGCGGCCGCAACGGCCACAGCCAAGACGCTGCCACTGGACCAGCCTGATACGTGTACCGATGCATTTTGGGACGCCCCTGAACTGGAAGAAGCATTATGTGTCCCATTGGACGCAGAAGAAGCGAGCACTCTGGAGGAGACGTGATAGCCTCGGCAATGGGGGGAGGCTCTTCCAAGCGATATGGGCGCAGATACAGGCGCCATCGCCGATCTCGCTGGCAGATGTACGCCGTACGCCCTGCCGCCACGCAGCAGTGACTGCGCCTGGATCAGAGGTCTCGCAGGCATCTTGCGTCCTGTTTCTGCCCTAACAATTTGGTTGTGGTTGCAGCACCACGATTGCTCTCCCGCAAGGCAGCTGAGACACTATGGCATCATTGATAATGGAGGAGACTTGAATGCAGCTGGTGGTACAGGCATTATTCATCCATGTACCCTAACCCCGCTGTTGCAATCCGCCTCCCTTGTTGCTCGATACCCCATACGATTTGGAGTTTTAGCACTAGAGCCACAAGTCTTCAATCGGGACCCCAGCATCGTGGAGCCGCCATCAGGCTTCTGGCAATCTGTCAAAGTTCCTACTCCATGGCAAGAAATATGATCGTATTGGAATAGGGACATTTAAGACATCTCCTGCCAAATCTGTCACGCCAAGTTCGGAAGCAGAGCTACCCGTGCTGCTACCTGGAATTGCCTTGAGACATGCGCAATCCCCATTAGTATTTCGGCGTCTGCTTGTCGAATGAAATAACCTAAAGCTGGGATGCTGCTTAATATTGGTGTTCGACGCACGTACTTCGTCACAGAACGAGTTTCTTTTCAAACCCTGGGCCTGGCTACCCAAAAGGTTGCATGTAGATACTGCTGGGTAACCCATTTGCAGGATGAAGAGGGCGAGTTTGCACGCGAAGCATGAGTGACGGTTACACAGCATAAATCAGATCTGGAGAAGTGCTTTCCCACGTCCGTTACCGAGATCTAGTAGCCGCTTTCCAACTCGAGGTGAAGCTACTGCATGCTATAAGTAAAAAGAAATGACGCTTAAAGGAAATCAAGGAACGTTGACAACAAGCTACTGCTCTTGATCCTCACGCTCGTAGTCAGCGAGCAACTATCAATTATTTGACAAGGAAGTAATACTTCACAGCCCACTTCAACACACTTCAGCCGCGAACCGTTGTCGAATCGGGCCAAATTTGGACCGCGAGAAAAGAGTAGCTGAGTTAAGATGGTGTCCATTTCTTGGGGCTAGTGAGCTTGTTTGAGATTATCGCCCAGCTTCCCTACAGCCTCACAAAATGTGCCTGCCATCGAGAAACCCCTCGCCTAGCTAGTAATATGACATGAAACAAGATATAAGAAGCTTTTTGTTTCAAGATAGGCGTCAGTATGCATGCAAGCAATAACGTATGTAAGATGCCAGCATGGGCATTCTAGGAGGGGGAGAATGAAGCATGCCAGGTCATCACGCCTCCAGCCAAGTCTCAGGCCCGCAACACATATAGGCACCTGTCCAGTACCCCGCCATCTCCAAGTCTAGGTCCCCTCGCCGCGTGAATTCACTGATGAGAAATGAAGAAGCTACGTATAAAAGTAGAGGCCAGCTGCATTTCTATTGCATTTGCTCTCTTTTTCGTTGTTCCTTTTGTTGAGTATGGAGGTTGGTAGGCATAAATACATGTAGGCGGCATGCATGTGGATGGCTTCGTTTTTGGTGTGGCAGCCTGCAGCTTCGCCTAGGTACGGTAGGAGGGGCAAAAGCGCTTGTACGCATTACCACCTTTGCCATGGGTGTTTACCAACACATTTGTAGCGTTTTTTTCTTCTTCCTTTTCTTACTCAATTTATCTGTTTCAGACATACATATAAAGGTCCAGCTCTTGCCTCCTCCTTTTCCTTCCGGAGTGCTATTCTCAACACAGATGGCCACCTAGTAGGTCGATCGAACCCGCGTGGTAGCCTAAACGCAAGGCTCTCTCTCGTCCTGCCCCTCTTTGATTCTCGTGGCGAACGGATGTGCCAATATTCAGCCCCCGAATATTACATGCCAACTCCACGCTGTATGTAAGGGGCACTGTCTCTCTTTCATCATAGTAAGGCTAGTGCCTAGCAGTAGCAGTAGATCAAGGATTTTCCACCCCGCCTGATGGTTCCGCATCGCGCAATGACATGCCAAATTCCCAAATTCCGCTCCAAAAGATAGCACACGCGTACATCACTGGCTGGGGGTCCTTCTCTCGCCGGATAGCTCCCGTAATGGGGAAGGGAGGAGGGCGGTAGATGCCTACATGCACATACATGAAAATTTGATAGTGCTGCCGCCATATATATTGGCAGCCGAAGAAGCATCTAGACCAGACTCTTTTTTCTCATTCCAGATACACACCCTCTTCTATTCCTCTGTGCCAATTCGCCAGTTCTTTTTCTTTTTCTTCCCACTAGACTACCTATACCGATATCAAATAAATCCAAAAGAAAATCGAAAGCGGTAAGCATTTATATTCCCCCGAAAGTTGGGTTATTTCCCTCTCTTCCCACTTTCATTCCTACTCCTCCGCCGAGTGCCTCCACCAGCTTCCATTGGTATCCGCAATAACTAATCGCCTCTAATTTCAAATCCCCCAGATTCAGCTTCTCTCTTCATCACTCCACCACCTACAAACCACATTCAGTTCGATACAATCCAAAACAAAAACCATCACCATGTCTGTCCTTGAAGTCGGAGATAACTTCCCAGGCAATGTGTCCTTTGGCTACATTCCCTTGACCCCCGAGAGCGAGGAGATCACCAGCTGCGGCATCCCCACCAAGTACGATGCCAGCGAAAGTAAGAACTCAGTCTACTTCATTTACAGGCTTATGTTGTTGCTGTTTGAGAGGTTATACTAATTAATTTCTTTTTTTTTCCCTTCTGTTATTTCAGCCTTCAAGAACAAGAAGGTCGTCCTCGTCGCCGTCCCTGGCGCTTTCACACCCACATGCCAGGCTAACCACCTGCCCGGCTTCATCCAGAACATCGAGGCCCTCAAGGCCAAGGGTGTCGAGCAAGTGGTTGTGATTGCCTCCAACGATCCTTTCGTCATGTCTGCCTGGGGCAAGGCCAACTACACCAAGGACGACTTTATCGTGAGTTTTTATTCTATTTCTTATTTTTTTGGCCTTTTGCCTGAACAGCCTTCCTTAATTTTTACCCCTCATTCACTGCATCTTCCTCTCTTTTGCTTCTTGCTGTTTCTTCTCCCTTCTTCCACCCCGCTTGGTTCTTTTTTTCAGGTGGGATAAATTAGCTAATGCCGGGGGAATCAACCAAAGATCTTCGCCTCGGATTCCGAGCTTGCCTTCAGCAAGGCTATTGGCTGGACCATGGGCGACCGAACTGCCCGGTACGCCATCGCCATCGACCACGGCAAGGTGATTTACGCCGCAAAGGAGACTGAGCGCGGCGTCGATGTCTCTGGTGCCGACGCTGTTCTGGCCAAGTTGTAAAAGCTCTCTGTCTGTCTACTCAGCTTTGTTTACCAACACACAGATGAGCTGGCGCAGTGGGACATTTTTCTTGATTTCAATACGGAAAGCGCAACTTAACAAAAAGGCAGCTCAATATTACAGAGAGAGTTTGAGGTTTTTTTTTTTTTTTTGGGATCAATGGCATCATGGCATGGGCTAGATTAGCACCAACGAGGAGTAACTGATTATTCAAGCACTCATTGCCTGGGACTCGCTGACTTTTTCTCCTGGGCTTATATCGTGACATGCTGGGTTTTCCTCATTCCTTTTTCTTTTCTTTTTCTTTTGGGTGACTTGTCTCCAAACAGTCACGGCCACATTTGGAATCAAAGTTACACAAATGGATACGGGCAAGTGACTCTTCGCAGCGCCATTAGTCCTTACATCCTTACAAAGGTAGTCGATATACGCACAGGAACAGGTACTGAGTCGAGAGCCAAGCTGAGCGGTAGAGAGTTTAGCCAAAGCTGTCAATGCTATGCTGCATGTTGCGATTTTGGCACAAGCTTGCAGTCCCACTTGGCATCATCAGAGAAACTCAAGTCTGGTACCTGCTCCGGTATTTGGTGTTCGGCGCAGCGCAAACTTGGGTGTGGTAAAAGGTAAGAACCGACGTTTGTGATGCCGTTTGTTAAATTGTCATGAAAAAGAAAGAAAGGAAGAAAATAGAAGCAAAGCAGCAGAACCAAGTTCTGTAAATCTTCAAGAATGCCTGCGGGCAGTTATTTAGTGGTGCTATAGGTACTAGTAGGTAGGTACCGCAGTACCGCTAACCGCTAAGATGCAGCCTCTCAGCCAGGGCTGGCGGACTTGCAGGATGAGGGCAGCAGAGCCATTCGGCAGCGCTCGGCTAAATAGAAAATCCGCACTGCGAAAAAGTCTTGGCACGCACAAAACCTACACTTGCTGCAATCATCGCTCAATATCGAAGCCGACGGCGACGCAGTAAAAAAAGACCCAGCTCCTCCTCCCTCCGAATCTCGAGATCCTCGGTACGTCTGTCCCGGCCCGAAAGAGAGAATTGCCAGCTCTGCCTCTTTTTTACCACTCGCAGCTTCAGCACTCAAAAAGACGAGGTGATTGCAACAACAGCGGCAGACACTGATTTCGACTTTCTATAGCTCTCGAGTTTGAACCCCTCCCCGCATTTCCCACCCCTAGTTCGCCTTTCGCACACACACTCGCACATCATGGCCGACATCCAGGAGCGCCTCAAGAAGCTTGGCCAGCCCGGCCGAACTGGTACGTCTTTTCTTGGATCCCATTATTTTGCCGCATGAACGGCCATTGTTCTATGCTGTCGCCATGTCTTGAATGTCATTTGTCATCCAACTAACATTTTGTCTCTCTCTCACAGGGTATGTTACCAACTCTCAGCGAAACGTGCTACTTTTTCTGCAATCCATAATGCAGCGCTCAGCTTCAAGGATGAACATGTCGAATTCGAACTCGAGAAACTAACTCTGTTTGCGACTCATAGTGGAAAGGGAACTCCCCGAAGACCCGCCAAGCGCGCTCCCGCCCGATCCAACGCCGATGACAAGAAGCTCCAGGCCCAGCTGAAGAAGCTCAACACTCAGCCCATCCAGGCCATCGAGGAGGTCAACATGTTCAAGTCCGACGGCAACGTCATCCACTTTGCCGCTCCCAAGGGTAGGCTCTTCTTTTCCATTATGCGACAATAATCCGACACAAGGCGTCATGAGACCACACACTAACGTAACATGCCTCTTGCAGTCCACGCCGCCGTTCAGTCCAACACTTTCGCCATCTACGGCAACGGTGAGGATAAGGAGCTCACCGAGCTTGTCCCCGGCATCCTGAACCAGCTCGGCCCCGACTCCCTGGCCTCCCTCCGCAAGCTGGCCGAGAGCTACCAGAACATGCAGAAGGCTGGCGAGAAGGGCGAGGATGATGACGATATCCCCGACCTGGTTGAAGGCGAGAACTTTGAGAGCAAGGTCGAGTAAGGTTCTTAACTGAATCTTAAAAAAGAAAGAGAAAGAGGGGAAAAAAAAAGAGAAAAAAAACAAAGGCATGTATTTTTGTAAATGGATACAAAAAAGAGCTGAAAGGATTCTTTTTTTTTTTTTTTGGCAGGTGGGCATGTCTGGTCTTTCTTTGTTTTTGTCGTTTCGCTTCTGAGCTTGCGAGACGACAAGAACTTGGTTTTAAACGAGCTGAGAGACTGCGTTCTGGGATGGGAGAGGAATAATAATGTACACTCTCTTAAAACCGCCCCTTTCCGCAGACGTTTCTGCAAGTTTGCCAATGATTTTTCTGTTTTGTCACGATTACTTGAACGCTTTATACCCGTCGGCTTGGTGCTCATTTGATGAACGATTTGCCCGGCGCGGGCAAAAGACATGGCGGCGGACGTCAAAGAGCATGGTGACGGATGCGACCAAGAGATAAAGGGGCGGGTTTGTACAAAAATACATGAACTGCATCCACAAGAGAGAAAACCCGGAATCTATCAAAAAAGTCTCAATCTCATGTGCCCCGTCATTGCTCTCGTTGGCAATCCCGCCGGCAGAATTGTTGCCCAACAGCCGCATCTCCTCAGTAAAACAAAGCCATTAGTCCCCCTACACCTGATATCCCGAGTATCTCCGAAGCTTACCTACCTACCTACATCTCAAACCCCGAGTCTCCTTGGTTTTGAACCCACCCTTTGAGGGAAAACTGCCGAACTTGAGATTTGACATGCCTCCGCTCCGCTAATAGTGGCCCATCTTTGACGTCCTGGTAAGTGCCGGCTGACGAAATGTGCTCTTGAAGTCTCGAATGCTCTCCATCATCTATAGCAGACAGCTTATCAGACAGTTGTTTTGCCATAATCCACATCTGCCTTCTGGACGTCTTGCTAGCGCCTCTAAGATCGAATTGCTTCCTTCCCTGAAGCACACCTCCCAAAATCGTCTCCTCAAACTCGGAAGCCGACCACGTAGCCGCAAGATTGCTTGCCGAGATGGTGCTCGAGCGAGTTTGAACGGCCCTTTTCGAGAACTCAAATTCCACCGTCGTAGCCTCAACCTTGAATGCTTTAAAAGCATATCCCTCATTCCATTGCTTGCCGACAAGGGATTTCATTCGACCGGTGCCGGAAAAGGCTCGCTCACACGCGACGGTAGAGTACTGGGACTCTGGTAGGACAAGCGTGTCGATGTAAGCGTTGGCTGGATTGACCAGCAGTGACGTCAAAGACGAGAGCAGCGAGGTGCATTGCTTCAAGGCAATCTTGTCAGAGCACGATTTCGATAGCGTTGGTGGAGCGTCTCCACGGGCAGGTTTGCGACGCACAATGCCGAGCTTAGAGAAGTAGGCTCGCCCCGGAAGTGCTGTTTCAGCTTCAAGGGGGATTTGTTGTGTATCAGCTGGTGTAGAGGAAGGGAGCTGCCACGGAGAATCGTCTTCTTGAGCGGCCATGATGAGCTCCATGCTAGCATCTCCACCTAGATTGGGTCTGTAAGTGACATGGTCTATTTATATCCGGTGGAAAGCGTTTCGTTATGTTGTGTGAAGATGGTGAGGTAAAGAAGAAAGAGGTGGGAATAGAGACGTGAAATAGCTTACAAGGAGCTTCGGAGCAATACATGTGAAGTTTCACATCATCCCTTACTCGGAAGGGTGTCGTATACTCTTCATTTCTGTCTTCATTCTTGAAAAGAATCGCTCCAAAGCCATCATGGTCGCCATCAACGATGCTCTGACACTCATCTAGTAGATAGCGATTTAGAGTTCGGATGGCTAAAACTTCAGCATGCCAGTCGTGAATAGCCACGCCTTTTGCTTCGGCAAGTTTTGATGCTGGGAGACATTTCATGCCCGTTCTGCACTTTCACAGCTTTAGAAAAGAACAAACAGAGAAGGAAGATGAAAGGAGCTTACGCCAATGCCAAACAAGTCAAGTCCCCATTCTTCTCGGCAACGATACCGCTCAGGGGTACCCATTCGTGGAGGCCATTGTCTCGAACACAGGGCTTACGCTTAGATGGGAGCTTCTCGAATTGGCTAATGACGGCGCGGGCGATGAGATTCGCGCGAGACGTCATTTATTTAACCTTTGGTGTCCGTAAGGGATTGTAGGTATTACCATTTCATAAGATCATGTTTTTTTTGAGTAAAAAACGAACAGAGAGTGGATGTTTAGATAGGGAGAGCTGCATGTAAGCATGAGCATGAACTGAGGCTCAACTGCATTGCAGATCAGTTGATATTTTGCAGGTGGCCTGTCAACCTAAAGCTATTAGTTCAGACACCCAAAATAGGCAATGTGCTGGCAGCCTCTCCCCGCCAGCAAGTTACTGCAGGTCTGAAGTCACGTGCACTGGCCGCCAAAACCCACTACCCGAGTTTTTTGGCGCCCACAAACGCCTGCCCTAGGCCCGCTTAGTCATTCCAAACACACAATTCGTGAAATTGACCCTATCCAGCGACAGTCCAAACGGCTGCTCATCTTTCGTCAACGCCAAACTCACGCCAATTTTTTGTCGCCCATAACCCACACACCGCGGCAAGATGCGTACCTACGAAGACAGCTTCTCCGGACAGAGGATCTTCCCTGGCAAGGTATGCTGATGCTCTCTTTCCTTGCAATTCCCTTTGCACTTTTGATACTCGGCGATTGCGACGTCATGGGGATGAGGCTGTGGAGGACGATACGACAAAAGAAGATGGGAAAATGGCAGGGTTTGGAGGCATGATGGGATCGTCAACGATATGAAATAGAGCAGGATTCTACAGACGTCGAATGGAGGAACGATACAGCCAGAAATCCCCGTTGTCGCATTGGGAGGAATCAAGAAACAAACAAAACATTTGTCAAGTTATTGTTCCAGACTGCATGGATGCTGACCGCGCTTTCCTCTCACAGGGTAAGATCTATGTCCGTGGCGACAGCAAGGTGTTCCGATTTGCCAACGGCAAGTCGGAGTCACTTTTCCTCCAGCGCAAGAACCCCCGTCGTATTGCCTGGACCGTTCTCTTCCGACGACAGCACCGCAAGGGTATCTCTGAGGTACGCACGACGAAACTACCATCTCCGAAACGCTTTCTTCTATCCCCCCCTCTCTCTCTTTGTCTTCGCCTCGATGATGGAAAAGGATGAGGGATATTGCTATGTCCATGCCCATATCTACTATCCAAGTCTATACATCGACGCGGACAGGAGAGGAGAGGAGACTTGAAGAAACCAGAAACGGACGCCGGACATTGTGATGACTGACCCCCTTTGCAGGAAGTTGCCAAGAAGCGCACCCGCCGCACCGTCAAGGCCCAGCGTGCCATCGTTGGTGCCTCCCTCGAGGTCATCAAGGAGCGCCGCTCCATGCGCCCCGAGGCCCGATCTGCCGCCCGCGCCGAGGCCATCAAGGCCGAAAAGGAGAAGAAGGCTGCTGTTCAGGCTGTCAAGAAGGCCGAGAAGGCCAAGAACGCTGCCCTCGCCTCCAAGGTCCAGACCCAGCGAAACGTGAGCAAGCAGGGTGCCAAGGGTGCTCAGCAGAAGGTCGCTGCCCGAACTCGCTAAACACACCGTATAAAATAAAACAAAATGTTTAAAACAAAAGTACGATAACAAGACGCGAGTTCTCTTCCGCCCCTGGGTGATGCGATGCGAATGGCAGGAGAGATGTCTGCTGTACCGCAGCGGATGAGTAGATTGAAACAAAGTATGGGAGTCTGTGGTTCTTGTCTCTTTCCGGCCGGTTCTTCTACAATATCGGGTTGTGCATGGAATGCCATAGGGCGCATTTGGTAGCTGAGCAAATGACATACCGGTGCAATGGTTGCTATTAACATGGGAAACTGTTGGCGCTGTGGATACTTGGCTAAATATCCTTTCAGGGATGAAATGTGAATGTGTGACTCGGTGTTGTCTCGTCCTTGCCATGTGATTGACGGCGCTGACTCTCCAATGACTTTTCTCAAGTCCCCGCACTTGGCTTTTCACCAGCCCTATAGTAGATTGGACGCTTCCTGTTTAATGTAAAAAGAAAGCTAGAAGAATATGAAGAGACAGGAAATTTATGATTCTATTACGCTGATGTCTTATATAAATACTAACTTCACAGACTGTAAACCCTATGTTGGCTGATCAGTACACATGTCCCCGCTGGATAACCTGAGCGTGCAAATGGCTGTTTCATACCAGCTCGACTCGTCGCTTTCTTGCATGTCTATTCTCTTGATCTAAATATGGCTCTCAAAAATATTGAACCAGCTCTTTTTTATCGTCAATGATGATGGAACCAGCTCGTTTAGGGGCCAAGCAATGTTCCTGGTCTACTAATACATAACATCGCAAGAGAGTGTATGGAATCTTCGATTTTAAACATGAATAGCATAACCATGCATACCTGTAAATTCTACACCATCTGTTAAGATTGAAGCAATCCGGTATTCATGCATGTAGCTTTATGGTTCCAGTAAGAGAGAGTGGACGCTAACTGTAGGACGCTTGTACAAAGTCGGCATCTCGCAATGCTTAATGGCCTAGTGGGACTCTATTGCAACTACCAGCTATGCCATTACTACTACTATTCCGTACCTAAAGGGAACAAGGACTTTTCCATTTTCTTCTACTTCATCTCAACGAGAATCTTTAAAATATACGCATAGATGAGTTGGGCAGCTCTTGTATAGACATTAACGTTATAACCCTCCTTTGATTCGACCAATGCTTATTTGATCTGCTTGAAACACCGGCTTCGACCTTGACGCCTAAGCTGTCCGTTTCAAACTCAAACTTGTGTAGTTTATAAAGAGACTGGGTATATTTAGACACAGCACATCAAAAAGAGATGCTTGAGAAAGTATATCGACAAAAAGACATTTCATCACATCATAACATAGTTTTCCTTCGTCCCCCCCCTCCAACTCCTCACATGAGTATTCATGCAACAGCACTTTTTTTACCAAGTTGAAGGCCCAATGCCCGGACCCGAGGTCGGCGCAACTCTCAAAACAGCAGCGCCATCATAATCGAGGTTATTAGTGGTAACTGAGTTGCCCCACCAGTCTGGAAATTCCGCATTACCCAGACCTAGACCCAGACCAATAACGACAGTGCAGAGGGCAGTGCCAATATCGAGGGCGCCGGACAAGACATAGTTGTATTGAGCTAAAAAGAAGAAAGGATTAGTTTTAACTGTTGAATACAACAAAAAGAATAACAGAGAGAAACTTACTCCACCAACCGAGCCAGCGCCTCTTGATCCACCAATTGAAGAGAAGACCGATGATACACCATTGGGCAAGATACCAGGTTGTCGCCGGGGGAATCATTCCAGCAGCTCCAAACAAGGCAGGGAAGACGACATAGCGGAGCGGAGAGCGAGGGTAGCGACGGGCAAGAAGCCACTGAATGAAGGGGCACAGGAAGCCAATCAGCCAGAAGTAGTTGGTCCAGGAGTATCTATTAAACAATTCTGGTTAGCAAGAAGTCAAACTGTACAATATTTTAGAGAAATTGACGTATTCTGAGAAACTTACAGTTGACCAGCCCCAAACACCAACTTGGGGCCAATGACACCCCAAATGACACTGGCATTGTAGAAAGTTCGAGCATTGGGGCAAGTAAGGCCCTGTGGTTGAGTCGGAGTACAAATGCCCTCAATGTTGCCACGCAAGAAGTTGTAGGTCGCAATCTGAACAATAGAGAGCCAGATCACGGCAAAAGCCTGAGCACCAAACATGCTACGAGGGGGAATCTTCATGTAGTGGCCGACTTTCATGTCAGATACATACTGGAGGCCGTTGAAGGTCATCATGTAACCCCAAGACTTGAACAGCATCATGGCCACGGGGCGACCGGGAAGCATATAACCGAAGATCATTTCGGTGATGATGTTGAGACCGGTTTGCTGATTCGTGATGGCTTGGACCATGCCAACAGGGATAAAAAAGAAGAGACCAATGATAATACACAAGATATACGCCCAAGCGGGGAGATGAGTCTGAAATCCGAGGCAGGCAGCCAAACCGAATGCAAATGACACCAGAAACACGGCAAGGAACCACCATTCGGGAGCCTCTTTATACTTGCGCATAAGCTTCAAGTGGATATCGGGCTCCTCAGATCGAGAGTCAACAGACCGACGCCAAACGTCGGGGCCATAGAATAAGGCAATATGCGTAAGGGTTGAGACCAGGCCGGCAAAGCCCATGCCATACGACAGAGAAAAGGCAGGACCCAACAGAATAGGAGAATATTCTCTATACGCTGTGAGGTTGACGGTATAATCAGGGTTGAGAATACGGCTCGTGTTGTAGGGCTTAGCGTAGTGATCAAAGTTCTGGTTGGCACTGAGAGGAAGATAGCGGTAGAACTCAGGGCCAGCATAGGCAAGACCAATGATTCCGAGCAGCATGATGAAGATACCAGCTGAGACGTTGGCGATGGCGAAGGCCGGTGTCTGGAGAGGAGAGAGCAGGAAACCCGAAATAATTGACCAATCAAATGAGATGGGAAGGAGACCTAGTCCAGTATTTCCACCAAAAATTTGATTGACAACGACATTGTTGGGCGCTATCCAGACGGGAAACATGAAGAACTGGAGGAACTGTGCAATGACCTGAGGAATCCATTCCCAAAAGAACGTTCCGGCAGCAACGATGAGGAAGAAGCTGTACCGGCCAATCGTCCACCCATTGGTCGTGGCAGGATCGGCGGGGGCGTGGTTGTGTAGAGAATACATGACAGTTGTAGTGATGAGCACAGCAGGCCACACCATGGATGAAGGCCAGACGAGGAATCGTCGAGCCACGCCAGCAGCACCGAAGCCCATGGCCTGAGTGGAGAGGATGAGGAGAATTTGGAAGCCCCAGCCCAGCTTTTGGTGGTAAAAGATTTCCTGGGCCAGCAAGATATCGATGGCGTAAGACGCAGCGGTTCCAGCAGCCGTCATCATGGTGATGATGGTGTGTTCCTTGACATTGAAGGGTCCGGGATTGAGCTCGAACTTGTGCCCAAAGACAGTAAATGACCAGTTGGGAAAGACACGGGCCCAGAAGCAACCCATACTATAAAGCCACCGTGTTAGCCATTTAATGACGCCGCGGACCATTGGAGTTGCACAGTGGCAAACTTACGGGTAAGATATCAACTGCACGACCGTCGATGTAATGACGATAGGAGCACGTCGGAGGGTGAGCAGGATGTTGCAAGCTGCTACAATTGTGCACATGAGGGCACCGATGGTCCAGGCACGAATCGTGTTGACGGGAACATCTTGATCGGTTGGAGGAACCTAGAAGCAATCAAAATGATACGTTAGACAGGAAAGCAAGAATTGAAGAAAGAACAGACAAAAGTAAAAATCAAATAATGTTCAGAATGATGTGTTATTGCAGCCTACGAGGGGCATGATTGCTGAATCGTATTTTGAACTGGCAAAGATGGAGATATGAATAGAACGTACCGAAGCGCGAACTTCTGGGTAGGGTGAATCTTCTTGGATCAAAGACTCATCAATGGCAGCTTCCTTCTCGATATTGCCCGAGGCCAGAGCCTCATCAATGTTGTCGAGCTTATCGATGTCAAGGAAGGGATCCCATCGATGCTGCTTTCTGAAGTTGCGGAGATCAGACTCGACGTTGGCTGCATCCCCAGGAAGAACTTCGACACCCGAGGACACGGCCTCAGTCTCGACGCGGGCATCGCCTTTGCCAAATCCAAAGGCCATCTTGAATCTCTTCAAGTGTTGCCACTACGAAAGATACGGTAGTGTTGGCACAGCTTGGAAAGCGAAAACAGCAGAATGGCCTCTAGAGGAAGAGGAACAAGCGAGTGGACCAAGAGATGGGATATCTACCATCCTTATATCCTATCACCTCGATCGCCACCACGCCCAGTCTTACACGCTGTAACATTGCACCGCAATGTCCGTGTGCGGCTGAGAGATATGTGTAACACAAGTTCCATGAATTGCATGCGGGGGGCAACGGTGGACTGACCCGGTGGCCACTTTGAAAATCTCTCACTCATTCTTTGCTTTCCCTTGCTTTTCCATATTTCGCTGTTCCTCTCCTAGGTGCGCCCTATCATTCAGAAGTGAGGCATCGAGCCGCCGTTGGCTGCAGGGACTCTTTGCAGCGAGCATAGCGCCGGACAGGGTTGAGGCGGCCTATCTCGTGCCTGTGTGTAGCACAACGGGGACTAGTCCAACTTTAGACGCGGGTACTTTGGTAGTGGCTGGAAGTTTGTTCTTGGCAGTGTCGGTTTCTGGCATTGCGGGCACTCGAAAGATTGCTGGAGTATCTTTGAAGGGAGGGATATCACTGCTAGGCTGCTGCTTGGACCACTGCCCCGTAGGTGGCCCGGCAACTGGGTATCGCTGCTTTTGACTCGCCTGTCCAGCTGGGTATTGGGTCTCTGTTCGTACTAGCCGCAGAAGCAGAGGCCACTGCCAAGGCCTGTGCCCTCCAAAAGATCCCATGTGGCAATTGCCCCTCTATTGGTAGCAGATATCCTCCATGCTCAGCGATAGTCTTCTAGGCTTGGGGCCCAGACATAGTGTGAGACACCTGCCAGAAGCAGCCCTCCGTTTCCGTGGTTGTAGCTTTAGGCGTTACGCCACACGACAGGGGTCCAAATATGTGCTAATGCCTCTCTCAGGGTATCCGTTGCTGCGGCTGGTGGCCTTCGAAGCCTGGACGCTGATCTAGCGTCTTGTCGAAAGGGCGGGCCCCCCTGAGAGAGATCCCCAGCCCCAAAGCCAAAGGCCCTTTTGTGAGAACGCAGCGGCACCGTGCGGCTACTCTGGCAGAGGATTATTACAAGCAAGTGGTATAGTTTACCTTACCTTTGGTTCCTCGGCTAGTGGATAAGCTCACATTGCTAGCGGCCAGCTTCTATTAAGACAGCAAATAAGCGTCAGCTAGTCGAAAACTTCCACTGCGGATGGCGCCGGGGCCGACGCTATAGACGAGTAGAAGAAGGTTTAAGGTAAAGGGGGGGAAATGTATATCCAATGCGAACTTGTGAGAAAGTAGTTCCCAGAAACCAAATAGGTACTTGCTGTGATGGAGTGACTCTAGGATAAGACCCAACAAGCCGGAAATGGGTGGTCGTGTCTTGTCGTATCAAGCCGTGCCCTACAATCGATGAGGGCACAATCGCTTGCAGGAGGGTCCCGTTCGCACAACCATTTCTTACAGAGAAACCCCCATTGTTCTAACGTACACCCCCAAAACGAAAGGACGTGATGGTGGTAAGTATTACGGCACGGCAGCAGCTATGCCCAGCACAAATAACTGCTTTGGTTGATTCTGTGCCCGATATTGCCCCATTCAGCAAGACCGCAGTATTAGATCAGCGTTTGGCAGCGGGATTCTTATCAGAAGAATTCATCCAACGGGACATGGGCTTCCGTTCGAAGATTGAGACGTTTCGCTCAGAGGCAATGAGAAAATCGAGAGACGGAAAATGCCCAGGTCGTCCAGTCCATACTTTCTTCACCAAGTCTGAGTCCGATATGAGACGAAAATCTTTCTGCTCAAAGCCTTACAGACAGCAGACGCCACCTATACCGCCCAAAACACAATCAGATTCACGCCGCCCGTGGAGCGAGAAGCGTTCGGCCGATACCGCTGCAAGTTGCGGTACCAACAACACCCATCCATATCTGTGCCAAGACTCGTACCATGCTCACCTGATTGATACCTGGCCTGTATCTAGTTGTGCTAGCAGTCTGTACGGCATAAGTACTGCCAACGGCTTACCCTCTGGAGAGCCTGACATCGGATTCTTGTCCAGGGTCCGGCAAGATATTAGCATATGTGTAGTAAGTAATACATCGCATGAGAGTCGACAGCCTCTTATCCCTGACATGACTTAAGAGGTGACATCGCTCGCCTTCTGCTGCTTTTCTCTTGTCGGAAAAGTCTTTGTTCTCGGCATATCATCGTGATTATTGTATCCACGTAGTACACATCATGTTGAGTAGGTAATCTGATTAGCTTGTGCAGCCGCTTGCCCGACGACATGCCGGTACAATTCCCGATGTTCCGCTTTTTCCCACAAATAAAATCAACGCAGCCAACGCTTGCCTTCTTTATCCTAAATGCAGGACCTTTGTGGCTTGGCATCGTCAGCCATAATCCTGATAATCTTCTTCATAACAAAGTCGTGCAGTATCCAGTATACAAGGGCGTTGGACGCAGGCCCTTGAAAGAAGAAGAAAGGTACTTGACCAGTACTAATGGACCACCATTTTTCTCGTTTCGGCGTTGTCTTTGGGTTTAGCCACCCGTAATTTTTGCTCTTAAATCCTCCGGCATCCAGCTGCTCCCCGCATGGTCTGCATGCAGAGGACTAGGGCCAGCCGGGGTGGCTCAGGCTAGACCAGGGCTATAATCCATCCTTGCGTCTTATACTAGATGCACTTTTGCTCGGCCAGATTCGGTGTCTATATTTGCCCGTGATAGGTAGTTGTATAGGACCTAAAAAGACTCCAGTTGCGGTTGAGTACTCTACAGCCTTGTTTGAGGACAATCTGTAAACCTGACCATGGGCCAGAAGGAGAGAGAAAGAAAGAACAAGGGGCTGGGCCTTGGAAGGCGCATGTAACCCCACAGTAGCCAGGACCAAAGATCTCCGTTCTTCTTCTCTCCGCCACGTTCTCATTCTGCGATACAGCCATGGACGGGCTATGTCCGGGGTGAGGAGCATTATAATATTCGTCGTGATATAGAATGTAATCAAACATGAAAACTTTCCTTATACGGCAGCGCCTTCTCAGCCAAGGCCTCTGTACTCCATAAATCGCTATCAAGTTAACCTTAACCTGCGTTGATTGAGGCCGCTTGGTAGGCTACCGAAACGACTGGCCCCTTGCTTTACTATCCACTCCCATCGGTTTTTTAGGATAACTTCCAGGAATAGAAAATATCATACCAGCAGGACAGCATGGGCAATGTCACCTCGTCTTCGCTAGCACCAGTAAGGACCTTTTGCGTAGTCTAGCAGTCGCCTCCGCTCTATCGCCAAGCCTTGTGGAGGCGGTAATTCCATACCGATGCTACCTTCTCCGGAGTTGCTTCTCAAGCCGCAAGTAACATTGAAGTCTAAATATGGTTGAGATTTTACATTCAAAGGCCTGCGGCGGCGCTGGTCCAATCTTGAGGGGATATGCGCCAAGCTGAAGCCACAAGATGCCAGCCCTCTAAATCAAGCACAGGAGTCGCCAAGCGATCTGGGGCATCGCTCTTGGAAGTGCGCCGAGGCGGCGTGAGTTACCTGCCAAATGCTCCCAGTTTATCCGAGGCATGTCGAAAGCTAAGTTGGCCGACGGGGTTCAAAGGGCGTGGCCAACAGAAGACATCTTCCCAGAGAGCGGCCTCGCCTATTGGTTGTAAGTGGCTGTAGCTGGGGTAGTCACCACACATGCGCAGTGCTCCCAACCAAGGCCCAGGATAAGAGGCACTCTGGGAATTGCGTCTCTGTCAGTACATTTTTTTGCTCATGAATGCCACGATTATGGGACAATAGTAGCCCCTGCCATGTGTCGGTAGCTTAAGGGATCCGAGCGCCTTAACATCCAGATTTCTCACGAAAGAGTAGAAGGGCTATAGGTATTATAATGCTCCTTTATTTTGTAGGGAGAGCAGATAACGTCCAGCCGTATCCATCCCCGATGTAAGCTACCTTCAATAGTATGTGGGAGTGCTGGACTTTGTGGGTCGATGTCGAACACCAAGTCAAGTCCATAGCCCATCATCGCCCGCTGCTCTCGCTAGATTCTCGGTGTTGTGGGTGGAGAGAGGACCCATCCATCACCGCGCTTATACAGTGCAATGCGAGTTATCAATAGACGTATCAAGCAAGCATTTATTTGTCTTCGGCGAAGAACAAAACAGAGTTGACCAGCTGACCGGAAAACACGGCTTCGGATTCCTTCGTATTGTCGCATATGCCGAAGCAGGAAAGAAATTGAAAGGGGGGGGGGGAATAGGATAAAGAATAGGATTTAGCGTGATTGGATACCGCAATTGTAGGAGTGATGTTGGATGGGCGGCCGGCCAATAGTGGGAGTGGTAATATCATGTTGTGCGCCCAACAGCAGAGCATTTGGTGGCCAAGAAGGAACGGACTTTTGTTGCTGCCAAGAATTGTCTCCCGACACATGCACTGTGCTCGGCCGGCTCAACTCGAGAACATTCGCCAATTAGATCATCGCCGCGGTATTGAAAACAGTCCGTTGGATGCGGGCGAAGGAGCCACTAAATTGTTTGAAGAGAGAGCATGGCTATAATTGTCCTAGATATCGTATTGTTTCCTTTTCGGACAAGTAATTTGCATTGTCAAAATCTCGCGTGATCGCCGTTCCGGTTTTAATATTCGCAGATGTAGCACATGTAGGCCTGATGAAGAAGAGTACTGTAAATCTTCTGGGTTATCTTCCGATTCATCCGATCAAACCACGCATTCGTGGAAGACGAACATCTCCATCTCATGCCGGTTCAAACATAGCGGGTGCTGAAATATTGGCAAGAACTGATTTATTAGGGTCGCAGCTAAAAAAAACCAGTCCATGCTAATAGGGAAGTAGAGCGAAACCCGATCCTTTGAATCAGTTTGCGCGAAGTAGGTAGTTCCATGCGCAGATCCAATAGTTTGCCACGCCCCCTGCTTCCGAGTTTGCAGTCTTTGCTTCCTGTCTTGTCGCCACGTGCGAGCCTCAGATCGGAATAATCCGATGAGATGCTTGTCTCATACCCCATGCTGAGTCTGCTTCTTTTCCGTCTTCTCCCTTTCTTCTTGTTTTGTTAAACTGGTAATTCGATTCACGCAAATCCATGTTCTCTCATCGCAACAGCCTGATCCTTTCAATCGAACAGATCGGTAGCTTGCTCACTTTGGAAGGTTGTCAATGCCGATGGTGATGACTCAAATCTTACAGATGCTCTCCCTTGATTTTTCATAATGTACACGGCAGTGGCGTGGACAAAGGCAACGAGGTGGCTGTGACGTCTTCGCCATGTCGCGCCACGCCCAATCTCAAACAAAATCGCATTTTCGTTCACCCTATTTCCCGAGGCCAGCTTCTCGCCGCATTTCTTCTCTTCGAGCTACAGCCTCTTGCTTTTGAAGTCTGTTGGCTTCAAGTTCTGCCTTCTTTCTCCTCTCTTCGTCCTCCTTGATGACGGCCCAGACTGTTTTCATTCATGTCAGCCTCAATTCTGCAGGAAAAGATGTCAAGCAAGGGGATTTTTTGATGGGACCAACTTGGTTTGTCAGATTTCGAATACTCCTTCAGCTTCGTGACAAAGTCGTTAAACTCCTGCTGTCTCTCCTCTCTGCCTTCCAAGCTTCTCTTTAGGAGCTCAGGGTTGTATCTGGATCTCAGCTCTTCCTCGGTTGGCACCACCCAGTACGTGAGCGCCGGACCACCAACGCTGATGATTGCTCCTCTTTTAACGAGAGATGATGATCAGTGTCATGCTTGGAGTTGAAAGTCGCGGAGCCTACTTACCCCACCAGGACTTTTATCCACAGGCCCCAGTTGACCGGCTTCTTTGGAGGCATTTTTATGTGTAGAATGAAAAGATCGTTGGTAGATGCAATTGAAAATCAGCGGGCGGGCCAAGTCGTGACGTTCACTTCTTCCTATGAAAGCTCAGTAATGCCTGAGGAAGGAAGCTCTCACCCGCTCAGGCGGCGTCATGGAATTTGATATTGCCGTGCGAGAGCTGCTTGAAAAGGAAAGCGGTAAGAGTTAGCATTGAAGCTAAGCTAATTGGCAGCTAAGCCATGAGTAGTTGGTGCCTACTAGTGGCAGAATGCTGTACCAAGAGACTGAAACCTACCCGTGATCTTAAATGATTTTGGTTTAAATAGATGGATAAATTCGCCAGATGATACTAGGTAAAAAAAAAAAGAAAAAAAGAAAGAAAATCAATATTCTTGTAGTGTAGAAGATGGGCACAATCCATTGGCCATTTCCTAGTCGTCCAAGCTGCTTCGCTGTTGTGCTAAGAAAAGCATTCAAGCACATCCAGCGAAGAAAAGCTATGACAATTTACAGGACAAAATGACGTTCATATAATACATATCCACCTCCAATTCATGGGAATAGCACTTCTCAAATTCCCTCCATCTAAGTAATACAATTTGTGAAGAGAAAAAAAAAAAAAAAACAAGGAAAAAACAGTATCGAAGCAAGTTTGTCAAAGCTTCCCATAAACCGAATTCAAGTGGTATCTTTCGGATCCAAATAAATCAAAAAAAAAGAAATATATCTGCGCTAGCTTTCTCTCATTAATCCAAAGAAGAAAAAAAAAACGAGCAGAATTTTCTGCACCTCGGCATCTCTGGATATCCTTCCATCGTAACAAATCATGTTTTACATCACTACACAATCTCCTTCCTGTTGCTTTTGGCTTCGAGATATCCGCTCCCTCGGACGAGCTTTTTCTTTGCCGGATCGTTTCAAGTCTTCCAATCGTTCTCTGGCCTTGGGGAAATCTTGTGCTATAACAACCCTGACGTTAGCATCAAATTCACTATTCCATACCAGGGACATGTGACTAGAAAGATAAGGAAAGAGCAATGTAGAGAATGACCAACTTACCAGCTGCTCGCCAATACCATCGCTTGGCATCTTCCATGTTTGCCGGGACACCGATGCCCACCTCGGTGAAGTAGCCCATCGCGTACTCTGCCTTGGCCAGACCCGCCACGGCAGCCTTCCTCGCCCACAGATACGCCTCCGTGTCACTCTGGCCTAGGACACCTTCGCTTCCCGTCAGGTACCAGCCACTAAGAGCAAGTTCCGACTGATGCTCTTCCTGCTGTGCTGCTTTCGAGTACCAGACGATGGAGAGCCGCGGGTCGATGGGACATCCCAGCAGTCCATATTCGTACGCACAGCCCAGTCTAAACTGGGAGAATTTGTATCCAATTTCTGCTGCTTGCTGGAACAGGCTCAAGGCGTACTGCTCATCCCGAATAATGACATCGTTGCCTGATGCCGATTCGTAGAGCAATCCGAGTTCGTGGAGAGCGTGAGGATTCTCTCCGTCTGCTCTCTCTGCCGCTCGCTTCAGCCAGCCCACAGCCTCCCTAGGGTTCTTGGGTTGGCCCAACAAACCTTTGAGAAGGATCATGCCAACCTTGTACATGGCTGGCGGATCGCCTAGAGTCGCCGCGCGTTTGTACCACTGAATCGCCTTCATAGGATCCTTGCGAGTGCCGCCGCCTTCCTCGTGGCCAATCTCACAGCATACAGCCGTACGGTAGGCAGCCGCAGCATGGCCCAGCTTCGCGGCAGATTGATATAGCGTAAAGGCCTCTTTGGAATCTCCGTCGGGACCAAATAAACCCCTACCCACGCCATCTGCCATCACAAACATTGCGTCTCCATTCTGAGAGTTGACCAGCTTCTTGAGGATCTTGTGGGCGTCCACAAGATATCGTTCGCGAGCTTTTGACTTGCCTCTCGGGTCGGGGATATTTGGCACAAGCACGTCGGAAGCTTCGATGAGACGCTTCGCCAATTTCAGCGCGGTCGCCTGGTCGTTGGGATTGCCTTTGACAACCATCCTCAAATGTTCCAGCTCGCCGGGGGTGACTGGAGGTTCTCTCTCCCGCGGCGGAGGCGGCGCTCTGGGCGCTGGCATGCCCTGGTCCAATGGCTGTTGAGGAGAATACTGCTGCTGTTGCGGTTGCCGCATTTGTTGCTGCATGGGTGCTTGTTGCTGCTGCTGCTGCTGTTGTTGTTGTTGTTGTTGCTGATACTGTTGCTGCTGCTGAGGCGGCAGCCCCGTCTGAGGACTGCCTCCATAGCTTCGGACAGGAGGAGGCTTGGCACTCGGATTCACCAGCGAGTTTTCCATTTGACCCGGACGTATAGGCGTTGGATGTGCAGGCAGGCCGTCTGGGTTGGTGGGTGCAGCGGTACCTGGCCTGACTATAGGCGGACGATTGCTCCCAAATCCAGAATGTGGATTGCCGGCTGCACCTGGAGGCGCACTCGGGCCTCGCGGAATCGGTGGCTGAGTGTATCCTGCAGGCCCATTGTATCCTTGATTATATCCCGGCTGATACGCATGCGTCTGGGGAATGGCTGGAACTTCGGGGATGTCGGCGGCCATCTCGAATACCGCGGATTGCGGCTCGCGCATCTCTACCATGGAGCGGGCATGGCCCAGCTTGGCAGTTTGGTAAGCTCCCTGCTGCGGCTGCTCAGGCGCTGCTCGCATAGACTGCTCGAAAGAATCTCGCTTGCTATGAGTGGGAATAGCATCAAAGTCAGGCAGGCTTGAAATGCTGCTTTTATGCGCATGTGAGTTGTGTGACGAGTTGTGACTTGATATGCTCGCTCTCGGCTCGTCGTAATAAGAGTCGTATACATCGTCAATGGCGTTGGCATATGATGGGTCATATCCGTTGTTGTACTGTCCTGGCAGCGGCGGTGGCGGCGCCTGGTTATCCTGAGGATAGGTTCTTTGAGGCGGAGGCCGATTTCCCGTTGTCGTAGCAGGCCTCTGTGGTACTCCACGGCTTCCGGAGCTATTGTACGGCATCGTCATGCTTCGCTGAGCTCCATGTGGACCAGGTTGCTGTCGAGCGCCGTATCCGCCGTCACCATAGCCCACGTAGCCATCAGGTCCTGGCCTAGGCTGTCCTTGTCGCGAATCTCCGTAGTTTTGGGAGCCGTTTCGAGCCGGAGGTGGTCGGCGGGGTGGGCTTCTAGGATCTTGTCCATTTAGATCCATCTGTGACATCTGGTTTGCAAGCTCATATCCATTGCCAGACTGGTAGTTGCCATTGGCGAACCCTGGGCCTCCTTGAGGGAGCATAGGGCCGTTATCCATCGGTTGACGACCGCCTAGAGGAAAGAGAGAGAGAAGGTTAGAGCCGAGGGTTTCGATTCAACGACCAAGCCGGATTCTACGGAATTGACCATTTACTGAACTTTTGGAAAATGAGGCTTACCTGCGGGATGGCCTGGTGGTCCACCTCCTCGTGGCACACTCGGCCTGCCCCTATTTGGAGGACCCATACCGCCTCTCGGAGGATAGTTGGCCCCTCGTTGGCCTTCGGGCATATAAGGACCTCCTCGACCACCATCTTGCGGAGGTCGACCTCCTCTTGCTCGGCCAGGAGGACTCTGGCCATAGCCGCCATCTTGATATTGGGTGTTTCCATACTCTGGCCCGTATCCTCCTCCTCCTGCTCCGTCACCGCCATAGCCGTTATCGTGATACCCATTATACTGCTGCTGTGGCGGCGGAGGCCCTCCGTAACCTCTCGCCGCGGGGGCCTGTGCCGCTGAACCAGCATACGGCCGCTGTTGGCCCCCGTATCCTCCGTCATATGCCATTGTTACTACTTTACTTCTCAGTTTCTAGCTGATATCGAACAATATTTCGAGTCGCAATCGGTCCGAGGCGCAAAAGGAAAGAAGACGAAGAAGAATATGCCCAATGCTATAACTTGCAGTCGCGTAAAGTCGCTGGCGTGCGCATGTCCAGCCCAGGAATTAATATTTATCGTGAAGGCCTCCAAAGCAAATGAAAGACGGATAAGAGAGAGAAGATTGGTGTAGCAAGTTGTCTCGATAGAACTGGTTTTATGCCCAGCGTGCCCGGCGTTGTACAGCCTTTGGTACCGCGGGATTGATCAAAGTAAAGCCGTGGTTGATCCCTGCGATTTACCGCCGTGGCGGCCGATCTGCTTTTGCTGCGCAAGGGATGGCAATGGTTCACGGCCAGCTGCTGTGGTTGTCTCGTCTTGTAGTTTCGGACGGGCGCGTGCGTTCGCGACTCAGATGCCGTCCAGATTTCGGGTATGTGTCTTTGCGTGTGTGCGAGGGGTTGGGCCGCAGCAACAAGCAAGAGTTAGCCGCCGAGCGCCCAGCCTGGCCCAGGTCGAGGAATGAATGAGTGGGTAAGACAGGCTTGTCTTTGGAGCAAAGGAAAATCAAAAAAAGGGTCCCTGATGATGCTGCACCTCCCAGCAGCTCTGCCCTGCCTGATCGCCGCACAACGCACAAAGAGGGAAGAAAACGGCTGTCAAAGGAGCGTCAAGAAGTGTTCGTTGCCGGTGAGAGTTCGAAAGAAGCAGCGCGGGTGTGGAAACGTCGCAGTGGTTTCGGGCGGGCGAGCCACAAGCGGAGTTTGGAGTCGCACTGGCACGATGGCTAGACCCTGGCCGCAACGGAGACGGATGTGTTTTACTACCACGGTAGTGTTGTATGCTTGATCCTTTCAATCGAAACCGGGCCTCGGACAATCTTTTGCTCAGCAGCGTCTTTGCAAGACCGGCGGTAATGCTAATGCCTACCTATTAATACCTATACCACTACTGCGACGAAGTACACATAAGATGCGAGTTTCGGCAGCGGCACCGTGACCCTGGGGCACCTTGGACGTTGACCCTGGCTTATTATTAGATATGGAGGCAGATGTCGCCTGACAGGTGATGGTGACCGGGGGCTAGTGGCAGCCATGGATCCGGTGGCTGATGCGAGGCCTCTTTGCGCAGAACCATCTTCACTCTGCATTTTCGTGATTGTGGTCGTTGTATCTTGTTCATTCCATGGTCGCCTATACAGACTGTATTAGGACTTGAAAAGCATGTGAGGATATGCCCGTACCTTCATGCTCCCTCTCTGGCTTGTTGAGCAGCTGCTCCCTCACATTCATTGTGCAATGGCGTATTGCAAGGATCTAGTGCTGCTTCAAAACGCCGCTTTTAACCCTGGAGCCTAGGCAGTTTAATTCAGAGGACTAACTCCATGCCCGTACATGCGGTATTGCAGAGAGCTCCGCATTCTGTGCGCCCGCGCAAGTTCTATTCTCGCCATTGCACTCTCACTTGAAAAGGTATGCTGACAGGCTCTCGGTATAAGGCCGTTTCTTGTCCGTATGCACGAATGTCGATCCCCCTCGTCCCCTCTAAAGAGGATTAACGTCGAGGCCTAGTCAGCAAGCGTGTACAGAAGGTTCTCGGACCTAAGAGAGGAGCAGAGTTTCGGGGCTTTGATCCCTGCAGATCCTGTGCCGTAAGCGGGAGCGTGTGACAGGCACCGCGCTACACCACACCACACCAATTCTGCCGTCGTACCTGTGCCTGTAAGCTCCTGTCCAGTAAGACAGCTCGGTGTGTTTCGGGCCAACGAGTTGATCCCATGGCGATTAGCTGAGGTGCCTGGAGCCTTTCTTGAATGCGAAGTTGTAGTAGTAATGTAGTTAATTCTAAGCTTGCTTTAGCTTCCTCAGACGTGAATACTATTGCAACCTCGCCGAAACCCAGCACGTCGTTGAATTGATTTCGTTGGGTTTCACTCCTGGTTTCTAGATCAAAATCCTTATGTGACCTGCCATAGCTTCTGGACTCTCGACGAAACATCCCAGACTATCGCTGAACGGGGCACAACTGAATTGGAATTGCTCCACCCAACCAATATCAGGCGATTAGCCTTTGCGAGAATCCACATTCAGCGGCCTTAGCTCAGCTGGGAGAGCGTCAGACTGAAGTTGCAACTTCAATCACCATATTATCTGAAGGTCGTGTGTTCAAGCCACACAGGCCGCAGTTTGTTTTTTTGTGCCCTCTGGCGTCTTTTTGGCATGCGCCTGAGACAATGCTGCCATTGTTTGCGATTCATCTAGCGAAGATGATCAAAAAGGTGGTTATTGGTTCGTATGTGCATATGTACGGCACGTATATTGGCGGTAAGAGAAGCGTAGTAGATTATTTTGAGGGTAGTGGCGACAATATAATTGTATGATGGCTCCTATATTGGGGGGAGTAGTTAGTTGGCTGCAAATTCAAGCGGCATCGGGCGTAGAAATACTCTTTGCTCAAACAGGTCAATTAGCATTCTCGACCTGATTTTAAGCATTCCTTCAGACGTTTGCTGGCGATGATAAGAATCACTGATGCAATTGACATGTTTATTTGACGATTGAAGATGAGCGAGTTGAGTGTAGTGTAGGACAATATTTGGCAGGCGGCCAAATTTGGGGGAGTTGGTAATGTACATCAGAGTTCCTTCCTTCCTTTGCTTTAATCTGTCTTCAACCACCTGACGAGATTTTCTACTATATCTATATTTACAAAGCATATCATGTATGCGAATTTTTTTCTCCTCGTGATTCGCTTTTCACGCATTGAAATAGGTCGTTGGAAATCTTTATCCTGGCGTCCTTGAGAATCACCGGCTGTTGAACAAACCTCCAAACGAAGCAGCTCCTCCTCCTCCTCCTCCTCCTCCGCTTTCATGTCGTTTGGCCTCGTTGCGTATCCAATCAATCAGAAACTGCCTATCCGCCAGCTTCCTCGCATCCATGACTTTGGTACTAGGCCGCGCCTCGCCGGCGTCAAAGCTCAGCAGCGTCGGCGTAGAAGTGATGGAATACCGGGAAGCCAGCGGCATAGGCGTGGACATCATCTCGGGAGTGTCAAACTGCACTGGCGCAAAGAGCACGCCGCCTTCTTGCTCGCCAACGCCAGAAGAGACCAGGCTGCGGAGAAGTGGCTCAATGGTGCGACAGGACGGACACCATGCCGTACTCCACAGCGTGAGGAGAGGAATCCCGAGTGAGGTTGAGAGAGAAAGCTGAGAGTTGAATGAGGCTGGCGTGCGGATGCTTTGTTTTAGCAAGTTATCGTTAGCAAAATGGTCTCTCCCCGCCAGTTGTTCTTTTATAAAAAAAAAAAAAAATTACGAGAACACATCTAGATGTTCGGGATGGATGTGATGAGAAACGGGGCAATATCTATCGTGTCCAGGTAAACGCATGGCGGAGAGAACCTACGAGTCAAAGACTTGGTTTTTCGCCAGGCTGGCAGCAGATGCGCTGAAAAGGCGCCTCTGCGTCAGAGCAAACGGAGGCTTGGCAACGGCCGCCAGGACACAGCGCATCTTGTGCGATGATTCAAGGATGCAGCGTTGGCAAGAAGACGGCTTATAGAATTTGGATCAGTTGCCTGAATTTGTCTGTCTGTTGGTGTTGAGGCTACATGTAGCCTTGCCCATAAAGAACATGTACATGTACCGCAAAGCAGGCGTCCCCGCTTTTATTCAGCATATCACTTCAAGTTGTTACATCAACCATGATTTACACTGTTATCTGAGATTTTATTGGAAACGATTCTATATGGAAATAATCTTGGTTGCAGTGGCTGGTTTGGATTCTGTACGACTCTTTACATAGGAAAAGGTTAACCAACACTCCAGTTCCGCTGTCCAGCACTCTAGCTATGGATAGGTAGTATGGGCGGGCTACAGCAATTGCTGCTACTGCTGCTATTGCTCTTGAGTTCTGCAGTTCTCAAATATGCACAATGATTCAAATAATAATTTACTTCATATTGCTCAGTTCTGTCTGGAGTTTTGGATATTTTTCCCTCTCGTTGGGTATGCTGTGTTATCAATCCTCGGGTGATCTACTGGAGGCATTTTACTGATTCACGCTTAGGATGAGTTAAAGACACCAGGTTTGTGAAGAAGTAAATACCTTTGACGGCCATAAGGTACTTGAAACTGCATAATAGAGTTTGAGTCCAAGTATATTAATACATGTACTATGATACATCCTTTTGTCAATCAAAAACTCGCATTGATTCCATCATTCCGTCGCATCAGTCTTACACTTTGATCAATCCCATCGTTCCGTCGCATCGATAGTTCCCACCGTCTCCATCAGTTGTACCATTTCCAATTCCATGTCTTCCAATCCCATGCTTATTGACCACAGTGGGACCTGCAGGCCTCGGTGCGCTTATGGAGACGTACACTCAGCTGTCCCTCGGGGTAGAAGGGGAGGGACGTTTTGTCGAGTCCTTTAAAAGCCCCCAACGCACCCACGAGGTCCGGAAACCATGCGGTTCCTTCCAGCCGCGTTCCAGTCGAGTCGTCAAAGACTTGAAACAACTCGAGAGGCGCATAGAGTTCTAGAAGATTGCGCACTGCGACCTTCATTTCCTCTACCGTAGCCGTGTACTCTCCCATGGTGACTTGACGAGGACCTGGTATCAAGGTTTTCCTGATTGAGCGCCTCAAACTCTCGTCTGTTGTCTTGACTGAGGGCTCAAAAAGCACCGTGACTTGGGAGGACACTCGTGACGCCCGCGGTGCTTCGTCGGGACGGGCTTCAGGAGACAGGGTGGCGGTAACCTTGTGGCCGCAGATCAATTTGAATTGGCCTCTTGGAACCGAGTCCCCGTTGAACTTGGCGCACTCGTCCTTGGCCATCTCAAGGTTGCCATAGCCCAAGATGGCCACCTTGCCGGGCTTGGGCCAGGAAACGGTCACGCTCCTGCAGGTTGAGCCCACGACCAGGGGTCTTTCGGGATCTTGAATCCATGGACGTACCTGTGTCGATGGTGCTTTGGTCTCGGGTGGGGGTATATCCGATTTCTTCACGGTACGTAGTTAGTATAAACTTTCCGACTATGCGGCTGACGTTGAGCGAAAGGAATAGTGGCAGAAGTAGCAGACGTAGGAGACGTAGCAGCCATTCAAAGCAAAGGAACTTACCTCTGGTAGGGCAAACTCTTGACGCTCCCGCAACCACAACAAGAATTCGTCATGAACTCCAAGACAATATTCCTCTCCAGCCGGACAATATCCTTTTCGCAGGAAGTAGGGACAATTTACCCCAGACCTAGTCGAGTTCCGGACTGGGGCCTTGTCGGGCTGCTCGTCCTCCGGAGGTGTGGAGGGAGGTGTCGGAGGAGGCGCCGGAGATCCGCTACGCTCCGAACCTGGGTACCGGTGTATGGCCTTTGCTCTCTCTTTCATCTTCCGGATCTTACTTCGCAACCACTCATCGAAGTCCGACGGCCCACCATTAGTATGCCGTACCAGCTGCCCCTCAACCTCCATAGCATGGTTGAAGAGGGTCCCCATTTCTTGTGAATTGAGGTTGTTGATACTTATGGCCTTGCTAGATGATGCCGAGGACTCACGGACAGGAGAAGCCATGATGAAAGAAATAAGGGAGGTGGGGGAGGGGGGGGTTGGGGGGGGATGGGAGGGTTCGAAATACAAGTTCTTGACTTTAGACTGACTATTGCCAGACCGAGCTTTACTTTGCTATGCGATATCTACTTATGTATGTTATATACCTAAGTAGGAAGCAAAAAAGCTCTCAGAACTCAAGACTTCGAATCTATGGTGAGAGAAAAAAGGAGGAAGAAATGATGGCAAGAGACTGCAAGTTTTGCTTCTTTTTATATCCAGATCTCTCCAATAGCCAAACCCTCCACTTTGAGCACTCACTCTCACTCCCCCTTGACTCATAACCAAGTGTAAAATGCCTCCAAGTTACATCTGTCCCCAACCAAAGTATAATATGAGGAGGCTTCGAGTGGGCTTCGTGGTCTATCCAAGTATTTCGAGGTGCCGAATTTGGCATGCGGCATACCAGGTGGGCCATTGTGGTTCAAGTGGGCGTTCGTAATGTGACACTCGACACCACTATGACATGACGCTTTGCCTGCCTTGAAAGAGCTTGTCATGTTTTGGACAAGCATGTCGTGGTACAATCCATATCTTCAATGGCTCAGAGATGCAGGCGGAATATACGTTTGTACTTGAGTTGCAAGTTGGTACTTGTGATCCAAGTGGGCGTTCGTGATGGTAAAACTTCACTGCACTTAGGACACTTGACTTTGCCTGCTTTGAGCAGGCTTTTCGTAGTCCAGACAAAAGTGTTTCATGATCCAAAGGAATAGTCCGTGCTCTAAAAAAGTATTCGACTTACAAGCTGGCGTTTGTGATGCTGGGCTTGACACATCGCTTCGGCACTATACGGCGTCTTGCTTGATAGAGTTTTACGTGATCTATACAAATGGAGTATTTCGTGGACCAAGTTTGCCTTTGGGCTGCAAGTTGGCGTTTGCAATGTTGAGCTTGGCACATCAGTTCGAGAGTTTGAGGCGTCTGCGATAGTACGGGGCCATCCCCCCCTTTTCTTCCGGGCTTAAATCCAAGTTGCAGCAAACCTTAATCTCGGGTTCTGGCATATGAGAGAAACAGGATAGTCAGAGAGGGATATACATCCAGGTACAAGGTAATGACTGGGCAGCTGTGTAGAGATAGGAGTATATCATAGTAGTCGAATATGTATGTATATACCTACTATATATGCTTAGAATGTATGCGGTTATGCATCTATTTTGCATCCTTTTCCACCTCTTCGCTGAGTACCAGTTTGCCAACCAAAACTATAGAAGCTAAAGGGTATTTGTTGGTTGATATCAAAGTCTCCTCCCATAGAACGCGCCGTACGCTTCATGCCTTCTATACTGTCCAGCAGCAACCGACGCGAACGATCTTGAACAACGAAATAAAATAAAAAAACGCCGAAAGATGCTAATAGCAAGGAGAAGCAGGTGTGGATTGAGTACGCTAGAATCTTTCCATAAGGTTCATCCTCGCGGTCCACATGCGAGCCCTCTTACCAAAGATGTACATGGGAATCGCCATCAGGCAAAAGATGAGCTGGATGATACCTAGCCAGATGTAGACGTTTCTCGAACCATCGTCTGCAAGCCACTGCGAAATAAACAAGCTGAAAACCAAGCCGTGGAAGATGTTTTTCGAAAAGTTGAGGGTGACAAGCGCCTCACCGGCGTATTGGCGGTAGCTATCGACGCAAAAAGTAATGGATGTAGTGGAGCCGAGGGAGCAACCAAAGGACGTGATGCCGAAGAAAATTGTTGGGACGATCCAACTATCCTTTGCTTGTGCCGACCATCCGAAGCCTATGAGGCCAATACAGGTCGTCAGCAAGATGGGCGCAGCCATGACGAGGCGAAATTCCGGCTCGTACATGCCCCCGTTGCGGCGCGCCATGGCCCTCACAACGATGTCACTGATTTTGCCCGCCACGCCGGTACCAAGGATGCCGCCAACAAAAGGTGATACGTAGACGAGGCCGGCTTGAAGAGCCGTAAAGTTATATCCGCTTGGATTCCGGTAGATGACGGCCAAGTTTTCAGAAATCACAATTAGCCAGCCGATAGAGCACGCGTAGATGGCTGCAGACCAAAGCACTGCGGGATAGGCAAATAGGATGAATGGTCTGACCATGACCTTGAACCAATTGTCGTTGTTGAGCCGGCCATGATAGGGCTTGAGCTGCTGGATAAAGGTTTGAGCAGGCTTGTGTCGTAGGTTGTGCGTGTAAGCCTTGATTTTAGGGGGGGCCTTGAGTTTCCAGGAAGGGAAGCGATCGCGATCGAGATTGGGTGCTGTTGAGTAATACTCAGTAATGACCATGCTCTCGGCTGTGCTACGAGCAGGAGACGCCGCAGTCATACTTCGGCCACGGTCAGGAGCGAGGCTCGGTCGTGGAGAGGTTATTGGTGGAGCCTGGCGAAGAGGCTTTCCCAGGTCGCCACCCTCTTCCTTGTGATCAGAAGACGGGCCGGCAAATCCAACCTGAGGACTCTCGGGTCGTGGGGATGACTGCTGAGCATCATCCAACGGGTCTTGCCGCTCTACATCTGGTGAAAACCCGACGTGTACGCGAATGCTTCTGCGGCGATCAATGACTCCTGGAGATTGCGAGGGTTCCGGCGATTTACCGCGAGGGCTGGTTACTTTTGCGGATCTATGGCCTGGGCGGGAAGATAGTCGTCGAAGGAAGCTCGGCCGCTTTGATACATGCATTTGCCGAGTTGGCGTTCTATCCCAGAAGCTCTCCGGGACGAAGAGAAACACCAGTACAAATCCTAGCCCCACCAACATTGCAACAATACTAGAGAGTAAAGCATGGCCAGTTAGTATATATGCACACCACGAGTTTCAAGGAGAGCAAAAGGGGGTCAGTTGAGCTTACAAGAAAACCCAGCGCCAGCCAAAGCGGCCAATGATGGCGGCACTGACTAAAGGGACCAGATTCTTGCCTCCCAGGAGTAAAAGCGTATATATTCCAATGCGATATGCGCGCTCATGCAGGAAAAAGATTTCGGCAATGGTGGCGGATGGCAGACACTCTACCGGCGAAACAGCGATGCCCTGAATGACTCTGGCGGCTATTAGAGAAGAAAAGCTAGAAGCGTATCCGGCCCAGATGCTGGTGCTAATGAGCAAAATCATGCCAGTCAGGTACACTGGCCGCTTTCCAAAGAGAATGGCTGTGGGAGACGCAATGACAGAACCCACGCCCAAGCCCATCATGTATAGTCCTGTGGTCAGCGGAACTCGCTCGACCGAGACGTTGAAGTCGTGGGCAACATTAGTAAACCCTGCAGCGATGACGGGCGTCATACCGCCTCCAATCATGCAGTAGTAGCCCAGGAATAGAAGAGCACAATCGCGCCGCCAGGTGGGCCAATTCAGAGGATCGTTGGCCGAATCTTCTGGCTGCGGATCCAGTATGATCTTACCATCGTCTGTCTTCTTCTTGCTCGGGGGCTCAACCACTGGCTTCTCAAGGCCAGCAGACGGCGAATGCGGCAGCGGCCGAGTGCCGCCAGGGGTCATGGGAGTCTCGACGGCAAACCCGGCCGGGATAGAGGAGTGAGAGGTACGAGCATGGACATTGCGCAGTCCGAGCGGCTCGTTGCGATCACTAGCAAGCAACAAGACGGAGCCTGTAAAGAAGACGGTTGTTAGAAAGAGTCGCTACAAGGCAGAGAAGTGTCATTAGAAGAGTCATTTGCACTTACCCGGCACCTCCACGGTCTCTCTGTCGTTCAACATGCCCATAGACCATTTTGATAGCCCCGACTTTTCCAGTTCGGAATCGGAGTTGCCTCTGAAGAGACGGCCAAGGCGTAACCGGCCCCGCTGTGGCCTCTCCTCGGAGGCCGTTGTGGGAGAAGTGGACATTCTGTACTGCCTTGCACGGTGATGGCAGAATGGCTGGGAGCAAAGTGTAGATGGGGCGAAAGCCAAAGGGATATCAGGAAGCAGAGACAGGTTCTTTGAATAGCTGAGAATGCTTTTTAGGGAGGAATGAGATGATGAATCAATAGGTAGGAATGGCTCAATTGTCTCACTAGCAGCCGGATATGAGTCAAACAGGTTGATCTGGCCAGCAGCTGGAGGGAGAAGAATCAAAGCAAGACTCTAGAGCGAGATGGCCTCAGAGAGGAGGAGGTGTTGAAGACCGAGAAGAGACACCTCCAGCCCGTAGAAGTGGCCCTTTGCACTCCCTGGGTTTGATCCCGCCAGGTCCGGATGCCGTTGAGACGAGAGGCGATAAGATAGGATAATTATATTCACAACCAAAACAAGGGAAGTTGAAGATGGGAGGGGATGAGGTTGATGGGATGGAGGACAGGAGGGAGGACGGAGGAAATATACATGGACAGACAAGAGCAGGCTTGGCGGTAGAGGAGGAGTGAAGCTGGCGCGTGCTTGCTCCAACCATTTGCAACGGACCGTTATCAGAAGACCAAACCCCCCAAGATCTTGAAATTTAGCGCGATCTCTTGGCCAGGGTTGGGCTATATTACGGCCCACCCATCCCTCAGCAAACAATGAAGAAGCGGTCCCGGATTGTCATGCACAAGATGTATGTCGTATCTCTGCGTATAGGCGGTAAAAGAGAGGGAAAAGACCCATCAGACGTTATGAGACTGCAGCAACTTGACTCGTGTCGTCTTCTTCTCCTCTTTTTGCCAGAGACAAGCACAGATGCTACAAGACACTACACGGCACTACTGATACCGTACAAGGATCATCTGCTGATTTCCTGCCTTCTGGCGCACACCGTAACAGCACATCTTTTGATATCTGATATGGCGCTCATGGCGCTCATGGCGCTCCAGCAAGTAGCAGCGCGCCGTTGCGTCAAAACGTGCAGCGGCTCTGCAGCCACGGGCCCGCCAGGCGAGTCAGGTGAGGCCTTCGCGATGCTGCACATGTCAACGTGCGTGCTTGGCTCAGCGCTGAGAAGGCCCCGCCGGCGCAGCGATCCCCCGCTGGCGACGAGGCCTAGACGCGCTATGACGACAGGCGGTTGCAGGGTCCAGCGCAAGTTCCAGTGCAAAACTGCTTATTTTCCGCAGGCCAGGGTTCGGTGTTGTGGAGGTTGGGAGGGATGCGCGGCTCACGCGGGCGACGCAGCGCCTAGGAAATAGCCTAGCCTGGTCTATTGAGACCGGTCGGTTGGTCACACAGGCGGAGTTGTCGGGATTCTGATATTGGAAACAATGAAAGTTGCCACAAACCAGACCGAGAATGCGGTACGGACTGGAGCTTAGGTAAGGGCGAAGGCGTGCAGCGCTGCTCTCGTTGGCCTGCGGCGATATGATGCATGCAGGGAGGCTACAGGCATTTTCTTTTCAGATGAAATTTAGGGGATTTTAATGCAAAGAGAAAACTTGTGGGATGCGTAAGGGCCATGTCTGAGCTTATACAATGGGACGGCATGCAGACACTGCTACCAAAAGTGTCTGTGGCTGTAATGCCTTGCAGATTTGCAATCCATCAAATGTCATCTTGCCAGTCACCGTAGGACACAAGACGAAGGCTTCAAAGACCCTTTCCCCCCCTGGAATTATAATCTTTTTCATTGCTCGATATGGACATTTATCGTTGCTTAAGCTCTAGATCCTTTGCCTGCTGCGATAGTCTTGCAGCGAGAGTAACCCCCACTCCAGGCTACTGAGCCTCAGCCGCATGAAAGAGGAGACACTCTACTTGTACGGTAGCTTTAAATGGTATACTAGTACTACCAGTAGTACCTACTTATTATAGTAAAACTAAGATAACTAAGGTACCTACTGATTACGATGAGGTGGATGTACAAGCAATGTATAATTCCAGAAGACCATCTGCGGTATTCCTTTTAGAGGCACGTTCCAGGGCCTTGTTCGCTCGATATTACACCTCGCTTCTATCTGGCCATCCATACGACGGGTTCTTCATGTACTATCAATAGTGGGACGAGAGACAAGGTCTAGGTATCACCTATCTAGTCAAATAGTATCCTCTACAGGTATTTGCTATCAGACTAATGCAAAGGGCCACAGCCTGTTTCGATTCAGTGCTGGCCTAGTTACCTGCCTGCTACATCGCATCGATAACGGCCTCACACATAGACATGTTTGTAAATGGTATTCAGCTCGCAACATTCTATCCTCCTCTTGTGTGCCTAAGAATGATTCTTCTGCCGGGAAATTAGGCGTGTACGTTCTCGCGTTAATTGTAGCCAACAAACAGCTGCTCAATTGAAGCCGATACCATCACTTGAACTCATCTGTTACGATAATATTTTTTGTCCTCTGCTCCCCGACAATGTTCCGTGTCTTTGTCAGGCGAATTGAATACTCCTCTAGAGCAAACCTTCTTGCAGGAGACATGTTGACGCTCCTCTTACTCCTTTGCCCTTGAAATGCAGGTGACGGTTTGATCCTCATGCCATGCATGGAGACTGAGTTAAGAATCTCACCAAGGATATATCCAACTCATCGCCTTGCATATCTCAACAATGCTGTACCCAATTCTAATACCCAATGTCTAGGAGAGTATACTAACGGCATAACCAAAGTTCAAGATGCTTAAAATGCGACTTTCGCATCTATACAATTATTTGAGGAGCTTTCTTATGCCGTCGTCTTCATCTCATATCGATGATTTATACCGTGCGAGTATGCAACAGTCGCATTCACACAGTCCCCGCCCCCTCCGTTCAGCCTCGTTTTTGGGTGAGTGTTTCAATTTTCACTAACCTGGATGAAGAAACACTGATCGCGATGCTTGTGTGCTCATTTTAGTTTGATTAGTCCTTGGCCTCTCTTCACGCGTCTAGACAATTCGCCTCTTCCGAAATATCATCTTATAATAACGCTGGTCTTGCTATCACTGCTTTGAACACTCATCATCCGTTAAACGTCAAAGCCAGCACGACCACTCATCTCACAATGTCGAACAAGATTCCGCCTCTCTTGGACCAATATCTCGCGCTACCCAGAGAGGCATCCCTCACCATCTTGGCAAATACCCTTGGGGCATCATCAAATTGGCTTGTTCTACGGTACCTTTACTCAATACTATTACAGCCAGGAAGAGGAGAGGATGCCGGCGTGGGTGAGACAGAGGCCGGTCCTGGAGTTGTTTTTCTGAGCTTTATGAGAGATTTGGCTTTTTGGAGAGAGGGTGCAAGTAGAATGGTAAGTATCTTCTTCTTCTCCTCCTTCTTCTTCTTCTTCTTCTTCGTTTTCTTGCTTCTTGCTACTTTTCATGTTGAGAATGGTTACTGATAAGTCTTTTCACATTAGGGCTTGGACTTGGACAGCATGGGCAGAGCCGGCAGGTTCAGCTTCGTGGATGGCCTAACAGGCTTGCTGTCTGGGGGCCGGGGTTCGGAGTCTACAGCAGACAGAGGAAGAGTCCTTTTGAGCGGGAAGCCAGACGACGTGAGGAGGAGCTTAGAAGCAGCAATTGCGGACGTGAGATCAAGCGGCCCCAAGATCTTGATCATCGACCAGCTGGATGAGCTGCTGGCGATATTCGGAGACGAGGATGTGACTGGACCGGCTTTGGAGGGAATGCTATTGTCTTTGAGAGAGGTGAGTTTTTCCGCACGATTATATCGACAGTTGTCTCTCCTTCTGTGCGGAATATCGACTCTCCTTCTCCGCAAACGAAACTACATGCTAACTTGTCACAATCAGCGTGTTCACGCAACAGTCCTATCCTTTTCCGTAGACGACGCTCTTCTACGCAGCCAGGGAACGACACTCGAGCGCTCTCATGCGGCGCTGGTGCTCGCTCAAGCACATGCCGCGGATGTGATTCTCAGCCTTCGAATGCTGGACACGGGCGTAGCCAAGGATGTGAGCGGCGTGGTGAGAGTCACCGAACGCGATAAAGCAGAGGCGGGTGCCGAGTATCTGTACCATGTTGGGGCAGACGGAAACGTCAAGGTTTTCGAGAGGGGTGCTTAGACTAGCATCTATGATGAGCGAATTTAGTTTTTTTTTTTCCCTTTTTTTTCTTTTTCTTTTTTTTTTTTTGGTCTTTCTAGTTTTTGGGTATTGGTATGTTCAAAGGCAAGGCGTTGAATTTGGCGTGGCATAGTCTACATGCTGGTTACGAGCTGGATTCGGTGAATGGATGGGGGGGACCATTTGCTCGCAAAAGTAATAAAGCAATGAAAAGTGTGATCCCTCAGGAAACGCATCATTATGTGTCCCAAGGTTAGGAAAGAATGCGCAAATACGTTGAAGAATCAAGATGTCATTCCAGGACTTTTGCAGAATCCCTACGGAAATCTCTGGCGCGAATTAAAAAAGCAATTGGGGTTCCCGTTTTAATTTTTGAAAACAAACACCATTTGTCCCTTTGCTCCCAAGCCCCCTTTGTCCTTTGATCAATCGCCCAAAATGTACATCATCCGCCCTCAAGCACTCCCCTGTCATCTTCGAATCCCGCCATGTAAACAAGAAGAAAAGAGAGAGAGAGAAGGGAAAAAGAAAAGAAGACTGCAAAAAAGAACTGCGCCGCAGGAATGTCGCTCATCACTTGTTTTTCCATGGTAGTTGCAAAAATAAGGTAAGAGGAGAAACATGATGCAAAAAAGAATTTCGCCAGGATTTCATTAACCTCATGGGCGGATTATTTTTTTAGTCTTCTAGTTTTTTGGTTTGTTTCCCTCTCTCTCGCTCCTCTCCCCCCATACTCCTCTTTCTACCCCTTGTGTTTATGCATAGTTCCGGTTATAGCGACGAAAAGAAAAACAAACAGTGGTAGGTAAAGAGAGAGTAGTCCAAAACGCCTTTAGGTCACTTAAGCCTCGGCCTCAGTCTTCTTGCCGAGTCTGGCGTTCTTGGGGGTGCCAGTCTGGAAGCCGTTCTTGAATCGTCGGGAAACGTCCTTGAGGTAGCGGGTGCGGCCAGTACCGACAGTCCTTCTCCGCTTGGCCTTCTCGCTCCAGTTGTCTGTTTGAAGAGATGATTAGATGGCACTTCTCAAAGGCACACCGACGTGCGAATACAGAGTTGTTCTCCGTGATCGAAACGTCGGTGAATCCAGGCAAGGGGGAAGTGAACATACACTTTCGCATCTTAGCGGCGGGGTATCCGCAAGAGGCGCACTCGTGCTTCTGGACGTGCAGCGAACGGCGACCTAATATCCATCCATAATCAGCATGACTGGTCATTCTTTCCTAGATCCGTTCCAGTCCAATCCGCCATCTAGTCGCAATTGCCGCTCATCTAGTCCATCTGTCGATATGAGACTCGTTCCTCCTAGTACAGTAATCATTCCTTCATTCCTCCTTTTTCCGACAGGCAGTCTCGATCGATTCTGGATAGACGACGGCTATTGCGATTGCGAAGAGGCATCATGGAGGGCTCGTATCCCGGTTGGAGTGAAGAGTAGAAGACTAACCGCATCGTCGGCAGAGAGTGTGCGTCTTGTTGTGACGCTTACCAAAGCTGGAGGTACCCTTCGCTATACGCAGGAACAGCAGTCAGCCTAACAGCTCTCAAAAATCCTTATCCCCATCTCGACACAAGTCTCAAGTCTCGACAAAGAATCCCATCATTGCGTTTCTTCTTTATGTATCCTTCTCGCGCAGCCTCTCTCTCGGCAGTAGAGGCTACGAGTGATTCGGGGGTTTTCGAAATAATGGGATTCTTCGGAGACTGGCGATTGGGATTATCTGGGAGCAAAACGTACTCATCTTGGCGGTCGGTTGTGCTTAGGCGTGAAGTTGGATGACGATTTCACGAATTGTTTAATTTGGGGGGAGAGCAACGCCTTTTTCGCGGTGGAGTGTCGAATTGCCAGCCCTAATTTTTGCGTGTGAGTGGCGTGGGCCTGGCGCCCGTCTAAACCACGTGATGATACCCTCTCGGCTTTACACGTGATATCCTCTTTTGCTTATCCGAGTTTTTGGCTGAGTCAGCGAGATCAAGTTCTGCCGCCAATATCCACCACTGCCAATCTCCACTCGTCCAAATCGTGTTAGCCGAGAGAGCCCAACAATCTCCTACATGAGCGATGATGCTCCATATAAGTCGACGCTGCCAATATCGTACGTCTTTCGCAGCATTTCCACACGACAGTTCCGATATTCAGCATCATTATCCAATACGTATTTCAATGAATCTTTTACACTATCATAAGCTATCATAATGTCAAGATAACGACTGGCTGAGCAGGAAAAAGGACTAATATACAGTATAGATAACCAGGCTCGCTATAGAAGAAACACAAACAATCATTCCTCTAGTCTTCTCATCGACGTCATATGAAGAGCTCTCGTCCATGGCTATGAAATCGATATCGTCTAGGAATCAATACGACTCCCCGATTTAGGTATCTTCGTTGCCAAAAGTCAATCTCATGAAAGAAAACATCCAAGGAAAAGCAAAAGCAACAAAAGCAACAAAGGCGAGACTCCCTTTTAACTCCGTCCTTGTCCAACCCAGGTTATAAAAGCACCGTCAGTGAAAAATATCCCAAATTCCCAAAACATCAAGCGCGAGAGAATGAGAGGGATGGAAGGATGGGATACATCAAACAAAATTCCCGGTTCCAGCATTTGCTCCCTTTCTTCAACGCCGTTACATCCAGCTGAAACCCCTATCTTTTTTTTTTTTTGAAATGCTTTCACACACATCGTTTACAACCATTCCTTTGGTCCGATAATCTCGCCGGCAGGTACATGCTTGGAAATTGCAGTCCCTACAAAGTCCATGGTATTCACAGCTCCATCATTACCCCACCAACTAGGGCTGTTCATGTTGGTCAAGTACAGCGTGAAGAAAATCAGCAGTGTGGATATGATGAGGCCGCAATCCAGCGCTGCCGAGGTGATGTAGTTGTACTGCAGCCACCAACCAGTGTATCTCCGTCGGATGAAATAGTTGAAGACAATGCCGCAGATACCCCAGCAGAGATAGATGTTGACAGTCGCAGGGGGAAGCAAGCCAACGCCTCCAAAGATGACTGGAGAGCTAACATAGCGCCAGAAAGATCTGGGCCAGCGACGGGCCAAAAGCCAAGTGGCAATGGGCGCAATGGCACCAACAAGCCAAAACCACTGCAAGGAAGAATAGAGAGCTCCATGGCTAAAGATTCGGGCAGGGCCAATGGCGCCCCAGATGATTGAAGCGGTGTAAAAGACACGGCCACCTGGGCATGTATAACTGTTCTCTTGATCCACGGCGCAGACGTTGGGGATATGGCCAAGGGCCCAGTTCATGACGACAACCTGCACAATTGCAGACCACACAGAGGCGATGAGTTGCGAGGTGAACATGACACGAGGAGGCACTTTCATGTAATGTCCGAGCTTCAGATCTTGAGCAAAGTACAAGGCCTGAGCCATGGAGACATAGCCATAATTCTTGAACATCATCATGGCAAGGGGCCGGCCAGGCACCATATAACCAATGATGAACTCGGTAAGAACGTTCAGGCCGAGCTGGATGTTGGTGATGGCCTGAACGATGCCGATGGGGATAATCCATATTATCGGAAGCAGTAAGCAGACAACGAAAGCCCAGGCCGGAAAGCCAGTGTCCCAACCAGCAACTACGCCAAAGGAGATGGCAACCATAACGACGAACAAGACTATATGACGATCACATTCTTTTGATTAGCATTATACTTTTCACAAACGGCAAGGCGCCGGGGGGGTGATCTGAAAGATATGTAATACGTACCGGCATACCACCATTCTTCAGCATCTCGGTATTTCTTCATCAGTCGCATATGAACGTCGTCCTCCTGATGACGAGCCATCTTGAACTGCTTCCAGATCTCTTTGCCATGGTAAAGACCGACATGGATGAGCACGGCAGAAACGGCGGCAAACGACAGTCCATAGGCGAGGGCAAATTGCGTCGACAAAAAGAGAGGAGAGTACTCCTTGTATGCTGTCTCGTTAAAGTTCAGGTCGCTTCCAAGGATTCGCGAAACATTGTAAATCTGGCCGAGGTTGTCGTACGACTCAGATGACTGAACGGGGAAATAATCAGAGTACCAGGTGCCGCTGAAGTGGATTCCCATGGAAATGACGACGAAGAAGACGATGATGCCACCGAGCACGTTGGCGATGGCGTGGAAAGGAGGGATCAGAGGAGAGCCCAAGAAACCGCTGTATACAGACCAGTCGAACGAGGTGGGCATGAGGCCATATCCGTGAGCCGGACCAAAGATCTTTTGGACAACGACACTGTTGGGCGCAACCCAGCAAATCCAAGCAAAAGAAGACAGGCCCTTGAAGATCCAGCCGGGGAACCAGTACCAGATAAAGGCACCGGAACCTACAATGAGGAACAGCTTGTAGCGGCCGATTTTCCAGCCGTTGGTCTTTGTCGGGTCAGATGGCGAGTGATCGTGCAAGCTGTAGAAGAGGGCGACGTTGACCAAGTCGGCGGGCCAGATCATGGCGGCGGGCCAGACCAGGAAGCGACGAGCTAGGCCAGCCAGGCCATATCCAGTACAAAGCGTGGTGATGCCAAACAGGAGCTGGAATGCCCAGCCGAAATCCTGCTTGTACCACAGACGTTGAGCCAGAAGGACGTCGGTGGCATACAATACACCACCACCATAGGCAGCCTATGAAAGAGAGAAGAAGTTAGGAAATCAATTCTCGGCTGGATACCATCAAATCGCTCTTTGATCTGATCGTCAGTGAAATACTCACGTTGGACATGGCCACGATGACAACATGCTCCTTGTGGTTGAACTTGCCAGGTCGCAGATTGAACTTGAGGCCAAAGAGCTTCCACTCCTTGTCCGGCATGATCAAGTCCCAGCCGCGGCCGATGGGATAGGCAATCAGCTGAATGACGTACGTCGTGATGGCGATGCTGGGATTGCGAAGGGAGAAGAGCATGTTGACTCCAGAGCCGACGGTACAGAGAATCAGGCCGATGACCCAGGCGCGAATGGTGTTGGCAGGGACGTCGACATCGTAGTTTCGGACAACTGCTCGTACCTATAAGAGAGAGGGGAACCCTCGATCAGTTTTACGCACCAACAAATCATTACATACGCGCAACTATGTTTTACTTGAAGCTTCCTCCATTTACAGATTGATACAACAAGAGGATAAGAAGCTGGAATGGGACAAGAGCGACAAGAGCGAAATCATACCTCAGGGTAGGGGCTGTTGTCTTCCATCAGGGCATGCTCAATCTCGATGCCCTTCTCGGCATTGCCCGTGGCAATAGCAGCGTCGACATCGTTGAGGTCGTCAATGGGCAGGTTGGGGTCGAGCTTGTGAGCCTTTTCAAACTGCTGCAGATGCTGGAGATGCTGCAAGCCAGGCGTGTCAGTCTCCAGTGGGCCGGGAATCGGGGTGATCTCCTCCGGCTCATGGCGCCGGCGGAAGATGGACGGCAACATGGTCGACTTGTTGAAAAGTAGGTGGTGGTGGTGGTGGTTGTCGCCTCCGTCTTATGGATTTTTTTTCCTCCCGCCCTGGTCGTCGTCGCTATAAGCAGAGCAGGCCACCGTCGCCCCGTCTGGTCGTCGACAGATGGAACGAGCCGAGTTCGAATCCAGTCGAGTCGGAACCGGGCGCGGTCTGTCTGTGTGACTCGCTCACTCACACTCTTTTCCTTCTCTTCTTCTTCTCTCTCTCGGTGAGGAAGGGTTACAGAGGTGGGAGGAAGAGAATGAGTGAGTGCGACGACCTCAGCACAGGCAGATAATCGCCAGGACGCTAACAACGAGCAAACCCCATGGGCTGCACATCCAGCAGCTACGCCCTGCCAATCCTGGATGGCCTCGTTCTAGCGGCTGCTGCAACAGGACCAGCCGACCCAAGCCAAAGTGCCTCTCCCCCCAGGCCCGCGGCTCCATCTTGATAGAATTCCCCGCCAAATCACGGCCAGTGTGGCGCTCGAGCCCAGACCGAGACGAGAGACGGCGCAGCACAGTGCGCGGCTAGCAGAGCCGGTCCCTTGCTGGTTCCTGTCATCCACCATGTGCCAGACACGCATTGCGGGAAAGGCTCCCCAGGGCTTGAGGCCTGTCTGTGGGCTAATCAGCGTCGAGGCGGGTGGTGCAAAAATGGGTGCAGAGGCAGAGGCCGGTGCCAATCCAGCGATAACCTGCTCGTCCGAGCCATCAGCTGGGTGTGGATGACAGACCTTCCTAAACCAGCATAGAGCGCCTCCACGGCTGAGCTTTGCAGGACAGTCTGAGCAACGGACGGGAGCACGGCGTGCGACAATCCTGTGAGACCCAAAAAAGGTTCTTTCGCTCGCAAGTCCAGAAGGCACTTATCGGCCAATCTGACTTGCTCGGCGCGACTGTATCGCTCAGATTTATTTTATTTCGCACATCCATCGCCTCTCAGTACTGCTGATGTTTTGATCATAGCAATCCCATCTAATCAGGCTGATTTGCCGTGGCGGATACTATACAACCTCAACCTCCGAGGCACCTTGCAATACGACCAGTACGAAGGCACGACTAAACTGCTAGCATGTGCCTTTTTTTTCTTTTCCTCCCCCTTGCCGTGCCTAGCTGCGAGGCGCAAAATAGTCTGTTTTGTCGACCAGCCAATGATGGACAAGCCAAGAGGGGATCCCTTCTTAGCTCAACGCACTTCCCAAGGATTGCCCAGGCAGGGTCAGGATAGAAGAGGCACATTCTCTGTGGCCAAAGAGGCCGTTTGTCCTTATCTCTTGCCCCCCCGCATGGCGTATTTCGAACTTGTAATCGCGAAGCCAGCTGAATCGATAATAGCCGGATACACTGAATCCGATCTCGGGACGGACGTTTTTTGTGTTAATCTTTTTGGAGGAAGAAGATGCGCGCACTAGGGCCATGGCAGAGATTCTGAGAGACTTCTGTTGGTTTTAATTCTCCGCGAAAGTTGACTTGTGTGTGAGAGCGCCTTCTGGGCAGCCACTTTTGTCTGCGTACGGTATGCGGACCAGCAAGCGACACGGTATCATCGCTCTATGTACTATCGCCTTACTTTCTTTCTCGTCTCACCAACCACGAAAAGCAGGGCGATATGCTGTTTCACCCCAGCCACGCACGCTCCGCATGCCAATTTCTACTGAGTATCTACTTTGTACTTGCTGAACATGCAGTCATGCTCGTGCAGTCGCTTCAGCAGAAAATTGTACCCAACCGTGCGTCGTGATGGCGTTTTTGCCAAGCAAAGCCCGATACCCTGGAAACTGGCTGGATCTTTAACTGGGTCTTCCGAAGCCTTCCAATGATACAAGCAGTTGTTGCGACCAAATAGCTGGACGTGCTGGATATATCATCAACCGGCGATGCTTCCACCACCTACCGTGTCTTCTCAGCAGCCACAGCATGATTTAAGCTGCTGACTGCTCACTGCCCTTTCTGCGTGTGCGTGTCTCTCTCTGTTCTGTGCTCCGCTCCGCCACCCGACAGTGTGGAACTTTTGACTCGGACCGGCCAAGGCAACAGAAGTTCCATGTCTCTTCCCGGCGCCGTCCATTCTTTTCTTACATAAATGGGCGGGCTACGGCAACGGGCCCCCAAAGGAAAAGAAAAAGAAAAAGGCTGATTTCAGGGCACTTTTGCGTGTGTCTTTCGGCCTGCCTTTTGCCTTTTTGCCTGTTTTTTAACTCTGTTGTAAGGCCTAACTTTCTCTCACGGCTTTTGGACGGCAGCGAATTTTTTATTTGCCACGCAGGAACGTGTTTCTATTTGCCAGCCAACTAACCAGGTGCCCATTTCTTACCTATTGCTTGACTGTGACTGATTGATATGATCTCTCTCCACCAGCATCAATGAGGCCATGCTGTAGGCTGTTCCACCGAAAACTGTTTTGTTTCGACCAATGATTGATCAACCAATGGGAAAGTAAAGGGATGAGGCTGAGTGCGCTTCCAACACTCTCCAAGCCTTCTTCAAAAATACCGTTTCTTTTATCGCTATGCCTAGCGTTGTTCGAACAAAAATCTTGCCATTGATGTCTAGCAAAACTGCGTGCACCTAACATCTACATTCTTCGCGAGTAGCTTCTCAACATGTGCAGACTGCTTAGCTACCGAGTACAAAGCCCCAGTAGTGATATGTCTTACTACCGTATACATAATCCAGTACAATAAGATTGCACAATGGTGCGCCGCAATGTCACTCAAGACAGGCCGAATAATACGATATGCCAGCATAGGCATCATGTTGATCATACCCAATTGTAGACAATGGTATGAACCCAAGACTGAGGCTCTGCTCTTTCGTTTGACGACCCGTAGGTACAAGAAGGACTTTTTGTATTCCTCTTTCGATGAGTATACTGGGTATTAACATTTGCGGCTGCGTATCAGAAAATACAAGCAGCTGGCTCAAGCAAAACTGAGCCACGCAAAAGAAGAAGAGAAGGCAGAAAAAGAAGAATAAGAAGCCCCGGACAAGACAAACCCAAAAAAAAAATTTACAGCGGATTCAAATCGGCGACATTTCCCATCGAGGCGTTCCAGCGCGTGGCTCTGCCATGCGTAACCTCATTCCACTCTTCAGATGCGAGAACTCCTCTCGTGTACTCTTGCACTCTCTCCGTCAGCAGATCTTGACGTTTCACCTCCATCAGTCTTGCTACCATTGCCGTCGCATGTGCGTCCACAATCGTTGGCCGCTTGCCAAAGATCCAGCGCTGTCCCTGATTCTCCTCGTCAAGAGTCTTGTCCAGCTCTTGTATGAAGATGCGAGCCTTGTCCTCAACGTCTTTGATACCGCTAGGAGTAAATACTGTGCTGTGGCGTAGGTCGTGGCTACAAATGAAGACGACTGTTAACACTGCATCCATGTATGCAGACACTCAAATCGACTTGCTTGAACCAGCAAAAACTTACAATACGCTTTTAATCTCCAGTGCCCTGCGATGAGGCTCAGTCAAGTCCTTTTGCTCTAGTAGCTCAGCAGCCCGGTTTGGGATTCCGTGCTTCTTTTCGTCGGGCCCTATTGTCAGGGTCTTGGCATGGAAGCTGTACAGTTTGTCCATGAGGCTCTGGATTGCCTCTCGGTGCTCCTCGGGAATTAGTTCTGGCTGTTTCTCACACAGCCATTTGGAGATGTCATAGCTTTCTGCGAGTGGCGATGTGAATGCAGCCGATGTCAGTGCGGGAACCTGTTCAATATCAGTACAGGTGATGTCTGTATACTCCTCTCTAATAGGAGTTTTCTGCAGAGCTTATTCGGTCATCGATAAGAGAAGATAGACTAACCTGGCCTTTTGAGTTCACCAAGGTGAGATATTCTTCTGAAAAGTTCTCATCTCGATGCAGATTCACCAGCTTTATCTCAACATTTGGCGCCGTCTCCGGATTCAGTCTTCTGCCTATGACCAGGGCAAACCGCACCATGAGCGAATACAGCGAAAAGGGGAAATAGTGAAGAGTGTAAACATCGCTCTCAGCCGCCATCTTGTCCTATAGCAACGAGTTGTCGCTGAGCCAACTTGGCTGATGAGTGCGGCAAAGGTTGAGTGAAATTCGGCTGTCAGTTGTTGCAACGGCAAAGGTTTCTCGACCCGGACTGAGTTGCGATTGGCGTCTGCTTTCAACGGTTGCCAATCGGCGATCCAGCGCTTTTGTATCAAGAATGAACGGGTCGATGCCGGCGGATGCCTCTGATATGGAGTTGAGTCAATTCTGGCACGTGTGGAGCTCCGGCCTTCGCCGTCGCCTTCAAGATCGGATGCTTAGCTGCCGCTCCCTGCTCCCTGGGCTGCGCCTCGCTACGCCTCAGTCTCGCCGAGAGTTTGCGACTGCAGACGTCTTGGGTGTCCATGACGAAATGCGCCTTTGACGGGAGGTTCTTTAGATCTGGAGCAATTGCATCATACGATTTCTCGGTTTGCAGGAGCCACTTGACCAGTTTCACGACTTTTCCATTCTCCACTAGCTGTTCCTCGTTAATCAGCTAGCAATTACGCGTTCAGCTAAACGACAAAGTCAACAATGAAGGTACCATTTGGCATATTCAAAACAGCTGTGAAACCAGAAAAAAAAACATGCAAACAAAGTCTTGGGAGCTGCCAGGTAATGCGCCAATAAATTCTCGAGCGAGCACAAATTGCCCAGCACTTCAGCTTAGAGCTTCATCATATTTCGAGACAATGTCTTTCCAACCCCAAGTATTCAGGCACACTTTACACGGCCACGAAAAGCAGGGTCAGTAGCTTGATCGCGGTCTACCCACCTGTAGGCTGTTGTTGTAAGGGTTTTCCCCAGTGGCCGATCAGCGATCTGCAGGCCATGATAGCATTGGTCCCACCGATCGTGTTTGTTGAGTAAGGATCAGCAATGCTGCCTCGATAATTCTCGCAGCTTCAGCCCCATTTGATCGTCCATAAAATGCATTGCGTTTTTAGCTTCTTTGTCATCATTAGGGTATCGGTTCGTGCATGCTCATACCTTGTTTTGAATCGAGCTGGAGATCTCTCATTCAGTAAAGTACTTGTCAATTCGAAAGCGTTGTCAAACGCGACACTTGGAACAAAGACGCTGGGAAAAGAGGATGGCAATAAGATCAAAAAAACGTAGCATATTTGCACAAGAGTGTCTCTTGGTGGCAGATATCCAATGAACAAGAAACGAATCGCTCGTATGGAAAAGATGACTCCTTCAATATCGAACAATAACAACGAGTTCATCAATATGAGACAGTGCGGGTCTCACACCAAAGTATTTTCAAGAAAACTTTGAACTTTATACTGCTAGATTCCATCCACTTTTCTGAGACAAACATTGAGAAAATCGGAGATCTCTTAGATGAGTACGTGGGGCAACAAGTTGAGTCGATCAAGTTGTGACGCATGAAACATTGTTCATGGTACTCTTGCGATTTGTAGCTGGTGATATCTCAAGGGCCGTCCGTGTAGTTGTAGTGGTTTTATATCTATTTAATCAAATACTCTCAAGATGCGAGCGATAGTGGCAAGATATAGTAGCCGAATACGTCTTGATAGTGTAATCGGAGCCAGGATAACATTTAGATCAAGGAAGCTCGTCTTTGTGAATACTGAAGGGGGAAGAGTCTGCAGTATAGATTGTGATAATTGACGGCTGGGAAATGTCCCGGAAATCTTACGCTACAGTAGGTATCATGTGCTTTACTGTGGTTCCCCCGCGGAGAGAGGACCTTGAGTAGATCTAGCTGCCGTAAGAGTTCTTTGAGAAATATCCCGGAAGATACTTGATCTGATTAGCAACGTAGCACAGATCCAAGGTAGCAAACATGGGCGATACCTCAGTAATAACCAGCGATCTGTTGAAAGCAGCATGATGTAGAGAATAGTAGGCGATATTGTCCAAAGGATGTCAAACTTTTTGTTAGACTTCAACGCTGGAAATCCAGAGTTCACATGACTGTAATATTCAGAAGCCTAGTGTAGACGTTAGAGGGGATTTATAATCAGACCCCGGTGTTTGAGCTCCTGAACCACGTTCGCGATCCGTATTGAACCAATTGGCCAGCCAGATCTGAATCGGCAATGTCCTGGTTTCTGGTACCAACAAGCTAGTTCACCTGAAGAAATCATTGTTCCAATAGTAAGATGTTGACCGACAGTATCAGAGTGTCACTTGAGTGTGGGAAAACGAAGCAGGCATTCATGAAAAATTATATGTTCAAGATATGGGTTTAGAAACCTGGGGGTATAGAGCTGGAAGTAGAAAATGGAAAAAAAGAGATTGAGAGTCAAAAACTGAGAGTAGGAGGCTGGGGATAGAATTCGAATGAAAGGGACTGGAAATAAATGACTGGCGATAGAAGACTGCAGATAGAAGACTGCAAATAGAATTCTGCGAGTAGAAATTTGGAAGTAGAAACTCGACACTCGAAAATGGAAGGTACGAAACAAGATGAATTCCAATCTTTACAGCAATCATTAGGCAGCGATAGATGGATGGCCATTTGCTCTTTAGCCAGTAGAGAGACAGACAGACGTCGGATATAACATATCATTCGAAGAGCTCGTTGGAGGCCATAAGAGCTTGAGTATGAGCAAGAATATCTATCGATGCTCTAGGGATGTAATTCTTTCATGACAAATGCTCTCTTGCTCGATGTTGCCATTCACCTTAGGGTAATTGGAGCAGCTGATTCGTTTGCAAGCATGCAACGACAACTTCTTGCTCACACATTAGTTCCAGGACAACATGACAATTGACCACGAAATGACAGCAGAAAACGCCTATGCGTGCCTTTATTTAGAAAAGGACTTCAGATAAAGTGCTTTATAATGACTGTAGAGGTGCCATCAAAGGCAAGACGATGTTCAAAACTCTATACGGAGTACCGACAGCCTATCGTGCAAAAACCCTACTACTAGGTAGGTAGTATTTCGCCCAGCCATTGGCCAATCGTAGAATCAGATCGAACACGGGCCAGTACACAGGTCGGTAGGTCGCAAAAGGGTGGCTTGGGCTCTCGGAGCGGCGCATACTCGTAGATGATCGACAGGGGGAGCCGCTTTTCTTATTGGGTCCCTTCAGGGGGAGGAGCAATATGAGACCAAGATGGCCAATTGGCCAATTGCTAAGATTGGAAGCACATCCACACGCGTGTGGGCTGCATAGTATGTTGAGAATATACTCTGCTCAAAGTTTGATACTGCAACCCATGGTAGTGTCACTATCAATGAACATAGGAGCATCAAGTATAGTAACTACAGCTCAGAACATATCTATCCAAATTGTGAGCAGCAGTTAACAAAGATGTATTAATGGTTCAAGATTGTCAGTTGGGGTGCTACTACTTCATACTGCTTGTATTGCTTACTCTCTTGAGTGGTCTCCGGAGAATTTTGTGTTGGTATCACGACACAAGGCTTCTCATACAAGTACTAAGGTTTCTTTGTGGCGTCAAGCGCCTGCCAATAGCCTCTTTCGACGGTCCATCCCGAGCCCCATGGGGCACCATCGGCACATACGAGGCGGGAGACTTCCGCTTGATATACTACTCGGTAATACGTGATATTATGCGTCTTGTTCCATACGAGGACGGCAGTGCTCTCTGAAACCCGCAATACACACGCGCCGCCAATGAGCGAGGGCAGATTCGTCGAAGGATGGTACGAGTGCCGTGGCCGCTCCGCTGCTCTGCAGTGGTAGTACGCGCAGTACGCCGCACTTCGTATTTCGTACGAGAATAGGGTGCTCCAAACAAACGTTGATAGTCGTATTAGCTGCGTTCCTTGCTCAAGTCTCGGCATCGACGAACGGGGATGGGGAAAGCAGCTGCGTATTCCACAATCCCATCTGACAAGTCATGCTGAATCTGCCTGTACCCGCCAGTCAGTATATTGAGAATACGTCATGGAATCAAATAAAAACAAAATCAACTAGCGGAAAACGCACAAGCGAGAAGCAGCCGGCGACTTTGCTCCCGTAGTCTGTGTCAGGTTGAGTAGAAGCTCCATAATAGGCGCTCGACGGAGTGCTGTCAAAAGCGTGCAAAGTCGAAAATTTCAAGGGGGGTGTCTGTGTTGTGGCATGGCTTTGCCTAATTTGCACAGCAGTTGCCAGGATGAATCGATCTAAGCCATTAGTAGCGGCGGGGAGCGCTTGCCGTACATTTGGTAACGCCCTACCAAGGTATTTGCTTCTATAATAAGTATTTACAATTGCATTGCAAAGAAGGAAAAGGATATTGGACATTTGCATGGAAATTGCTATATTGTATTGTTTCACGGCAAGACTTCCGAATATAGATTGCCTTAGACAAGCAAGTATATGTGGGCTTTGGCCAGTTCGAAATGAATTTTTGAACAATGATTGCATTTAAGCTCACTGATGATGCATACAGCTTATTGTATTCTAGGTGTATATCAAATGTGACATTATCAAATGCCAATTCCTGTATATAGAAGCAAATACATAAAATATATGCTTGACTTATCAACTTATTTCTCGCTCTTCTATCTTCCGTGCTACTTTAACATGAAGCTATGGCAAGTAATGCAGGGTTTAGGTGTCTTATAGGGAGCACATGGCTGTCAATTCCTATTGGCCCGATACCCGCCTGATAAGGATCCAGCTGCAGGGCACGCTGTGTACCTTATGTATAGGCAGGTAATCTCCTTATCAGCTATGGAAGCACCTTGCCCACGACTGTTGCATTGAAATTTAATGAAAAGGATGCAGTACACAAGCACAGATGACCTGGCTCCTGCAGCTTACTGCACTATAGCGTACAAGTAGATACAGCAATTACCTACCTGAACATGGACAATTCTGCTTTGAGAACTCTATGATGCCATGCTCCATAGACAGCTGACGAATCTCGGGCTAATGCACGTCTGTTGCAACGGCAATTTCCTCTGCCAAGGTTTAGTGCGGGGGCAGCGCTGCGTGGCAGAAGCGATCGGTGCGCTGTGGTTGGCCGATAGTGCCAGGTACAGGGACATGTTATGCGTCGTGGCTGTTCACCCAGGAGCTTGTACTGGAAACTTGTCATTTAACGTGCCCAGAAATAGAAGCAGGAAAGGAAAAGTGATCAAGTCAGTAGGATGGTTTGTTGGCTAATCCCCTAAAATAGTGCTTCCAGGGGACAGGAAGAAGAAGAAGAAGAAATTGCTAAGTCTTTGGTGTTCAAATTGAAGAAGGTACCTAGCCCACACGGGAGTGTGATATCAATTTCAGGAGAAACAAAAGTGCTACCATGTTCAAGATTGTGACAGTACGCTGTTGTCCAACCGTTGCTGCTGCCGAAACGTTTCACATACCAATTTCCTTTTTTTTTTTTTTTTTTTTTTTTTCTCTCCGTGGCCATGGCCGAAGGCGGCATGTGAATTGGCATAGTGGGAGCTTCTTCCGGCCGCTCCGCGAAATGGCCCCCACTCCACTTTCGAAGTACCGAAAAAAGATGCAACGAGAAACGGGGTTCGGAGGTTTTTAGAAACATGCACATGAAAAAAATGAAGACGAGAGAGAGAGAGGGGCGAGGACAAAGCTCGATAATGCATTAGTTCCCACCACTAAAGTACGAGGTGTATACTCCATAGAATGGACTCCATACAATGAAAGGCTTCACTTGGGGCTTGGCAGCCAGCATCATCTATCGTTGTCGCCCAAATAGCTCCGGAGGAAACAGGAGGGTTCGCCCAATGGACAAGGGTTGGGTGAGGCTCCAACTCGGCGAGAATCTGACTCGAAGAAAAAGAGAAAAGAAAAGATTGCAATCTTGGAAAGTTTATCCCGTCTTACGGACCAGACAGGCCATGATCGATAGCGCCGGGGTTGTCAAGAGTGCGAAGCAGACAGCTGACGAATTCGTCGAGCAGGGATTAAACTTGATACAGCTGCATACGGCCAAGGCACTTGTAGATTTCTTTTTGCAGCATGTAGTCTAGAAGATGCACACGAAAGCGAATACTAGCATCAATTGATGTTTGTTTCTATTTGCGTGCCCAAAGAGCTCTTGAAGCCCTAATAATGAGAACCAGCGATGGCATTTAGCAACTGCGCACCGACCTAGTGGTAGTAATAAACTCGCACCGCTTTAAGCTCCCGGTACCTGTGCCTTGTACCTGTAATTCTTGAGGCACCCGCGAACGGCTTATATGTAATTTTTTCCTTTTCTTTTTTCCTTTTAAGTGCGCGGGCCGTGGCTGGAATAGATGTCACCAAGCCCGTGTGGTGTGGCGGGAGTACAGGCAAAGGCAGTGTAACCAGCCATTTGCGCGCGGTATGGCGCTAGCGTCCGTTGCGCCTTTGCCGGCAAAAGTCAATTGGTAGTTGAGCCAATACGCAGAGAATAGCCCTGGAGCGTATTCATCGAGATAGGATTGGATGGACCGCAAATTAGGAACAGATGCATGGAGCAGGTAATCTGATATATATAGTAGCAGCACTCTATATCGTATAACAGTTGGTTGCAGTGCATTCCAAGCCCGACTTGGCAACTGTGAAAGCAGACAATTGGCCAGTGAGTGCCTCTGTCATTATCACTCAACTGCCTTCATGTTAGTACTTGTAGTTTGCACCTGTCAGTCAGCCACCTCAAAAAGCCCTGTTGAGGTCAATTATAGACAGTTTACTGTAAGTTATCAGTTGGTGGGCATTTGTTAGAGAATGAGATGATCAATTCTCATTTTTAGAAGAAAAAAAAAATGAGAAATGAAAGAAAGATAGGAAACGCCAAGCAATGATATCCCCATGATTCAGCTGTACTAGCAAATCTTCAGCGCTCGGAGCCATGCAGGGACCTCGTATCTATCTTCAATTGTACTAGTAAACCTCGTATTCATCGATCCCATTAATGCACTTGCTAGCCTTTTCGCTTTGTCTTTCCAGTCTGACCTTTGCTCTCGTAAAAAGAAACAAAAAAGAAAAAAAACTTCTCCCTTTCCCTCCTCGTCATCACCTCCTCTGCCTTTCTCTCTTTGGCTGTTCCCCGCCATTTCATTCGTTTACTCGTTCATTCATTCCCCAGCAGGCCCCCTCTAGCGCCTGCCGCTACTGTCCGCATTGCCGAGGGCGGCTGATGTCACTTAACGATACGCGCTGGGGCAAAACTCTGTCTCGGCCTGGGCTCTTGTTACCGCGCGCTGACAGGCTCTGAAGGATCTTGATCGGATTCAGTGCCTCAAGGGAAAACGGCTTGAAACAGATACTTCGAGGAGCGGAGGAGCAGCTGTGCGTTAGCAATGCCCCACACTGAGAGGACTGCTTGTCTAATATGTAGTATCTGCTCTGTACGTGCAGTTTCAGCAGCACAGCCCAGCAAAGCATACGGCCGCCGCCGCGGTGATATATTCGAGGATTGATTCGACTTCGAAGTATGTACTGGCTCGTACTACGAGCACGGTAGCGCTACCTACTAGTACCTACCTTATTCCCATCCATAGAGGCTTGGGCCAGCCCTAGCAAGCCCTCGGGCCAGCTTCTCAAGAGCAAACCAACCGCCACATATACGTAATACCTGGGACGTGTATACCGGCTGCGGAGTACACGTTTCACCAGGCTGTCTCGATTTTACTTTCATCTCTGTGCGCAAGTACACGCAGCCCAAAGCAAGGACGTGCATTATCTGCGTGGTGCTCGCTTGGTGCCTTGGCGTTTGGGCTGGCAGTACCCAAAGCATTGAGAAGACCTGGAATATAATAAGAGGAAAATAGGGGATTGCAATCCCAAGGAATCCGCCTGGCCACCCCTGGACGCCGCCGCTCCCGAGGCATGCTGGAATGCTTGGTTTGCGCTAGCCTCCAATTCTTCGCGGCCGAGGGCTCCGCAACACGCAAACGTACGAGGCCCGAGGAAGCATTCCCGGTCTTGGAATATTCAGTAAGACATTGAGGGTTCTTGGCCTCATTGTTCGTCGCTTTTGCCAGGTACGTGATCAATAATGCCATGGAGTTGTAGGTGCCGGGTGCTAGGCACCATAGCAGGTGAAAAGTAGTAATAGTTGTACTACCTAACCTACCATGCCTGCGCATTGATACGGTTCGGAGCACGCACATGGATGCCATCAAGTCGTACCATTTGGCCGGCTTCGCATTCACTCGTCCTCTCTCTGCCTCCCTCCAAGCAGTGATACCACTACCAAGTAGGTAGGTATTACTACTGCTAGGTATCTCATGCAATCTACAAAGTGGCTATCTCTCTCTCTCTTCTCCTAATCTTATCTCCTTTCCTTTCCTTTTTTCCCTTCCTTTATGTGTCCTCTTCCCTCTTCAATAAGCATTTCCCCCCTTTGAAAAGACCGTTCATGTGAAAAGCAAAACTCTGTCTTGGGCTGCGCCACAACCATTTCCACCTATTGTCGGTACCTGTCGACAATCCAGGCCGCCTTCTAGGGCTCCATTGTTAGGGCCACGGCGCCGCAGGGAGCTCCGGGAGCACGGAACAGCGGGCCTTGAGCGCTGAAGCCCAGCGAGTGCCAGGCTGCCAGCCACCCGCCAGCCCGAAGCTCTCCCCAAGTCTCCCTCTCCCCTTCCACTGATCGACCTGCCCGGAGCTCTTTTTCTTAGTTTGCATCTTGCTAACTTGCCGGTTTCTCCGCCACCTCAGCTATTTACCATCCGCGACTAATTGCGAATCCGCTCCTACGAACATAATCCATCTCCTCTGTCAGCTGGGCTGGGGTTTGCCGCGTACAACGTACCAACGTACCAGCCGGGCCATTCGCTTTCTCCCTTGCCTGGCGCGCCGTCTCCATCCATTCGCTCGCTCATGCACCCTGTCGGTCGTTTCTTCGCTCGCGTGCAGTACAGGCAGCCAGACAGAAGCATCGCCGTCCAGTCTCTCCTACGCAGCACATAATTCCGATCGGCGATCCGAATAACACGCCCCGTTCGAGGCTATCCTTTCTGGTTTTCTTTTCTTTTTTGGAGTTCATTATTCCAAAAGCAGGCCCGAACCAGCGCGCGGCTGCTGTCCATGTATGCTTAATTCTTATTCGACTAGAGTCGCCACGACT